TCAGCTTGTTCTTCCCAGCTGCCTCCTTGCTACTTTACTTCCCTTGCATCCAGATAAGCAACCGGTCACCTATTTTTCAGACAGTTGCAATGAGTAGCTGTGTCTACTACATCTTTTGGTAATCTGCTGTTTTTGCTAATCAACTGCCTATCATCTTCAATCCAGATAAGCAACCAGTCACTTATTTTCTCTGCTCTCTGTGGCTGTGCATTTCCTTATATGGAGGTTGCATTCAGTGGCTGTGTTGGTTGCATTCACTCACTGAGAGGTTGCATGCAGTGGCTGTGTAGGTTTCATTCAGTGGCTGTGTAGGTTTCATTCAGTGGCTGTGAGGTTTCATTCAGTGGCTGTGTAGGTTTCATTCAGTGGCTGTGAGGTTTCATTCAGTGGCTGTGAGGTTTCATTCAGTGGCTGTGCAGGTTTCATGCAGGAAACCTTCCATATAAGGCAGGGATGCATGTGTGCATTCCTAGATGCATGCACGCATTCCTAGATGCATGTGTGCATTCCTAGATGCATGTGCGCATTCCTAGATGCATGCACTGATGCTACACTCTTCTCTAGATGCATGCATGCATTCCTAGATGCATGTGCACATTCCTAGATGCATGCATGCACACATTCCTAGATGCATGCACCCTTTTCCTAGATGCATGCACTGGTGCTACACTCTTCTCTAGATGCATGTGCACATTCCTAGATGCATGCACCAATGCATGCACCAATGCTACACTGTTCTCTAGATGCATGTGCACTTTCCTAGATGCATGCACGCATTCCTAGATGCATGTGCACATTCCTAGATGCATGCACCCTTTCCTAGATGCATGCACGCATTCCTAGATGCATGCACCCTTTCCTAGATGCATGCATGCATTCCTAGATGCATGTGCACATTCCTAGATGCATGCACCCTTTCCTAGATGCATGCACGCATTCCTAGATGCATGTGCACATTCCTAGATGCATGCACCAATGCTACACTCTTCTCTAGATGCATGTACACTTTCCTAGATGCATGTGCACTTTCCTAGATGCATGCACGCTTTCCTAGATGCATGCACGCTTTCCTAGATGCATGCACGGATGCATGCACGCTTTCCTAGATGCATGCACGGATGCATGCACGCTTTCCTAGATGCATGCACGGATGCTACACTCTTCGCTAGATGCATGCACCCTTTCCTAGATGCATGCGGACCCTGGGGCAGGGTCCGGAAAGCATATTATTAGAATATTAGGTGTCAGAATATCTATGTAAGATATGTTACCCTGCTCTCCCTGTGTTCACTCCATCAAAACAATTTCAGAGATTGATCTAGCTATCTGAATCATGTCTACCCCATGGGTATGACATTACAAGACCATCAGAATTGTGTTACAAAGGTCCCCATATTTGTTTCATCAACATACCTGATCCCCTCCTCATACCCCAGGGATGGTGATCTAGTAACATCAGGAGGGGGTGCCAGCTTGCCAGGGATCAATGTCCTGGGTGTTATCAATGCCACTGAAGACAATGGAAATGATTTCCAGCCTCCCAGAAGTATTTCCAAAGAGATACCACTTTGTGGTCTGACCATCCTTCTACCCCCTGTAGATTTTTTTTCTGACTGCCAATTTCATTCAAATTTCACCTGGGACATCCCAATGGACATATCTATCAACTCCCAGCATTATTTCCCCCAAATTATGGTCAGGAGTTTGTAATTATAATTCCCCCAGGGGCTGTATAGTCGGGGCTTTAGTTGCATGTATTAGCTCTAGAATTACCACAGTTATCCATGTAGCAAGTCATCATCAAATAAACTATAACTGATTTAATGAGCCATTCGCAGTTTCACAGTACAAACTTGTTTATACTTAGACATGCATGGCTTAATCTTTGAGACAAGCATATGACTACTGGCAGGATCAACCAGGTAACTACCTTCCCGCTGGGCCACCTTGGCCCGAACACCTCCTACTGGGCAGCCAGAGCCACCTTTTGGAGGTCAGAGTTTAGTCCACCCAAATTGATCAGAGACCTGCCAGGTCCTCAAGGGGCATGCATCCAGACACCTCTGCCCAAATGGTCCTACTGAGAAGTCCTGACGAGCCATCTACCTTGTTCCCCTGGTCTCACACATCTCAGGAACACTTCCCTGCATCCATGAGGGGATGCAGATGGCTTCCTTCCATGAAGACTACTTGCAACCAGCAACGTCCCAAGGACGTCCTCTCAGTCACAGCAGATCTTCGAGTGGTTAATAGCTTCTGGCCTGGCCATCGGCAATCGACCCACACCCTTCACCACCCCATGCAAGACTCCCCCCCCCCGCCAAAGCAGAGGGAACCTTGACTAAATCGGACCAGCAGACTGAACAGTCCACAGACCGTCCAAACCTCGCCCCTCCCAAGCCAACACCCTACACTCAAGGCAGGGGCTGTATAAAAGGCTGGTATGATCCTGACAATATGCTGCAGCTGTAAGATATCCCTTTCAGTTTATGGTTCACCACTGAGTCATATATCTCAATAGCACGGTCTTTCATTGGTTGTTTATTCCCTGGCTCCAGAGGGAGCTGGATCATTGACTGCCCAGTCAGTTGAACACTCAATCATATCATCCATTTCCTCCCCAAACCAGATGATCATGTTGTGTAGGATGATGCAACAAAGCACCCAGTAAATCATGACTTTCATATCTTTCTCTGTCCAGATTTTCAGGTGCACTTCACAGAAGCTTTTCAAGCACCCTTTCAAGGCAACAAATGTGTGTTCAACTCATACACAGATCTTCTAAAGCTGTCAGCCCATGTACTGCAGCAAAACTAGGTGCATACATTTGAAAGGTACTTGTTATACACATTCTGATCTTGATATAATCTCCCACCTTTAGGTTTTTTGAAGGGGACAACACACCACATCTCTGATGGGTATGCTGTTGGAGTGAAATGACCCCTGTCCTTACTTGGACTTAGGCATGTGATCATGTCACTTACATAAGCTGTTAGAGTGCACCCATACACTAGTAAAATTTACCTAGTCCCTCAGTAGCTTGACAGACTACTGAGGTTCCCTACAGATTCCTCTCTGGGTTTCCCTCTGCAACCCCATAAACTTCTTCATATGCACTGTCCACCCATGTCCAATGATCATGTGGAATCAACTGCATAGGATTTGAAGCAATGCAAGTCCCCTGGAAGGCCCATGCATCATGGATGCTTCCTGGATGACCAAGTCCATAATCCATGACAAGAAGATTGTGCAGCAAAACAATAAGCTATCTTGGTAAGTTTCTTCTGCTGTTCACACTCAGCATTTGAGTACACATCTGACAGTTCAACAAGTACCTAGATTTTCTATCATAGAACATTTCCCCAAAGATATGTGGTTTCTCAAAGAGAGGAATACTTGAACCATCAGTGGTGAACATGCCATTCCTCCAGGCTGACCAGGTGTGTGACTCAGTGAAAACCCATGCTCTTTCCATCTCCTGTGAGTCTTCAGACAGAATATTGATGAATCTATTATGCTCATCCAGTATAGCTACCATCACACAGTTTGTACAATTGACAACTAAGCCAACACTAACACCAGCCCACTGCACTACATCCTCAGGTGATGCTGCATTTCCATAATGCCCTGTGCAGAAAAGGAAGATTGCCAACTGGACTGTGACTGCCAGCTGATGGTTTTCAGAATTGCTTTGGTTTATCATGTGTCCACTAATCTGATCCAGAATGCAATCAAACATTGGTGGGTCTACATGAAGGCACTTTCAAAACAGGTGGGGCCAATGATCTGCAAAATGTTTGAGGAGGCACAGCTGGGATGCCTACATCATTGGCATCTCAGGTCTCTCAAGGATATGCACATGCTCTACTTCATCTCTGAGAGCTGTGATTGCATTTAGCAGCCAAGTGTAATGCCCATCATGCTCAGCTGTGGAGTCAGTGTCATTGGAGGCACTGGATTCAAAATCTGACAGAATCAGAGTGACTGGCAATGGCAGAGTGATGAAGAAGAGAGTTGTGGGGGATCTGGAGCCTGAACTCAGCAACATTGACATAGATTCTGAGCTGATACCATCAACTCCATGTCATGCATTTTCAAGCCTTGCTATTGCAACATGAAGGCTAGTCTCATCCAGCTGTTTGAGCTTGGCAGACAGATTTCTGGGGCATCTGGTAGCTCTTGGATGATGGGTAGATGTTTATTGATCATGTACAATGCATTAATACAAGTTTGATATGTTATTTGACATGTATCTTCCAGGACAAGTAACTACCATGTATTGCTAGTCAAGCAGTGCTACAGGGCCTGGCATGTCAGAGTCAAATTTTATAGCAGCAGCAGCACAATTCCAGAGCACTTCCAAAGCCACCTTGAGCGCCACTATTGATGCCACTGCATGGAAGAGTTTCACTTGTTGGACAAATTTGAGGTGCACTGGCCCTACAGGTGATGTAAGGTCTCTGGCAGTTCATTGGGATTTGAGCCATTGTGACTCATGAGTGCATCAGTAAGCGAGTAAATGGTATAAACCTGTCACTGACTGGTCGTGACCATGATTCTACCATTCCCTGTCCCCTTGATGTGGCTGAGAAATCAGACCGACTTCTTTTATGAAGTTTTCTGAATGTGAATGTGAGAGCTTGCATCATCACTGCACTTTTTGGTCAGTGGGCCTTTGCCCGCTGTTCCGTTGATTGTATTACATAAGCATCATTTTGATCACCGTGGTGTCCATTCTTGTTCTCAACTTCCATCGACCATGTCCGACGATTTCAGCCTCTCCTGCTGGGTACGAGGTACCTCCGTCACTGCCACCTTCATTATCACGTATTTCACCGACATGCAACTGTCAGGTACGCTGAGAGAGGAGCTATAAGGAAATCACAGCCCAACACGTTTCGCGATGTGGACACTCCTACTGTGCGACTCTTCAAGCTCAAGGTTCCCCTGCGAAGACCCTATAAGGAGACTCTCAATGGTGTCACCCTCTCGGAGCACGGGGAACTCTTGGACCCTTCGGATGAGATATCAGAGGTGTTCACGGCACCACCACCAAAGCGCCACATCCATATCATAGTGGGTACGTAGCAGCTGCGATCCAGGCTTTCCCTGGTCATTCATCCCCGATTTACAGATGTACCATACCCGAATATCTACTACTATTTTCGAGGTGCAGATGCATCGGAGGAAGGAATGGTTCGAATCCAATCGCATGAAGACGTCATGACATTCAAACAACAGATCCAAGATCGTCATAGTAATCTCAGTGATTTGCCCTCTGCTTGCTTAAAGCTCTTCAGGATCTCGGAGGACGATGTCCAGGAGAGTCTTGATCAGATGGACGGTGGTACGGCTCTCACCGGGAGACAGAAGATATTCGAATGTTTCGCGGATAGTCCAGTTCTCGAGAATTATTGCGTTGTTGTCCAGCTTTCTTCCCCTGAGTGTAAGTAGCTCTATGGCCTCTTCGAGTTATACTGAACTCAATCTTTGATAGCGATAAATAAACGTCGTGCGGTGGCTAGGCGCCCAGTTATGGATGCAAGGGGCCCCATTAACGAAGGGGATTTGATTATGGTGGCGCGGAACAACTTCCTGAGAGACCGTCCCAAAAAATCGCCATCGAGCAGTGGTCAACCATCGTCGTTTCATAACCTACAAGGAAACTTGAATACCCGGATACCCTGCGGTCGTCCTCGCAATAACGAAGAAACCATTCCTGCAACGCTTTTACATCCAGTCTTCGGCCAGTTCCTTGATGGCTGTCAGACTGAGGAGGTGAAAGCAGAAGATAATGAATTCATTCAGAAGCTGGCAAATGTGATGTCGGACCTTCATAAAGACGAATCGGTGCGGATAAAGGAGGTTAACAAGGTGCTTGAAACTTACGGACTCAACTTTAACCTGGGCGTCAAAGTCAAAGGAACCGACTATGTGATGGATGGTGAAATGAGCACGAACGACTATCGATACGTGATTGCCGAATTCAAGAACGAGACAGCAGCCGCAGCTTCGGAGCCTTATATGCAGGCTGTCACATACTATCTGGAGTCAACCAGCCAGCAGGCGCTTCAGACAACCGGATCTGCTTTACCTTGTTTTCTCTTCCTACTTTTTGGTCAGTATTCAGGCTTGACGACTGTAACATTGACATCCAACCACTTTTCCCCCCAGGACCGTACATTGTCTTCGCTGGTGCTGTGTGGAATTTACGTCCTATAGTGCAGGTTCTTTCGACCCCACTGGCGTTGCACTATCATTCCACCGATACCGACAGTCAGATCAACGCGGCTCGCCACATGGCTGCATTCCGGAACGCCGTTCGATCACTGGGGGAATACTATGAAGGTCCCCAACCTGGGCCTGCTACCACCCCCATGTTGTTCCCATATCGCACGTATTTCACGTCTCTCGATGGCTCTGAGAAAAAGAAAATATTCCGTTATAAGCAACAGGGAAAGGACGAGCGGAAGCTTATCTTTTTCGGAGCCCTAATCGGGGAGTCAGGCTCTGAAGTTCCGATCTGTATTAAATTCGTCCGGCGTTATTCACGCGAGGCTCATGAGCACTGTGCAAAATTAGGTTTCGCGCCGACCTTGCGAGGATGCGAAACGATCCCTGGTGGGTGGTTTATGGTGGTCATGGACGACCTTCAAGGCTACGATACATTGGACGACGTGCCCAATCTCCCGGAATCGGTTTTCAGCGAAATCGAGAGTAAGCTGGCCACGCTGCATGCAGCGGGCTTCGCTCATGGCGATATCCGTGATACGAACATCATGGTGAAGCGGGAAGACAGGACGACGTTCATGATCATCGACTTCGATTGGGCCGGGAAAATCAATGTGGTGAAATACCCACCGTATGTGAATTTTGTGGACATCAAGAGGCCAGGCAGTGCGCGCGATGGGATGCCCATTCTGAAAGCTGATGATGAATGGATGCTGAAACAAATCATTAGTCAGAGGAGCAAGTAGGCTTACCCTGGGTCTGACACGAGATGTAAAACCATGTAGGAAGTATACTATACCCTTTTCTGTAATTGTGGTTAGCATTCTAGTAAGGTTGTGGTAAGAAATCTAGGAGCCATAAGGAATATTTCTGTGATGTGATCTATATAAACATGGATGTTATGTAAGAGAGAGCTGCAATCCAAGTGCATAATGATGGAAATGCTGAATATCAATGTGTGTGGAATGCTATCTGGGTGAAATAAATAAACCTATGTGTTATGCTCTGATCTGGTGACTTCATCAAATGGACTAGGCATGAAGGATGGAGGGACATTCTATGGGCCAAATGTGTCATAACCCCTATGGCTCACTACAACCAACCCTTAAGGCCTACAGATGCTTCAGGCAACCAGAGCTCTCTCCCAAAGATACTGAGGATGAAAGTAGTATAGATTGGAGATGAGTTGCAAGGTAGTGAAAAACTGCATCAGTAAATCACTTTGAGCTGTGGAGCTCTCCACAGTGCTCCATAATACACAGGGTCCCCTAGCTAGGTCCAGGCTGGACAGATGCACCCAACAACACTTTTTGCTATGGCTAGTTGCCTATTACTACGGAATGGTCACATTGTTGTGGAACTTTGTCCAGTATCTTACTTACTATGGATTGCTATGGAACTTTTGTGCTTAGATATCAGTATACAAAACTGGCCAGACTGTATTTTCCTTGGGGTGTTGTCCAGTACTCCCCATCTCAATGTTTACTTTGCAGACATGTGATCACTCTACAACTATGTATGTAACAACAGGTACAATAGGAATAGGTATTATGAAATTAATCAAGGACAGCCTGAATGTACTGGTACCTCTCTCAACCTCTTGCAGTGCAGCCCTGATGCAAGGAGTCAGTGCAAGTACGACAGATGCCCCAGTACTTACCATCCTTTGTCCACCCACTTGTTACATATGCCTTGAGCTGCCCTCTTACCATTTCTGGTCACATGACACTTACATCTTTTTGTGCCTTGGCTTCCAGGGGGTTGCCATGATTGTTACCACCATTTTTGCCACTGTCTGGATTTTGCAACACCTGCAGAAAGGTGGACTGGTCTAGAAGAGTTGTACAGCATTGTTGCTGCACTCTGATTGCTGCTTTGTAGGTTTCCCCAGTCTCATTTCCTCATTTATCCTTGTACAGTATATTTGATGTCTTGTTTTCATCATTCATCAGGAAATTAACACTTTACTATTTTTGACCTTTTTGTGCCTTTTTTTGACTTTTTTGTGACTGTTGTGACTATTTATGACTTTTTGGGAAGGAACCTACTATCTGTACTTTTTTTTTGACCATATACAGCATTTTGAAGAACAAAAAGAGAACAGAATCTATTGAGACAACTAAGTGATGATATATCTAAGCCAAGAAGACTAGAAAATGTCTGAAAATTCAGAGATATTGAGCCATTGGTGTGATGCACACTGTCTGAGAGAGAAATCACAATATCTCTTTGGAACCTCCATCAACTTGAATGTGTGTGGTATCTACTGAAAGCTATGAATTAGGTGGTTTGAACAAGACCAAAATAAGCAAGAACAGTGCAGCCATGCCTGCAGGACATGGGTAATGATAGTAGATTCCTTCCCAAAGAGTCACATTAGTCACAAAAAGTCAAAAATAGTAAAGTGTTATTTTCCTGATGTTGCTCTGCCCCCTCACTGTGCATGTCTGATTGTGCAGCTGGTTTGGGCCTTGTTCCTATCACTAATGAGTCATGTTGACTCATTTCTATTTCATTGTTTACTTCCACAGCAACTTACTATGTACAGGTTTATTGTGTGCCCTCCCCAGGGAGGAATATAGGCAGAAGCACCATACTTTGTACTTTAGTTTTTTGCTACCTTGCAAACCCCCTCAAATATATCCTCTCTTCTCAACCTCCTCAGTATCAGACATTGTTCCCTCCAGAAGGAGTCTACTGAAGTCAGGAGTAGTAGTGCATCTACAGGGGTCATGACAAGTTCAGCCTGTAGTGTGTCCCTCTGTGCTTCATGCCTAGTCCATTTGACAAAGTCACTGTGTCAGAGCATAACAAAAGTGAAAAACTCTTGTGGATCTCACAGAGCTCAACAGTTACAAGACTTCTCACTCTTGCAATTCCTTTGTGCTATCAAACATAGAATCACACCCTTCCTATCTTAACCAATCTCATCAGTCTACAGGTAGCCACTAGGCTGTAACAACCCTCCCTAGACCAACCCCTACACTGACAGGTTACCTTCAGGTTCTTATTGTGCCACTGCTGAAAGTACTTCACTTCTCGTCGGCACTACAGTAAATAACGCATAGATGATCGTTGATCGCTGGTAAGAAGAAAACTTGGTGAAGTCGAAAGGCAGTACTGGCACATGGATGTTACACAAGAGTACTACACGAGGAAGCATGGTTCTTAACCTTGTCAACCTTGTGGGTGGATTTCAAGCATTCGTCCTTTAGTTTGTTATACACATGAGGGGGGGCCTCCTATATCTCCCAACTGCGAATGAACCACAGCAGGTAGGAATCCATTACAACTCCTCCGTGAACCGACTTTCCACGGGTGCTGGTCCAGGAGCTCCTTCCTGTTCACCGCTCCGGCTAGCTGCAGTGATCGACGCCTGCTCGTTTGGTTGGTTCGTCATAGTGCGGGCACCGCTATTTAAACGACCGTCGTTCTTGTCGCTATTCGCGAGAGGGTGGCCATCTCTGGCGGGGTTAACACTGCGTCCTTCCGGAGCCTTATCCAGTTGACGCTGTGATGGCTGTCTCGAGACGTATCCACTATGGTCCTTCTTAGTAGACGAGTAATCAGAATACCATGGGAATGAATGCACAGAATGAACTCACCGCGTACCCGTTCGGTCCTCCAGGATGGGAATACGAAGGTGGTTCTTCATTAGTCTCAGCATCCTGGTACAGATCGTCTTCCCCCTCTTCGCCCTCATCTCCCGCATCCACGTCTACATCGCTCTCTTCGACGCTTGATCCTTCCTCTCCCTCTTCCTCGTCTTCTTCCTCACTGACGTACCCTGCGGAGCGTACAGCAGCCTCGACAGGCCCACCACGATCGATCTGTTCTGAAGCAACAAGATACCTGGCACACAACATCCTAATATCGTTCCACCATTCCATCATGTCTTCACGACTCCTTGCTCTGAACGCCCACGCATGCGCACCTTTCCCTAAACCCATGCCGCCCAGCACCGAACGACGTATGGAGCCCGAGTGGCTGAACCCCTCCCCATCTTTGCTTCCCTCGATATGGAACTTGTGCGATTTCGCCCGAGATGCGGAAGGTGGACCTAGCGTACATGCTGGCAAGAATAACGAAAACATGGGTGGATGCGTGCCGATGTGTGTCGGATCGGAGGTTGGATATTCATGCAAAAACCCCGCTGCTGTTAAGACATAAAATGATTCACGGTACGTCCTTGTGAACCTCTTCTTCCTCTCCAAATATCCAGCATGGACAGGTGATGCAGCCGGATCCTCTCGACCCGGATAGGTAATGGTACTGGGATTTCGAAGGGGAGTTTCAGGATCCAACAAGTGGTCCTCCCTCGCTGCAAAAGCAATCCATTCCCTGTCTGGGGCGAGAGATGCCATGTTCGTATCCAAAACTCCCCATGCAGTCCGACACGATCGTGTACGAACGATCACGCCATTCGGCAAAGGTGGCCCACGCAGACTGGATGGCGCGAACGATTCCCTCTTCAAAGTGAGCAGAGTTCTGCTGCATGATGATGATAGATTTCTGCAAGGCGTTCTCTTCGTGGATCTGTTTCTGAAGTTGGTGGGAAACGGACATGTTGATAACGTACCTGTGCATGCGCATGACGTCAAGGTGGATGTCAGTCGCTTGTTAATTGAGAGCGAGGGAGGAAACGCACGGATCGGATTTGGGAGTCACGTTCATAGGCGTATTCTTGAACACGCTGGTGGCCGTTGCGAGTTCGCCGATCATACGAGCGGACAGTTCACGCTCTTTGGCGACGCTTGTAGCGAGTTTACCCGTATCGTTCTGAATGTTCTGCAGATCTCCCATGTCAGACACGACGCTTGGATCTTTGGGCAAGATTACCTTGATATGAGCCTTGATCTCCGTACGGAGTTTCTGAAGGTGTTGCACGATGGAGCTGTCGACCGTCCGGGCAAGATTGGCGTGTTGGTCGGCGATGTGACGTGCCTTGTCTCGAACAGTATAGAACACGTCCTGGCCATGTTGTCATTAGTTTGGGTGGTGGCCGGGAGAAAACGAAGGACGAAGAGAAGGGAAATCACAAGCACACCTGCAACCCACCCTCTCCCAAAAACTGTGTTCCACTCTTGAAGGGTACCTGAACCACGGCACCTAACTTTGTGTACTCCCTGGCGACATTACTTTCAATATCCGCGACGCCCTCGAAATATGCAATCAGCTGCTTAACGATGGCCTTCCATGCGACGAATCTGTCGATGAGGATGTCAGAGGGTCGCAGGTCTGTTGGGGCGACGTTTTTCTTGACGAGCGACTGAGTGCGTGAACGTGGGCGGGACCGAGAGCGAGCTCGGGAGATAGTGGAAGTCCGCGTCGTGGAGTGCGTTCGATGTGAGGCTTTGGAGAAAGACGGTGCACGCGACACGGAGCGCTCTTCGTTGTTGAACATGCTGGACGTCAGGAGGAGGAGAGCAGTCGACGTCATAATTATTTATTATTACCGGATGAAAGGCGTGACACCTTGTTACACGCAGTGTCACATCACATTTTCTGTCTTCACTACTTACCTTGACCGACGACCAGGCGATGAACGCGGGACTACAGAACATCTTCATATCCCTTGGCGCCATGCAAGGTGTGTTTTTTTTTCTGTTTGAAGCGAGAGAACTGACCACCGTATTACATGAAGTGGCCAGAAGAATCCCGTTTGACGATCCTGTCGTACTAAATTATGTTCGACTGGGGTACATCGCCAGCCAACTCATCATTCTTGGAACATATTTCTACGTGTCGTACAAGGTGCGTTCTGTCCCTTGGGCCTGGGGCGGGGTTGGCGCTGACGTGGTTGTGTTCGCAGGTCAAGCAAAAGAACGACCAGACTGTTCTTAAATACGGTGCAGTACCTTTTTCTTCCCAAAAAGAACGTGTCCATTCTCATGAAGGGGTTATTTGCGACAGTCGACCAACCCAATCCGATGGTACGTCTCCTTTATGACAACAGTGCAAGTTGTGACATATTCCCGTCCTCTAGTCGCCCACCTCAGGCGGACTCGTCACCACGACTGTGCGAGACTATGATCTGAGCGAGACATCGAAACTTGTGCGTCCTCCTTGCATTGCTCACCTCATCACGAATTTGACGCCCCATACAGCTCCGCGGCGCCTACTTCGGCGTCGCCATGATGGCCTTCTTCCATTTCTATCTCAAATACACGCAACCTCTCTTCGTACAAGCCCTCATGGGCCTCAAGAATCTCTACGATGCCAAACCAGTGGCTATACATATTTTTGGGAGACCTGCTGACGGGGACCTGAAACGGCCATGGAAGGCTCAGACGATGCTTGGCTGTGAGTCGGTCCTTCATGTCCTGTCTTCCTGTTTAGTTGATCATCATTACAGCCGCTGCTGGCCCCCAGACGGACAGCGCATCTATCGCAGAGGCAGAGAAGGTCGGAACGAAAAAGGAGGACTGATAGGACTGGTCTCGTTTATACGTACGCCACAGAGTATATGTGCACATTCTCTTTTTGATTATAGAGTCGATGTGACCAACATTCCTGCTTGTATGCCCGTAAACGTATATGTTAATGCGGATAGTATCGACCCCCCAACCAGTACATGCTTAATGTAGATCGTATCCGACGAGACTCCTCCGCCCCAAAATCTCACCGATCTGACAGGGCGGCGACATGAGCCACCTTCGCCTGCGGCAGCGAATGGCTAAAACGTACCTTGAATATCCCATATGCCTCCACCGCATACACGCCCACCCTTGCCCACTCTCCATTCGACAATATGGTACGCCAGTACGCGACGTCGCGCACGCGAGTCCAGACCGTGCTGTATGCGTCGAGAACGGTGGATAGCGACCGAGGAGGGGCGAGGTTTTCGGCGATGTAAATTTGTTTGAGGAGTTCGCGGGTGACGGACATGTTATAGAGTAGGGGTTGGCGGTAGGCTGAGGGGTTGTGGTTAGGAGGTGGTCACCGGACGAGGAGAGGAAACAGACATCCCAACGCGACACCAACGCGCTCCCCCACCGGAGTGAGAGTCTTTTTCGCGAACTCCAGCGCCTTGGTCAGTGTTTCCTGGGCCTTCTGCTGGCTGGATGTGCTGGCGAAGCGTGCCCTCGAGGGACGCAGTGAGCGTGCAAGGCGGAGCATCTTCTCTGCTGGTGACGTGGGGGGAAGGTGAGGAAAAATGAAAGACTGCGGGAATGTCCGGATGCGACGCTTGTAATCATCATTACACTAGGATTAGCATTTCGGCCTTGTCTACATATCTACACTAGTATTGGAACGGTTCTTCCCACTGCCCCACCCACCATGTCCGCCAGCACCACTCAACCCGGCATCCTGACCTCCGCACGCTACGGGAAAGACAAGGTCCGCGTCTTCCGCATCGTACGCAACGGACCCATACACGATGTCGTGGAGTACAACGTCCAGGTACTCTTAGAGGGTGACATCGCAACCAGGTGCGTGCAGTCCATGTGCAGTGTTGACGATCAACTGTCATCCGCGAATGCAGCTACACGCAGGGCGATAATTCAGTGGTCGTCGCTACAGACTCCAGTGAGTATCGTTGTCGACAGCCTTGGCGTTAGCTGAACAACTCCCTCAGTGAAGAATATCACATATTGTACGTTAACACCACCCCATCATAACCCGGATCCCCCAAGCCCTCTAGCCCACATTCGCGCTTGCTTAATCAATTCTCTACCACACACATGTAGATCTCGCCAAAACATCTCCCCACATCCTCACACCCGAGCACTTCGCCCTCCATCTCGCTACACACGTTCTCGCCACATACGCCCACGTTCACAAAGCCTACGTTTCCATCGAGAAACTACGCTGGTCGCGAATCCCAGTGGGATTGGAAGGCCAGGAGGCCTTGCATCCACACTCGTTCGTCAGGGATGGCGAGGAGAAGAGGTTCGTGAATGCGGAGGTGCGTACACTGGCGGTCTTTTGATCGTTACCACGGTTCTGTTTCACAGCAAGGTGACATGCTAGGCCCCCACATCTCAGTTTTTTTTTTTTTTTTTCTTCTTCTTTTTTCTCTGTAAAGTCCCTTGTTGGGGTAGATTGTCCCCTCCTGCTTGGCCCTGAGGCCCCGTTACCCCGTGCATCTCCGCCCTCTGCAAATAGTCTTGCACAGGTCTGGTGGCCTGTGCTGATCCGTTCCGTTCCCATCAGCAGCGTTTTGGTTGTCCGGGACTAACGAGTGAAGACATCTCAGCGTTAGGTCTCCCTTTTGATTTCCCCCAGCAGAGTGGAGCTTGCTATTAGCACGTTCGGTGGAGCTCACATGACTTGGATCGGGCCATTTTTTCCAGCTCCGATAAATCCTTGCCTTCTCGCGCTATTTCTCCGTTCCCTGCCGAGCCTGTGTGGGTCTAGGTCCCTTGCGGGGGTCTCTTACTCCGCACTCAAAGATTTTGGGGGTGGGATATATAAAGTGGCGAAGTTATGATAAAGGGCTGTTGCTGGACCCATTTCTTTTCAGACCCTTCATCTGCCTCGTTTTTCGATGTTGCCGCCCTTCCCCTTGGCGCGATGCAACTGATTTTGTCGCTTTCGCGGTATAGGTAGACAAGAAATCGGACGGGTCGCTCGAGGGCAAAGTTACAGCTGGTCTTACGGATCTATTGGGTGCGCCTTTTCTTTCCTTTGTACCTTACCCCTCGCTTATTGTACCGATCCATCATGAATGTCGATATTGCCTCGCCTTTCAACTCACATCCACTCCCACACTAATATATACAACATACGCCCTAACACCGTACAGTTCTCAAATCCACCGGCTCCGCGTTCACAGGCTTCATCCAGGACACATACACCACCCTCACCGAAGTCTCCGACCGCATCCTGTCTACTTCGGTCGATCTTTCCTACACCTACAAACACCCCATCCCGATCGCTTTCCCCACCGACGAGAGGCGCTTGGCGTTCGACACACCCGGGGAAGTCAGACATGCTGATGAAATAGCAAGGAGGACAAGGAAGGCGACGCTGGACTTGTTCGCTCTCGACGAGAGCGAAAGCGTGCAGGTGAGTCTGGAGTTTAGGTCGGTAGTGGTCGGATTTCTCCTTTTTTTCTGCGCCAATTCTCATGATTACATCTGGACTGACCACGGATGACGCTACTACGGCACTGTCCTCCCGGCCTCAATCCCCTTCTTGACGCTCTCGATCTCCATGGGCGTATCAACCAATTGCCACATCGTACAGGCAACCCTCTTTAAGATGGCTCAACAGGTCATCGCAGATAACGATGACGTGGAAACGGCAACGTATACTTTACCCAACAAGCATTATATCCCCGTGGATATGAGGTATATCGGAGTCGATAACTTGACGCCGTGAGTGGGTTCCCCGTTTTCCTTGCCTCTTTTTTTTTCGTTATTCGCTTCCTATTTGGTGTTGGGATACTGGACGATACCGTACCGTCATGAGGGCGGCAAAAGTCATAGACACGCACGTGCAAGAATCACTTCGTTGACCACGTCATTGCCTTGAGGGATGACGTTGGCCCATGCCTTCCGTTTACGGAAGATGTTGGCTCACGTTATCTATGAGCGGGGATAAGGATCAGGGCGGCTTGCGTGCTATGGGCGTCACTGACACAGGGCACACTACGCACGGACGAGACGAGGCTGTCGCTAGCAGATGCCCAGGTTAGGCCGTGAATAGCGTTGTCGCCGATGCGTTGCACTACCTCGGTCCGTCCGCGCCAGCCATCACAGCAGGTGAGGATGCGATGAATCGAATGGTGCGGTATGCGAGATTCAGTAGAACCCGAATTCAGGGCCGGATACCCCGCATATAGCCTTATGACATGGTGTCTGCGGTCGCCTTGCATATGTCCTTTCCCCTCCCTACCTCCCTGTCCCGTTTAGGGCCAGAAAATGATTGGGGTACACAGTGATCGAAATCCTATCGAAAACGTCCGTGTCTGCTGGTGTCCTGCTGCTTGTTCTACCGCCGGATGGTTTTTCCTTCCGGTATTCCCCTTTGCGTTTGGCCAACATTTCGCTACCCGATATAGGCATGGGGTTAGCTGAATGCACCGCCGAATACGACAGCTGTAGAATGCAGTGCAACGCGTGGGATTCGCGATGGGATGGGAAAGACAACACAATGAACGGACTTGCTTGGCTTCTTCTCGTTCTATGAAGGCGCTCATTCGTTCATTCATGGTGGAAAGGCTGTGAGATGGGGTTGCTGCGCACGTGTAATTCTCTTGCCGGGAGATGGTTGCATGTTGCGTCAAGGGTGCATCAGCGGCTCCGATCGGTCGCTGCATCCCCCTACTTACGATCGAATGGGGGTTCAAAGTTGGGATGGAAAGCCGATTTACTATGCCTGTGAAAGGGTGGGAATGGTCGTAATGAGGAGGTCCGGGTGCGCTGGACAACGGGGGTACACGAGACGAAACAATGCTTCGTGTCGGTTATGTACCGCCCGAGCTACCAAGTGAAGGTTGACACCCCGTTTTGCATCAGGTATCCCATGCGAAGTCAGGCCACATATCGGGATATCGGGCGGACAAGATAGCGTTCTGGAGAGGTTTCTTGTCATTTATTTTCCGCAGGGTTTCACTACCCCTTTTGACACTAAGCACGAGCGCTGTTTGCTGCGTCCGCGCGCTTCTCGTTGACTTCTGTGGCGAGGTTAGGTACCAGGTGGACGGTCATGCTGACTGGGGACGTTTCTGGTCGTTTCTTCGTGACAGATCCAAGGCAGAAGTGTTCATGCCCGTGTCCGCGCCGAGGTAAGCGTGACATACACATTCAGGTTGAACTTTGGTGACTGACGTCAGACCGCGTGTTTGTTGTGCTGTTGCAGTGGCTTGATCTCCGCCACGATCTCGCGTAAATAGGAGTAAGCACATTGCGTCATTGCGTTGAGTGTGCATTGTCTTGACGACGTTGGTAAAGCTTCTCAATGTCTTATTTTGATCTCTGACACTGTTTTGTGTGTGTGGTTTTGGTAACATTTCGGAGAAGGTTGAGTGCGTGGAGGGGTCGGTGTCTCGTGTTTTGTTGAGAAACTATGCAACCGTAGGTGGGGGCACCAAATAAAATCGGTAGAAAGATAACGTGTCAGTAGCAGTATGACATCATGCGGGAACATCCGATTTGGATCTGAGATCTGGGGTCTTGCTTGCGATGACGGAGGTTGGATTTTGATAAATATAATTACACGGTGTTGTCATACTATAGCATCCGTTCGTGAGGTCCTCATCACATCGACTCTGCAACTTCTACTCGTCCTCTTCACTTCTACAGTTCCAAGAAGAAAAGGAGTGCATAAGTATACCATGGGTGGTGATCATAAGTGCCCTGTGTGTCAGGCGACGTTCACCCGTCCTCAACATGTAGCAAGACACATGCGCTCGCGTACGTTCCTTTTTTCTCCATGGATCTCAGAGTTGGTGTTCCACCGGCTCCACTTGGTCGGGGTCGTCGTAACGACCAGTCGGTGGTGTTGGTGCACAAACTCCCCTCCGTGCCTCTCATTTCTGTCCTACTTGCTTTGCTTGCTGACGCTGCCCCAACTACAGACACTGGTGATCGGCCGTACAAGTGCCAACATTGCGGAGACCAATTCGCTCGAAGGTACGCTTTCTATCAGTATTGCTCGGTAGTTTTCGGTCCACCAGTATTCTGACGCCTACAATTCTTTCCGTTCTACCACACAGTGATCTACTCTCGCGTCACATTAACAAGTGTCATGCGAACGAGAAAGCCCCTCCAAACACCGCTGGTGGTAAACGGAAAGGCTCCGCTGCGGCTTCGAGGGCAACGACGTCCAAGCAAGCTTGTGACCAGTGCGTTCAACTGAGTTTACCTTGTGATGGGTCCAATCCTTGTTGTACGTATCCCGTTTCCCTCCTTGGTCCGGCCTGGCTTGGCGTTTTATATTATTGTCATCATTGTTACTGCGGATGCAAGAGAGCTAAATGTACACATTTTTTTCGGTTTCCGCAGCAAAATGCGTCTCCCGCAAGTGTCGATGCACATATGTCAAGTTTCATCGTCAGACAGCCCCCATTGGCCCAGGGCACCAGCCTCCCCGGTCGGTGGCGCCCTCCGCTTCTTCGCCAGTTATAGGCAGTACCCATCCACACTTGGATGACTTGATCTTGGGACCACCACCACCTAGCGTACCCAGCATGGCGACGAGCGTTTCGGACTCGTTGCTTAGTACCCAGTTTTCGTTTAACCCAGCATATCCACCAGCCTCGACGGTTGACCTTTCTTCTATACCTGTTTCGGTGGCGTCATTGGACGTTATGACGGACAAATTTCGTTCCCACACCGATTTATTGCGGCGAGGCGGAGGGTCCTCGTCGTCATCGTCTACTTCCGTTCTCCCCGCATCGACCACTGGAGCTAATGTTTTCTCCGGCATTTATGCGAGCCAATCGCAACCGGGTTGGTACTCATGGGGGGATCCTGCATCGGGCTCGGCGAGTTTGTTTGATGCAAGTCGATTCCTTCCTCCATTGGACGATAAGGACTTCCCGACTGGTGTAACTCGCGCTCAGATTCCTTCGGCTGTCTCAGAGGTGTTTGACCCTGACTTTTATAATCCCAATGGCCTCGGATCGGGGTATCGCGCCCGACGTGCATCGCTCGATTTCAGCGATAGCAGTAGCGCTCCCTCTCAATCTGTCCCCTCCAGTGCAACGTCGAAGTAGCGTCCACCTCCCACTCCCAGGTCCAGGGGAGCTCTTCGACAACACTTCGGACGATGTAGAATGTCAAAGGCGAGAAATGTTGGTGGATTCGCAGCGTCGAGATGTTCCCTGTTCGCAACCGTCAAGCTATCCGACTTCAGAACAGCCACGTCCTACTTCAGAAGGTGGATTTTCTTCCGCGTTTGGTCTCATGTCGATCGAAGATCAGAATGCCCTTGCTCAACTTCAGTCAGATGGTGTTCCATTTTTTTCCAATGTCGGCGTAGGCGGCGTCGTTCCGCACTCCCCAAATGCGACCCCAATGCCTGCACGACAAGCGTCGCATCCGCAGCAACCGGGTCACCAACCTTTCAGAGACCGCGGGATGTCCCTTTCGGCTCTGCATACTCCGGGCGAGATGCGAGAGTTTTGGAAGGCGTATGTTCGCACGCCGCTTAGCGGACCAGCAGGAGATGATGCCGCACCAAATACGAACACCTCACAATCACAGCAGACTCAGATGCCCATGTCGCCATCCAGCCAACGGCGGCGCTTACGCGTATCGTCCTTACCCAGTGTAACGCCCACTGTTGAAAGGGGGCACCCGCTGATGAATGGATATGGTGGGGGACACGGGGAAGGGTCGCGAGGCAGTTTGCATGGAAACTCGGATGACCTGCGGAGTTATGAGGCTGCCGTGAATGCTCGTTCTGCTTTTATGAACCTGAATCTCGTTCCGCGACGCCGCGGAACACGCCCTGGGGCGAGCACGAGTCCTGTACCGCCATCTGCGTCTGCAGAAAATCAGTCTACGACGGATATGACCGCTCTAAGTCGACCTTCATCTTCTTCCTCGGTATCGTCACTTGCGCATGCGTTTGGTCCACATCAGTCCTTTGTGAAACCCCCACCGTTATCCAATGCATCGATTTCACTTCCTGTGCCTTCCGTACATGGTCACGGACTTGACAGCGGATCATTTGGGAACTCGCCGCGCGAACTGCCATCCCGAGAGTCGAGCGTAGCATCCGATGGGACTGGGAGTTCGGAGGGAGAGGTGTTTCGGCCGTCGTTTAAGCGCTTGGCATCGCAGACACTTGGCCCCGCCAACTCAAAGCGCGCACTTGTGGAGAGGGGTGCAGGGGGTAGTGGTGAAACGATCGCGGTTGCAGTCGCTGATGGAGGTAGGCTTAACGCAGGTGGCAACGCGAGTAGGGAGCCACTGGGCACTGGAAATGCCCCTTTGCGGCCTATGGCTGCGCTACCAGATCGAGCACGACGTACGAGCGAAGCAGGCCTGGCGTGATCCGGGCCTAGCAACAAATTGACTCTGGACTTGGTGATGCGGCAGGATTGAAAGGAAAACGTTGATACTCGAGTCATACTTTTTTTTCTTCCTTTGTTTAGTTACCCGGACGACATTGAAAATAGTCGGGCAAGCACTTACGACGTGTAGTCCTTTTCATGCTAGCTTACACCTTTGCTTTTACCCTAATAGCACTTGGATTAACGCTGGCGGATCTCCGAATTTCCACGAAAGGATCTCGTGCTCCATGTGCATCTCTCTGGAGTCTGCTATGGCACACATTCTTTCACCGATTTTTTTGGGGGTTCTCCAGGCATGACGCCAAATATTTACTAACTAATTGGTGGATCGATTGGGGTTTTCGAACTCGGAGGTGACTATGATTGGCGGGCCCCTGAGCAAGGAGGAGAAGGCATTATTTTGTAATTCCTTGCTAACCAGTATCCTCCATTCCGTTTATTTACAGAAAACCTGTAAGTACTGTGAATCAGCAGTGGCTGGTCAGCGCTGTCAGCCCCTAGCAGGTGGGAAAAAACGAATGTGCGCACCGCACCCGGGTAAGTCCTTCCCCGGCAGTCCCTTAGTAAATGCACTGATTACTAACTCGAATCCGGCGAGACGTGAAACGCCTCATGCGCTAGGGAGGTCGGAATAACCGCGGATCGGAGACTAGATCGGGAACAGAGGGGCTGAGACACTAGTGTTCGCCTGGCGGTGGCAGAATTTACTATTGGCTGGCCGCGATTAATACTGATATGTTGGGTTCCGTGAGCTCGGGAAAAACAGAGAGCCTCCTGTCGATTCGGCGACCTGTGTTGTGAGTAGGTTTTCTCGCCCTTTGAGTTGTCTGTCTCAGTCACTGCTGCAATTTACTGGTGACGGGACGCTGAAACTTGTCAAGAAAGCCAAGGCATGCCAAGTACTGCGGAGCGTGTTGTTCGTCTTATACGAGTACGTTATTCCAGCGTGATTATTTTTGGCCTACAGTCTGTTATGGTTGCAGTCCTCATACTTTTGCTCATCTCTTTATTATTCTCCTCTCTAGAGCACCATTGCCTCTATGGCTCCTCCATGTCGCTCGTTTGCAACGTCGCCCGCTTCCGGACACTCTTTTCTTCGTTACTTTTCTTTGTTTTTATTGGTGTTGTTCATCCTGTCGTCGTGTGCACGCTCAGCATCGCTATCACCCGTGGACGTCGTCATTCCTCAGGATGCAACCTCCCAATCGCCCTTCACAGTGGTCCAAGATAATTTTCTGGGGATATCCTTCGAACTGAATTCATTCGATACCTTATGTACGGTTCGTTCCTCCTTTATGCCATAATTAGGAAACTCATCATAGCTTCTTTTGCCTGCGAACATACTTCAAACGTCCACGATCGACTTTTAAGGGGGAGAAACACCACTTACGATGCCCAACCCCATGCAGAATTACCTTGCCAATCTCCGCGCACGCATCCAGTCACCCCTTCGCATTCGTGTGGGCGGCAACAGTATGGACAGTTCCACTTTCGTTCCTGACCAGAGTCAAATGATCATTCTCACCGATCCAAACGCATACTTTAACGACGTACCTGTCGACTTCGGTCCCACGTTCTTCGATGTGCTCAATTCTATGGCAGATGTCGTCGGTGAGATGGACTTTATCATTACGCTGAGTATGCAGGATCCATCCAACGATACGGACGTGATTGAACTTGCAAGGGCTGCTGACGAGATGCTCGGGGCGAGACTTGATTCCATGCTTTTAGGAAACGTATGTGGCTAGATTCCACAGTGATTCGCGAATCATATACGTAACTGGCGCCGTTACGATGTACTTCTCGCTTTACAGGAACCTGATCTATACTCAGGACATGGGACAAGGACAAACTACACGATACAAGACTATGTGAGTGAAGACGTTTAGACTGAGCGCAGTCACTTTCATCATCCGGTTCAGATTCCAGAAATTGGAGAGGTTCTTCACGACCTAGAGAACTCTGTGTACGGCGACCTCATACCCAACCCTGTTATTGGCGGCCCTACTATATGTTGCAGTTGGTGAGTCATATGGCTGCTGCTCGTGCTATGAGCCCCATACGAATGTGATCCTATTCGGCAGGGACCTGTCTGATGTGCTCGATGCGGGATTGTCGCAGTATCCCTACAAGTACTACACGTTACAACACTACCCCACGAATATCTGTAACGGCGCGAACGCACAGAATACAAATATATCCTACTTTGTTTCGCACACGAACAGTGAGTTTGTTAGACGTTCTAGGCTACTAATTATGACATCATTATCGTTGCAGTTCCGTCATACGCTCAATGGCAAAGCACGGGAATCAATATGGCACACAATGCAAGCGTTCCAGTTCTTATGACTGAATATAACACTGTCTCGTGCGGCGGCTCGAGCGTTTCTGATACGGTAAGTACATTATGTACCAATGTCAGCCATTTTGCTTACCGTTCGCCCCTTTGTGTGACGCTGTGTGACGTTCCTTATCGCGTCATGCTGGTTGTGTAGTTCGCAGCATCGCTATGGGCCATCGATGCTGCGCTCAACTTCGCGGCGTCTGGTTTAAGTGGTGCCTTCCTCCACACCCGCGAGTACGGTGTCACATACAATCTCTTCGATCCTCCATCACCGACTGATTCCACTGCGTCGGGGTGGCGTACTGGCTCTCCTTACTACTCTGCTCTTTTCCTCTCGGAAACGTTTCCACCGAGCGGCGTTGCAGTCCTCGACATCAATCTCAACAACTCGATATACGATCCCGCAGCTACAGTCGCTGGTTATGCGCTCTATGGCCAGAACGGAACCAGGTGCGATCGGCTCGTCCTGATCAATTATGGTAACGACGGAGGGAACGCGCGAAATTTTACGATCGGTTCAAGCATCGCAAATTCTGCAGGCGTACGGGTTCTCGAGGCGCCTACCATCTCTGAGACCACGAAGATTTCCTGGGCAGGACAGACCGTTGGTCCGAACGGCGAACTTGAGGGAACACAAACCACACAATATTATACGGACTGTGCGTATGGGTGTAACATCACTATCCCGGGGCCTGGTGCTGCTGTCATCGTGCTTGACGTCACTGCTAGCAACGCGTCTTTTTATGTTGGGAACTCGACCATCGCAGGGCCCGGATATCAGGGAAATAGCACGGAGGGATCTTCGTGTACCACCACCTCAGGTTCGGCACTGAAGAGCGTGGGTAGTTATGGGAAAGCATGGGGATGGGCGGCGGCTGGGATGGTGATGTTGGGAGCTTTGCAACCCGTGCTCTAACTGCTTGCGCTATTTCTTTTTTTTAAAAAAAGCAAAGCTTGGAACAATTGGAATAGATACTACCCCACAAACTGCATTTCCATCGATGGACTTGACATCCACCATAACAATGTAGGACCTCATTCGTTGCGGCTCGTTCGTTTTTTCTTGCCCTGATCATGTCAGGAAGTTATGATAGATAAGAGCGGAAAGAGGTGTATGGTGTAGATGTATAGGTATGCTATACATTACGCTAAAGCCGGAGCGAAATGTTACTAGAGGGGAACTGGAAAATGCAGTGTTGGAGTGAGGGTATTCAAGGCAAATGACGGGGGAAAGGCAATTATGGGTGTGGAGTACTGCGTGAGTGACAGGGAAACTAGTTGTTAGAGACGAAAGCAAGTGATGGATAGCGACAATGAGGAAGCAAAAGGATGTACGTAAGGATGCGTGTGTGGGTGATTGAAGATCGTCATAGTAAATGCCACAGGTATGGCTTGGAGCACGGGAGCAGGGGGATAAAGTGTATAGAAGGTTGAACGGGTCACTAGGACTAAAAGATTAGACTGATCCACATTCAAGAAGCATTCCTTGTGTGTGTCGGATAAGATTACAGTATGACCCGGTGTCTATCGAGGGCCGAGCGGAGAAAAACATGAAAATCAGAGCAGGCAACATGTCGAGTCACTGGGGAGGGCTTCGGCAATCATCTTCATCAAGCCATGCAAATCCACTACTGTGCCATCTCGACAAGTCACATATGCTTTTATACGGCCGTACTCGGTGGTACAAGCACTGCAGTGCGAGCGCCACAGCACCGAACCTTTAGATCGCCCGACCTTTACCCTTCGAACTCGCCGTAAAGCTCCAGCTCTGCGAAGACAGAACGGACGAGGATGAGGTAGTGGTGGTAGTGGAAGTGGAAGGAGGTAGCTCCGGAGACGAACGAAGGCGTGAGTGGACCCGGCTCCCGCCACGCGCAGGGCTGACGGACTGAGCCTGGTCCGCATAGCTCTGCACGGACTGAGCACTGATCAAGTGTCCAGGCTCGCACCCATATTCAAGCCCGGGGCCCAGTGAAGGCTGATGAATGGCCGGGAGGTTGGTTGTTTGTTGAGGCATGTGTCTAGGCGAAACACCAGAAACCGACAATGCATATTCATAGCCAGTTGGCGCAGGGACTGAAGAAGCTCTTCCACTACCCTGCCCATGAGCTTGACCAGACTGGAGTGCCGTTTGTACAAAGCACGACTGTCCGGACCATACCGGCTGGCTGTAAGAACTAAGATCAAGGTTTGCCGGCGTGGTTGTGTGCAAGTTTCGAGAAGAGGGTATGACGCTAGGGTACGGGGTCCCTGCACTATTTGTCCTGCGAGATCCTGGCCTGGTACGACCTTCGCCTACGAGGTGTCCGCCGTCCCCTCGTAACTCCGGGTCAATGACAGTATTGTCAGTGGGAAAGCGGCTGCCCGACATGCCCTGCAATGACGCAGCAGAATGCTGAGACGGACAACCGAGAACAGGTTGTGGACGCATCTCAGGAAGGCTCCCATCCGTTTCGTCGTCAAGCTCGGAGGTATCTTCCTCGTCATCTTCCTCTGAGTGCGAGTGCGATGCCCTGGATGCCCTGCTGCGTCGCTTGCGGGCACGTTTGTAGCCCTCTCCGCCAGATACATCAAGCTGCCAGTAACTTCCCTTCCCAGGGTCGGTAATGGGCCGTGGAACAGGGCGAAACACCTTGTTGAGCGATAGGTTATGACGGATCGAATTCTGCATTTTCCATCAGGAAATTCACGTGGTTAATTTTAATTTTAATTAAAAAACATACTTTCCATGCCCGCTCATTGTGACGCTCACGGAACCAAGTGAAGCGTTTTTCGAGTTCGCTGTAGATCTCCTGAAGGGTCAACTGCTTGTTGGGACTGCCGTAAATCGCAAGCTTAATGAGCATCGGATAGGGTTGATTAGGCTTCTCGCCGGGGGGGGGATCGGAAAGAGACCATAGGTTGACGGGCTCATGAGGTTGTATACCAAGTTGTTGACGCAGGTAAGGGCCTGCGTCTGGGAAGAGAGATCTTCCAGTATGACTGGTTGTGGCGGGGGGGGAAACCGAAAAGGTTGGTGCGCTCCCTTGGTGATGTGGGGTGGACGTTGAAGGGTCAGAGTTGGGAGATGGCAGGTAGCCCATTTGGGACGATGGACGCTTGTGTGGGGGGAGCTGGTCAAATGTTTCTGGCGCAAGAATGTTGCTCAGGGGATACCCTGGAAAAGTAACGTGGCAGCAGTGTGTACCAGGGGTGTTGGGCAAGTGATCGCCGTAATTGACGGTCTCTAGACCAACGCGATGCCGACCCTGATATGCAGAGTAGTGACAATACGGCTGCCTCTGAGAAGCGGAACGGGGCAAGGGGACTTGATGTTGGGTATATTCTACGGGAGATTGCGAATGGGATAGACCGCAGTAACCTTTTTGAGTAATCCTGTGTCCAGATGAGGAGGATGCAGTTGAACCCGCACTGTGGTTGCTTTCGACTAAGAGCTGTGACTCAGAGGGACCAGGCTTGTTGCCGCCGTATAAGTGCTGTTGGTGTGGCGTACATCCGTTGATCAGCGCCGCGAGCTGCCACTAAGTGAAACAAGGCAAAAACAACTCACGGATTGCAATGGGTCCTGGTACACAAGTGGGTCATACGAGTGTGTGGCGTGTGGCCCAGGGTAGGTGTAAGCTTGTGGCGTCACCGATTGGTGATGACGGGGAGGTATGTACGGTGTATCCTTGGGCAGGTGGGGTTTTCTGTTGCTGGGTGTCGGGTTTGGATGATGACCGATGTGCCCAACCCCTGTATAATGTGCGGAGGGGTTGGTGTGCGCCTGCCCACCGATGTGGGCGATACCGGAGATAGACTCGCTGCTATCGGAGCGGGAGTGGAAGCTTGAACTGTCTCGTTGGATTGATAAATAGCCTATATCAGGGGACAAGGTAGCACGCCAGCTGCTGACGGGATTTCCAGAGCCGCGACCCATGGAATACTACCTGTGGCAGCCATTGTCATATTGGAAAAAATGGTGGACCCACAGTGCCAAACATCAGGAAAACAGCATGCCGCAAGGTATGATGTTCGTGTCGCGCTACGTCTCGCGCCGAACATCATTACAGTATTAATATTATATAAGTCCGTTCCCGTGAAGTGTGGCAGTGAAAATCAGTCTCGGCGCGGACCGGTGGAGCGTCACGCGCGGAACTGCGAGTTGCGACTGATGCGGTTCAGTAGATGGTTCACGCATGTCTTCAAGCACGAAGTAAACGAAAATTGACAAGTAACGAGAAATTCAAATATTAACCTGCAAGGATAAAGGATCTCGCCATCCAGAATTCATCACCGATAATATCACAATGTAATACTTCCGTTCTCGTCCTGGCTCTTTTCTTCTTCTCTTCCGTGGATCTCTCAAAGGGTATCTGCAGGGCAACTGTCTGTCCGGCACTGTGTTCCGAGGTAATCTCCGGCGCTTCCTGAGGCTATAACCAGCGTGAACGATACTCGTGTTGGGTCGTAAAGAAGTGCACGCACCACTCGTACAAGGACGCTCCCTTTCTTGTACCTAGGTGAGATGTCATTGTAGTTGATGTTAAATTGTTGAAAAAGTATTTCCTGTTTCATAGCAGACACGGTACCCTAATAACCAATCAGTACCATCAACGAGTGATCCGACGTTTACATTTACCCTGAGCGTGGCATGTGCTTCAGAAGTCGTCTTTCCTCCTTGTTTCACAAGTGCCCAAAACGCGGTGTTATATAGATTATTGATGTGTGCTGGGCGCTGCCGGAGCAGCCCAAGTGAGAGGCGAAGAGACAAAGAGGATGATAAGGAATTGCTTACTGTCGGCTTGTCGCCAAGAAAAGTAGTCGCGCACAGACCGTTCGTCTGGATACAGAACGATGCGACCGTCGAACGAGGGTGGGTATCGCATTGATGTGTCGGGGAAATATTTCGACCAGTGGAATACATAGCAAGAAGTAAAATAGGATGTGAGGGTCGTAAGTATTTTTGCTTGCCGCCGATTGTACAGGTTCGTGGATCTTCGGAGTAGAAAGCTGAGACTCGCACGTCTTTGGCTGTGGTGGTTACACTGAGCAGGACATGGCTCACCTGAATTCGTCCGATTCACCGAAAGCAAGGACAATATCTTTGTATTCGGTCATGACGTCCATAGCTGCATGATCCATGAGTTTGAGAGCACGTTCGTCGTTGGGTTTTGTGAATCCGTGCTCCTCAGAGAACCTGTGCCAGTAAGATGTGAAACCCGGCTGATGGACCGTGACTTCTTACCTGTGGAACGAGTGTCCATCTAATCTGCAAATCAGAAAACATCCCGGTAACAATGGATCGGGGAGTTCATAGTTACGAACGTAGGCATACTTTGAGTTTGCCATGATGCTGTCGATCAAAAGCTGATATCAATAACTTCTGCGGCACGCCCCAGGTGATTTTCCCAATTTTGTACTTATGGGGCGTGGGAGAGGCCTGGCCGACTCTGACTAGGACTCTGCACCACACCCCGCACACGAGGCAACGACTGAACTCACAGCAACTGTGCATCCTCGCTTTCATAGTTTAGCCCACATAGCACCTTACTCTACTCTGTACAACCGACGCTTATTGCTCTATCAGCGATCTCACCATGAGCACAGGCACAGCCGCCCCAAACTCCCCCTACTCCTCCTACTTCAGGAGACGGCTGATTGGCCGTGCGTCGTCGCCACCTACATGGGCTTGCTACGAGCAGATCCCATATGACGACGAGGAGGACGAGGACGATGATTATACTGATAGTCAGTCCGAGGATAACTCGTGCTCGGAGGACGGCGAGGATTACGGGCGTCCTTCCAGTAATGACCCAGACGGCGACCGTATCGAGAGGCAGGATGATACACAGAATATGGAGATCGACCATAATGCTTGCGACGGTGACGACAAATGCAACAACGAGAAGACGGGTTCACCTCCACCGCTGCAATCCCTGCCCAAGAAGGACCTCAAGGGGAAGCAGCGTGCCGTCGATCCGGAACCGGAGCCGACGAAGAGGCGGCACCGCAGAAAGGAACGCCGTCCGACACATACCCTCCGCCCTATCTTGACGATTCAAAGGAGTCAGGGATTTGTGTGGAATCAGGTTCGATATATTGATTCACCGCATTCGACTGTCTCACACTGAATCGTGGCGAATTTACTTGTGTCTCCCTTAGGATTTGTTCGTTCCACCCTATATCAAGGATCGATGTTCGTGCCCCCTCAGTTGTTTTGAATGTTTCGGCTGACAGATATGATGGCCTGTTTTAATCACTGGTGTTGTTAATAGACGTGGCGTCGACCTCACCTCCAGGCTCAAAAGGCTTTATCTCTAATTCGTGGTCGAAGACGTCCTCCATGACGGATTACGAAGTGGAAGTAGTCGAAATCCGTGTCAGGGACGATGAGCTTTACGATATCATCCCTACCTAAATTCCCTCTCGTTTCTTCTCTTTGCTCTTCCCCACTTTTATTCTCTCTCTCTCTCTCTCTCACTGCATCCTTTGAACTGGAAAGTGTACGTTTTCGCTCTCCATCGGTTTTCGAATGTCCGGCACGATATAGCATTTCAACCATCCACTTGGTTGCTTTTTCCCGTTTTCATCCCGCTTTTTTGCGTTATTTGTCCCTTCCTAGTTCTGTTTCCTCATCAGCTTTCGGGGAAACCGAGCGAGGTATTGTTGTTTCACTACTACTGTCCATAAGGCTAAGTTGGATAGACGGCATGATGTACACTGAATCGCATCCTATACATCCTTTACGAATACACTTCTACCCTCTATTTCCTATATGAGCTCCCGCAACCGTCTTCTCGACTGTCATCCATCAGCCACGTCTTTCGGTAATACGGCCGTCCCCTGACTCAGTCTCCAGCGATCGTGGCCATCAGGGCGTCGTCAACCTCTTTCATACGTGCCAATTCACGCATTTTCTCCTGCTCCTGCTCCCGTACGATGTCGTTCTCGCGGGCGACGAGGTACGTCGGCTTCATATACGGCTTATAATCGAGGTGACGTTTGACGTAGAAACACATATAGGCGTTAGAGTTCAGACAAGTGCCTAGACTAGAGAGGGTGACCCTGTGTAATCGTTCAATCCACAAGGTTACGTTGGTAGCATGGGATAGCGATGGTTGAGATTAGCTCTCGTGTGGATGTGTGTAAGACTTACTTCTCATCGTCGAAACGATACCACTACTCGTGCAGTTGTAGTGCAGTTGTTAATAGATTGAAGGTGTCGTTGTAGCGGAGGGACCATACCTCGTCCTGAAACCGCGCGAAGTTGGTATAATGCCCATTCTCCATCTGGCCTTCATGATTGATGACTGCAAAAAGGTCGTATTCATACATCGCATCCGGCCCTGGATACCTGCTTCTTGGTGAGGGAAATGAAAAACATGAAGTGAGAAGAGACAAGGGCACCGTCAGTTTTTAATTGAAGGTGAGCCATACAGACGGCAGCGAAGAGATGGAATAGGATGTGAAAATGGACGCACGTGGTTTCGCCGTTGCTGGACGTTGCGAGAGTGGTATAGGGTGCCATGTTGATCGCTACGGGGAACCGTACAGGCGTGTCGATCTTCTGCGGCACACCTTTGGAGACTGTCTTGTGCTCGAAGCGCTACGTAATTTAATTTAGCCATCCATCCAGCGAATGCAGACTAGGAGCGCGGAGGAAGAAAGAAAACGAGACAGACCTTGAATTGGAAGCTCAGGACAGGTGGGAGTTTGCGAATGCTGAGTCGCCTGACTGCCTCGTGCGTTGCCTTAGCACATTTTGTGCAGCTGTATTCTCTTCCCAGTTTTTCGGGCTTCGTATACCTGGATCAAACATGCCACAGCGTATAAACGGAAATGAAAGGAACACAGCCGGACAGGGTACATGAGCAATTGGACTCATGCGAATTATGAAACGTAATGAAGGTACCTGCGCAAGCACCCAGCAAGGGTGATCTCCTTTTCTATCCCCGGATCTCTCAGTTCGAGGCTGATGTCCAGCATTGGATCCACGGTGCGGGTGACATTACCACACCGCTCACAGGTTACCTCGCTTTGTAGCTGCCCTGCAAATGTCTGGTGCACGATGCAATTACACGAGATGTTTGTCGATCCACGGCATGTCCCATGAATCTGGTTGAGTGCGGTAATGAAGAATTCGTGGGCATCTTGCTGTGCGTATCCTGACATTTCGGCTGATACTTTCCATGTTGTAGCGAGGAATGAGGTCGGGCCGAAAGGTGTTGTAGAGGATGAATAAATCTAAGCGCAGAACCGACGGTCAATGACCACACAAGTTACTGAAGAGAGATTAACTTCTGTAAATAAACCGTCCATCTCGCAGCAAGTACAATCCGTATGCTTGCAAAGTCGGCTATTATGCCGATCTCCGAGAAAGAAGTTGCGGAGGAGAGGGTTGTAAATGAACGATTGGAGGATAACATTGAGAAAGCAGGTCTGTCCAAGATTTAGTAGACCACGACAGCCTACGTTGGGATTCGTTAGCAGAAGGTCGAGAGAAGATGCGCAGGTATTCACCTTGGCATGGGAGGACGGTGGTATTTTTTAGGAAAGCTGCCTCCTCGTTGTTTGGTGCCCATGGCTGGTACGGTTCGCGTGTCCGCTTAGATACTGTGACTGTCAGCTGGGCCACTCGCGCAAAGAGCAAAGCGAAGTACCCTGAAAACGCGTCTGCTGTTCCTCCACCAGAAGTATCGTGGACAGGTACAAGTCTTCGAACATGACATTGTAGACAAAATTATTGCACTGCGAACAAAACAGAGAGCCTGACTTCGTGTCAACACCTAAGTAGAGTGACTGAGTACGTCATTGACCGTTAGCGCCTGTGGAAGCCAAACTTACAGAACGGGTGGCGGGAGTCAGCGAGGTGAGAAGTAATGTGCTCCCCTGCCCAACATCCTGCGAAGGAGCAAGAGAGGCATACGAATGGACGTGGTAGCGCCAAGTGACAGATATCACATGATGGTGCTGCCATCTAGCGCGTGGTGAGATTTGCTTCGGCCGTACCAAGATCTGTCCAACAGGAAACTTACCTTCCTCCGCTTTGCCGGAGGTTGGGAAACCGCCTGCTGAGCCTTACGCGCATACCACGCGACGACGGTCTTATACTTGGTCTCTAACTCGGTTGACCTAGACGGATCTGCAAGCTCCCCGGAAATGTGTGTACAAGTGACGTCTACACCTTCACAGTGTGGAATCCCGGACACAGCGTCTGGTATTTGGCCAGGCTCGCTTCCGAAAAGGGTGTCATGTGCATTGTCGGGCGTGGACATGGCGAATGGTCCAAGTGGATTCGTGGTTTTGACTGTGACTATGGAAAGCAAAGGCTGTGAACTTAAAAGTTCAGCTCACTCCAAAACTCTTTGGAGGGGCCTAAGATACCTCGTGTGTCGTTTGGAGCTGCAGCAGGGTTGTTGTCAACGTTCAAGTGGTAACTGACATCGATTACCATATACGGAAGTACCCAAATCAATTACCAGAAGAACGGACGTTGAGTCCGTGGTAATTCTGCCAACGGTACGTCCTTTCTGGTATCGTTCTGGGGGAACAATCATACGAAATGCATCAATGATTATCGTAACTTATGATGCGGCGACTTTATAGCATTCCGTTGTTCAGGTGATACTACGAGAAGCGGTTGACCCGGTGTCTTTCTGAGTGCTCCATCGCGGGCAGAAGGTTCATCTACTAGCATCAGGAAGCGAAAAAATGGTTTAAACCTGTTTAAACCCGTCACTGACTGGTCGTGACCGCGATTCCGTCATTCCTCGTCTCTCTGATGAGCACTTGTGGCATACCCGAGCCTGTTCGGGCAAAGGTAACGGTAAACGGATGAATTGAAACGACTGTTACTTTCTTTCTGGATTTGATGCAATCGTAAATGCGGAGCGCCCCCCAGGCCGTCATCAACATCTTCAGAGGGTTCGACTCGTTTCGAATTCCACGACGGTGACTCCAAGTTTGGAGAGGCCTCACTACGTGGCAGAGAACAGCTTCAACGGCTGGTTGGCCACTGCCAAGATACCCTACTCCTACGACGCTCACATTTAGGCCTGATTGCAGCCACGCGGGTCCAGCCTTGATGCCTTAGGTCTATGGTGGTGCAATTCTTCTGTGGTTTTGGTGTCTAAGTCTTTTATATTCGTGCATTGAAGTCGCGTCCCAGCATTAGAAATTGGTGGACATTCTACAGTGCGATCTCTATCTGCGCATCTTAGTCACTTTTCGTCGAACCCTTGCCGTGCGACCCCAGTCCATCTAGTCGGGTAGAGACGGTAGCCCCCGTTCCTGGTCCCCTCACTCCCCTTGCAGAAGTAGGCTGGGCATGTATTGCCCACCTATCCTTTTGGTACTTGCCATTCCCTTTTCCGTTACTGCTTGAACGTTATTCCCGTCCTAAGTGACCACGCCCTTCAGTTACGTAGACTTCACATCGTGAAATTAATATCCAGCGTCATTGACTTCACCAGGCCCTTCTGGTTCAGGTCACGAATCTATCACTCGAAATAAATGTTCAGTGCATGTACCACTGGTATGATTTCTCCATTGTCGCTTGCCCTCGAAGGCTAGTTGTTATAAGTTGCCTACTTGCACCCGAATCAAACAAGGAAAGATTCGAAAGGAAACGGAACACCTGGTCTACATGTTTTCAGTTCGTAAAGTCCATCTTCCGTTCTTTCCACCGATTCTAGTCTCGACTTCACATACTCCCCCAGCGCGCCCATCCGTTCTGCCACCTGAAACCACCTGAATATTTGATATGTATCACGATGGCCAAATAGCCTTCAGTCGGTGCCTTTCAAACACCCTTTGAGTTCGGTCGTATAACTCGGAATTTGATTCAACATGTGACGATGACGCTAAGGGTGAATCAATATACTCGCTTGACTACGTCCACATTCTTCTAAGCGTTCCCGAACATCCTCCGCTCCACTCGCCGGTGCGCGAATGACTCCATGAAAGATATTGTCACAAGTCGAATTTCCGTTCTTGTTATCATTGAACGTGGAGGTAGCCTTAGAAATAGCTTTCAGGAAAATGGACCCAAAACCTCTCGTGCGTAGAGTCGGGTCGCCTGTCAACTGATCCGAATGAGCAGAAGCACGGGACATGACTTGTCTCTTTGATGGGCTAGGCGAGGGGGCGTTTGTGCCGGACTGATGAACTCGGCTAAGTGCTGGGTAGAAGTATCAGCGTTCCCAGGTAGTTCGCTTAACGGTAGTTGTAAGCACTTAAGGCGTTCGCACGGCCCTACACAAGGTCAACACATCAAGAGGACAGCCATAGCACCTAAACATACTGATAGAACTGTAGGAGTGTTAGCCTCGTCTCGCGTGAGAAGACCTGACGCTTAGCAGACTTGATATCTGTCTTGATGATGAATATCATAATTGCCATTCACTTACAGAATAGAAGCAGGAACGGCAACGGCAATTGCAGCGAGGACGACAGACATGATAGCCACTGAACACGTTGTGACTTGAAGTACACTTTGAACCTGCCAATCTAATATCGATACGAATGTTCATAGAATATATATCTCAAGGCGCCATTAACCCGAACGGGCCTCAAAGGAATTACAATCACTGGGTACACGACAGTAGTTCATCCAAGGTAAGTTGAGAGCGAGAGCTGTCATGCCGATATTGCGTGGGTGGTACAGGCCTGTCCTCGATGTTAGCAATGGCGTCCACTGATGATGGTTTCGTGACATCAGAAAAGATAACGTGAAATCAATGCCGAAGCTCAGCAACAGCTTCTAGTTGATGATATAAAAATGAATCATCCAAAGAAAACGTGGGGGAAAATGGTTGCCAACTGATACTCACCTCAGAATACGTCATGACCATCTGTAATATGACAACAGCCTATCGCATATCCTGCCTGACAAGTCAGCTCAAGGTACAAGAGAAACATTTGGAAGATATCAGTAGGGTTGCCCGAGTATATGAGCTGTGGCGGGCATTTTCGGCAGCATAATACGAAGACCGTCGTGTATAAAACATCATCAAAATATAACCGGGAAGCACACTTACACTGCTATTGGCTGTATTACTGTCGCAAGCTCCATGAGACACCTAATGACAGTATGAGCGTGTTGTTCGAGTTGGTTAAGAAAAGGAGATCAGAAAGAAAGTAAAACAGCCAGAAGTTATCAACAGATGCAACTCGATGACGAAAAAGCATCAGGCGGTAAATCCATATTGACATCACACTGAAACGTTAACGAGGAAACAAGACTAACCTTGCTAATACACCACAAAGTGATTTGGTCGAAGCCTGGAAAACCTTCAGTAAGCCTTTGCCCATAATGAGACATGAAGTAATAGATCAGTGGATTGACAGATTGAAATGTAAAAGCATCGGGTTTTACAACCCTCAGATACTCTAGTTTGAATTCGAAGATCATCCTGAAGGCGATACCCCAGAAACTTGTAAACAATGAGACTCACCACCCACGAACCCCCAGCGAATCCCGCTTGCATCAACCATCTACTTCAGTCATCCTGGGTAGAAACCGTCAGCTGTACTGGTCTGCACTCGAACAAATGAAAGAATCAGTGTAACTATGACAACGTAAAGACACACAGTGTCAATACAGACACTCGCCAATTGTAAGGATAATTTCATCGTGTTCAAAGATGAAGGAAAAAAAGCTTACTCCTTAGACTATGAGGCAGGCAGCCCTGAAGACTAGCTAGCGGCTGCTCAATGAACCCCACGAACATTCATCGCGAGTGAAATCGAGAGAGAGACTGTCGATGGTCAAACCGTTTCAGAAAAGAAAGAGAGAGAAAAAAGGTTGACGAGCTTTTATGAAAATAATGCACTGATTATGTCAGCTGACCAAGCACAAGCAAACAGTCTGCTGCAAAGACCGTCTACGTAATACTAAAGCTGCTGTTGATATCCCACAGTAATGGGGCAAGCCAGACGTGTCTGGCAGCCGTGCATGCATATCAAGTAAACCTATGTCAGTGAGTATTTTATATAGAGTAGTGATATCACCGCTGGTCCATCGCTCTCCTTATATCCCGTTAACCGATTGTTGTAATGACACCAGTCCTTTTCTTTGATTCAAGGTCGGACATAATTTCCTGCTGGCGATATTCCAGTTGTAACCGTAGAATCGGGCCTTGACTGAGTCCACATTACAAATTCTCCTAAGATGGCCACGAGCCAAAACCCGACTGACTTAAAGGCTACTACAGGTGAGGTGGCTCGAGCGGTCTTGTCCATAAAGCCAGCCTCCGAGGTAGCTGCTTATAACTCAGTTATACTGACCAGCAGATAGGCTACCTTTCGCATCCAGATTCAGGATGTTGTGATGAGCAATGTGGGCCAGGACGCACAATAAGGGGATGACTTGGGCCTGAATTTGGAAATATTCCTCTCAGTAATGCACCGGTCGATTTTTGATTTGTCGTTGCGGTGAGAGCGGTTCTTGTACGTCCCGCGTCCTTCCATTATGGCTCGTTGGTCCAGGCATCTCTCTTTCGCAACCTCAAAAATCTGTCCGCCCAAAATGCAGATGAACAAGCCGACAGATCTCCCATCCATGTGCTTGCACTACGTCATGTCAGTCGACTTTTCAGGCTGCCTTATTCATCAATGGGATCATTTCTTCCAACGGAACCTATAGCTCAGGACAGTTTGTTCCAATGCCCTCATCACTATCTGTAATCAACCTGAAGAGTCTCTGACGAACACTTTGCCGTGGAGGCCCGAGCGTGTTACCCCATCGACATTCGGGTTAGAATTCTGGCTGCTCAACACCGTGCGCAGGTCTCTGTTACAGAGATTACTATACTTGGTTGACTAGACTCAGAACCTCGACTATGCGAGGAACACCTCTTCCGTCTTTCGAGGTACCATGTGAGCTTGTTGTTCGCAAGGCTATGGCACTTCAAGCTTCGCCGAATCATCTATTTGATTGCTAATACCTTGACTCTCGCAGTGGGATCTCAGTAGTGCATCTGGAATATATCCCATGCATTGCACTTCATGACACTAGCCCCCCCCTCGGCGACCCTGAGCTTCGTGTTACCCAGCAAGAAATTCGAAACTTGGACAATATCGACCCCGAAAAAGTAAGGACGTCGACTTTTGTGGTCGAGCCGCCGAGAATAAGCTGGGAACCATGTTGACAGGCCTGAGCGATAAATATGCAAGCAAGTACGGGTGCGCTTTCTTCAACGAGGTGGTGCGATGGTCTGAACAAGGTCACTCCTTCGAGCGTGGTCAGCAGACGACTTGACTGCAACGTACTTGAGAATAAGGCTTGCTGAAGGCGGGATTCAGCCATACGTACATACCTCATGGTCTACAACACTTGTGATGCGTTGTCTTTTACACCACAGGCCAACGATAGATACAAGGACGACCTCACAATCTCCGTCTGCTCTCAAACATTCATATATACTTTGACCGTTTGCATACATACAATGGCAATAACTACACATCCCGTCCTTCTCCCGTCCTACCGATCGACCGACGACGGTCAAATTTCAAACCTAATACCAAAACGAAAAAGCACGACAACGAAACAAAAAGGAAAAGAAAACGAAATAAGAATGAACGTCGAAAGTGATAAACTAGCCCAGAAATGCACGAAGAACGAATAAGCGTGCGAGAGGTGATGTGTGTGGGGTGTGGGTGCATTGATAGTGTATAAATTATATGTGTAACAGGGTGGTTATCACCCCAGGGGACGTGAATGATTGGCATAGATATAATGCAGTTAGCCCTACGCGAGACTTTGATATCAGACTCGCTGTTTTAGCCAGATGATGCGACCAGACCTACTTACCATAGCAATTCACGAGCACCGATAGACGGCTGCGTCAACGATTAGGCAACGACGCAGTAGGCGGTCCCGCCAGACCCGCCAGTCTCCTCGTCTACGGGGTAAGGAGTAACATCGACGGCATCATCAGCCTTGGAAGGGGTGAAGAGAGCGGAGATGGTGGTGAAAGCGTCCATGATCAATACTTATGTTTCAAGTGAGAAACCAGTGGGACGGTAAATAAGTCGCAAATGCCCAGACGAGAGGCGAATTGGACTTGAAGGAGAACCAGAGCGGAACCCAGGGACCTTATATCCCCCAGTCCCGGTATCAGTAGCCGAACGGGAACGGCCCATATATTTTCTCCCTGTTTGCTTTGGCTCTTGGCTCTAAGGATAAAGTTACGACGACGGAGACAATGATGATGGAGCTGGACCGAACTAGGCGTTTCCACTCTAATCAGTGCAGACAGCTCAAGGGACACCGATCGGCTAGACAAGAAGGAGATCCGGGCTTTGTCATTAAAGCGATGACGAATGTTAGACTTACCACCAGCCCGTGTCTCACTTTTGTCTCTTGGGTCCTGCCACGGTAAAAATATCATCGTAACTTTCGATTTCACTCGTTCTTACTGCGCGGAGCGCATCCAAGGCCACCACTCGGGGTATGGATACCGGAAAAGCAGTAGGACTCTCCACTCCCAGCTAAAAAACAAGGTTCGTTTCGCATCAGACTATCTGCGCACGGTACGCATCGTGGACATGGTGAGTGGCATCTAGTTCGAAATGCATGCGGCGTATGGAGTGTAGCGTGTCGTGAAAAGACAATAAGAACGGCTTCCACGGTCAGGATTTGGCAGAAAACAATAAACGACCCCAGGGGCCGCACGTCACGGTTGCCTGCATTCGTAAGGCATCAATTTAGATACGTACGTTTTCAGCCACACGCCTTGCAATAATAATAAAAAGCATTGCACTTGATTCGCCGAGCTTCAGACGAGGGCGAAGGACTCTTGTCAGACCCAGACAGGGGATCCGCGGCCCATCCACAACAAAAAGAGTTTCCAACTTTGGAAATGGACGAAAATTTCAAGTTCCAAGCGTCTCCGTGAATCCGACAATACTGTTCACCACGACCACCACCGGAGGTCTGTCACTCAAGCTCTCAACTGAGGGAGACAATCCGTCGACGTTGAGTCCCCGTTCATATTGTGATCCGCAATTGATTGCCAATCAGCACCGCTGTAATGATCCCACGTCAAGTTTCCCTTCATTCTTGCAGAGACAAGCAAAGACAAGAGTGCCTTGGAAGTACGGTTCCGAGCCAGGCATGAGCGACGTGATACGTTGCGGTCGTTACTGCATTTCCCAATATACGATCCGATTGAAACCAGGTACACTTATCCCCTTAATTCCGGACTGTGTGGGCCCATGGTCACATTGCGAATGTGCTCCGGTGTTCTGAACATCTGTGTGATCGGACAAAAATATGTATCAAGAGAGCCACGTCTCTACGTGATGTATCTGAAGTTTTGGGAGTTAGTGGATGTGAGTTTCGCCCCATTCTTTTTTGATTCCTCTCGATGACCGGTTTCGTTTCCAGCCCTTCGGCCTATATCGGAATTGAACGGTGGGACCCGATAATCGTAGGGTGATGCATGAGCTCCACCACTGTGCATCTCGTCCTTGGTGCATGAGTACTTGCGCTTTGGAATGTTGATTACCTCCAGTCAAATTACGGTGACATCCTTACATCAATGACAGAGTTGGTAAGTTCTTTCTCAGGTTATCCGTCTCGGCTGGTGTATTTCTCTCGTGCACTCAACTCAGGCTGTTGAGGATGAAGTATAAGTGATAGCAGTACGGTACAAGATTCTGGAACCAAGCAACATAGAATCCGTATGCTATCTTGGTTGCGCTCAGGCGGCGAGGAGCCACACAGGAAGTGCTCGCTGACGGCAGATGCATAGCAATACCGTAAGCAGCAGCATCATTGGTCGACTCGATACACGAACCTGCCCTTCCCTCTACTTTCGGCGCGCAGTCGTCATAAGATGCTTGCACACCTTACCCATATTTGATTTTCGTTTGCGGAACATGTCCAGCATTATCTGTAGTTTCCATTACGTCGAGTAACGGGTTCGTCGTAAGCGGACGGGATTTGCGGGAAACAAGCCCTTGTATAGTTCCTCCTAGAGGGGGTTTTCAGCACTTTGCGTGAGCAGCCCCATCAATGCTGTCCATATGTCGTCCGTCAGTACCACAATGGCTTGCCGACACATCTCGTTTTCGACGGTTGAACTGGGCAGAATGCAATTCAACTTAATTATTGATCCCGGCGGCTTGAAGCCCTGGATCAGATGAACACTCGGCCCCCTTTTGGTCTAGGATCTAGGATCCTTGCGAATAACTCTTATGACCATCCAACCCAACATATCCGCTGTATTTGATTATCTGGTGCTAGGGTTGCGTTGGCGTCACAGGAACATCAATCGTTTCGAGTGTCTCGTAGTTTCCTGGCAAATGTGTCCCGTTTCAGTGGCCTTGCAGTTACGAAGCCCTCTAAGGCTGCTAAACTTGTCGTGAACTATCCGCTAGTTATTGACGCTAAAAAAAAGGGGACATATCCTGGAAGTACAGGCGGGGGTGCACTTTACATCAATGGTACATACAATTAACTAGTGACAGAAATATTGCTACAGAGGGGGTAGGCTGCCGAGTCTCGCCAAACATTCCAGGAGAAGGCCAAGCGCAACTAAACCGAAGCTGCGTAATCCAAACAGCGAGTTGCCAGATTCGATGGAGGTACCCTCATTATCTTGACTAAAGGACCAGGCGTCCCATGCACGTGCTAGCTTCCCACGTAAATCTTCATCCGAGGCTCCGTTCAGCTCCCCGACAAGGTCCTGCCTCGTAATACGAAGGAGAAACGACAAGCTTTCTTTCATTGCATACACCCGATCCCTCCTGTATCGTTCGTTGGAGCAATTCGCCAGTATCTCCCCAATTACCAATTCTTCCTCGGTCAGCGCAGTCTTCGAAAGGGAGTACGTCGTGGATATATATCTGAGCTCTTCCCGATATCCGGCATAAACTGTGTCTATATCCAGGAATTGGCCTTCCCGAGGCACATAGCCCCGCAGTTTGCGTTGCACGTGCCGTTGGAAGGCACTTGATATAGATTTGCTCAGAGCGGACTCTGTGCCGGGGTGCGCGCAATTGGGCAATTCCTCGAGCTTGATGTTGCGATACAGGTACCCCAATGCCCTAGAAGATTCGTAGTAATCTACTTTGCGATTGTTAGATTGGTCAGACTGTTCTGATTCGTGCCAGTCGGGCTTGAAAGCAACCAGTGACCTCGGCAAGTGATGAAGTTCGACTTTGTTGCCGTTCTTGGGGTAGTCGACGGCCCGACTATGTAATTCCGCGAGTTTGAGGCAAGCGGAATCCAAAGATCCATCCTTGCTGGCCTTTAAATGCTACTTCAAACAAGGTTGAGCCAACTTACTTTTGACTGATCTAATAGTTGTGTTAACGGAGGAAGACTTCACCAGACTACCGGAATATTACTTGCCTGCTATCACAATATGCTTGTCGGATACTAAGCCCTAGAGATTCAGATAAGCAGAGCGACAAGCAGGCTGCTTGGTAGAAATGCATACCACGACATCGGAGTTAATATACTCGACGATGAAGTCGCATACATCATGTATGGTGCTTGGTCGGTCGAGCCTGTATGGTTTTGTGGAGGGGTATGCGGCCGGGTTGTGATGTTCAGGAACCAGAAGTGGTCCATATTGCATCACTTCGTACAAGTCTCTACCCAGTGATTCAGTTCGCTTGTGAACGAGATGCTTCTTTTAAACTTACCCATCCAGATCTCCGCCTCCTAGTGAGTTCGGTAACGACTGGGTCCCTGTAAGATGTTTGATAAGCAGGAAGGGCTGCGGAATGCGCTCAAGTTGTACACACCTCTTGCAGCAAAAACCACAACGTTCTTGAGCTTAGCAAACACGCACATCTGGTCCTCAGGCGGTTTTCCGATGGCGTACACGCGCTGCACTGTGGAACCGCATAAATATAGATACCATACAATTAGTGGAGTGCTCACCATCACCAGGGTGTATGACTGGACTCCTGGATATAAGGCACATCCCTTTGATCCACGTGGGTTCCTCATCACCGGGATTTTGTATACACGCTGGTTACGACACCTTAACAGTGGTGTTGGGATACACTTGTCAGCTTACCGAAAATCTTTCCCTGGGGAAGGCAGTATACGTTCTTGTATCCCCGGTTGACATATGCTGGCCCTTCATCTGCAACGCCAGGAAGCATATAGCTTTCTGGAATGGGAATACGCGCGCGATACTTGATGCCGCGCAGAACATGGTTAATGGCTGACGAACGGATCCGGGAAAGGAAAGGGGTATCCAGCGGTCGTTGCATACGGTTTGGATTTAACTCAAGCCCTAAGGCGTTCAGCCTCCTCAGAGTGTCTGTGAGCCAGAAATCCTTGCAAAGCCTATGCTTTTCCAATAATCCGCTGAACATTGCCGCTGATTCATGAGCTCGTCGCGCGTCAGCCACGGCGTTGTTTTGGAGGTCCAAAAATGCCTGTCTTGGGGCTCCGCGATCCTCGAGTACCGTTATCAGTGGTCTATTTGCCTGTGAGCATCAAAGCGCACTGGGAAAATCTGGAATACCTGTTCAGGTTGGGTCTCTTTGGTCTCGTAAACGCAGACGCAATCTCAATGTCTGCGTAGTCCTTCCCCGGGACATCAAATTTTTTCATCGATGGGCGAAGACACATATGTATGCCTTCCAGGTTGGGATCGACAGACACCATTCCTTTGTAGCCGAGGAAACGAATCTGGTACTATAATCGATGAAAGGCCGAGGAGAATAGTGAGCCTCTAAGAGGTGAATAGACACGACCGTGACATACAGCAGTAGGTTGGACAGCATTTTCACCGTGGTCAGACCAATTTTCGCACAAGGTTTGCCATACCCAACGGGCCAGTCCTTGAGATATCGTTCCGATACCATCCGTGAACACAATACCCCTTTCTTCGATGTCAGGTATTTCACTCCACTGGAACTCATGGAGTCTGACAGAAGGGTCAGTTGCAGTGAAGGCTTGCTGGACAGCCATTAGCGGCATCATCAAGTTCTGCGCCCGTAACTCACCGCCATGCGCGCACCATACTTGGACGGAGAATAAATGACTTCTCTAAAATCTCCAAGGCTGGCACGTATGCTCCTGGCTGTTACCCATCCTTTCTCAGGGTGACGGAAGGGGCTTACAAACCAAACCGTGTGACTCCTGAGAGCAGAGGAGGAATACCCCAAAAAATCGAAATGTCTTCCTGCAAGGTCAAATCCCTCCTTCAGCACCTTTCCAACCCGTCCCTGCAAGTAGGATTCACTGTCCACGTCTCGAGTCCACCTGTAATGCAGACGGTCTTCGTCACGGAAGGAGACTCGAAGGAAGTAATCCTCGTAACCTTCGAAATCGCGTATGACCCTGTTGGACTGGGTGACGTCCGGTCCTTCTAATAGAAGTCGAGTCGGCGTGAATGTAACATGATGGCAGGAAAAGTGTCCAGGTGGAGGAGTGAATCGTCGGCGACGGAGCTTCCTCTGCAGAACTGTTTGGAAACATTCCTGCAGCGGTTGCACCGTAGGCCGATTGGCTGCAGCCTCTGCGAAGTAGCGCATGATTTCCCCTGCACGATCGCCGTAGTCATGGATAAGGTTATCGATTGCGGATCTGAGTGCTAACACTTCAAGTGTGTGTGCAGACCCGTTCCTTAACAAGGCCTCAATCTGGAAAGTAACTCGCCAGTTGGTGCGAAGTTCCCCTAACCACTTGCTCACGCGGTTGAGATTTTGAGAAGTGAAAAACTCTCTTTTCCTGGCGTCTATCCTAGCCTTTTTTGGTGGGCGGAGGCCTGCCACAACACAGGACTTGGCAAACCTATCGAGTATATCGCCTTTGTAAGCGTCGCTGTCGTCAAAGAGAACGACACGAAGATGATGGGCATAAGGAGCAACGGCGCCATGACCTGCGGATAATTCACCTACACGCTGACGGAACTTTTTGTCACAACCTATGTCTTGAGGGCGATGCATTTCCTCCTGCTGAAACACAGGAGGTCTCAGCAAATCAAAGCAAATATCTATTATGATAACGGTCAGTTACCAGTTTTACACAGGAAAGGAGACTAACAGTTTTCGGCAAAGTCGCAACCCATCCCCAGTTTATATATATTGTCGAAATTCACCACAACGCTATAGCGCGTGGGTTCCGTCGTGGAGTCGCCTATCTACGAGGATGTAAGAATGATTTCGAGGGTCAGGTGTATTACGAATGCAATACCTCGATTCGCATCAGCTTATGATCGTACTCAAAGTTAAGCCATGCCATGCTTCTCCGCATGAGGTCCTTCTCCCATTCTATGGAGAAAGCGCGATGTCCTGTGTTATCCGGACAGTAGAAAGTGCCTGGATCGTATGCGATTAGACTCCAGTGGGTCAGAAGGTTAAAGCACGAGCTCGCCAACCGATTTGGACCCTGCAAACAACAAAACCATCCTGAAGTGCGACAAGTTTCTCCTCGCGCTGCCGTTCGATATCCGGATCGATGAAAGGAGCCTTTTCTAGTGTCATCTCTGTGGCCATACTGACATGTTCCCGAGTGGGGCGAAATTTCAATTTCTTTTCCTTGACGATAACAGAGATTTCACGCCGAACGTTTAATTGGTTGAATCGTTTGCCGGTTGCCTTTGTGACAGTAAATGTACCGTTGCCATTGTTTCTCACCCCACCGCAATCGTTTGCATTCAGCACCACTTGGAAGTTGGGTAAGCGTTGTTCGCTATCGGTGACAAACAGACCAGGGCACTTGTGCAGAACCTGATCTGCTATCGCTTTCGTCACGTCGTACACGGTTGCTTGGGTGTGTACGTTCCAGATCTCGAACTCCATAGCGTCGAGTCGAAGATGAGATCGATCGATTAGGGTACTTGAGAGATGGAAGGCACTGCTTGCCATTCCAGTCAGTACTGAGGCGACTTTAGGGCTGCCTTTTGGGAAGCCAACCAACCAAAAAGTACACCCATTAGTGGGACCTTGGTTACATGACTTAGTAACGTATACGGTTGAGTGATAACAGCAAGATTGGACGCATAGGGCTTCATGAACGCGACCGCCACCATTAACCTTACAACTGCGTATTCGATATGAAACTGTTACAGAGGTAAGCTGTCCAACCTCGCCTCAATTGAAACGCCCCGGAACACGCCTGAGCTCCAAACCTCCTTGGAAGCCCTCTGCGTGTGCGTGGCAGTTGCCAATGTATTGAAGCCCCTCGTGGCACAAAGGAGAAATGAAAAAAAAAACTCTCTCGTCCTTCGCTAGAGCAGTTCGCCGAGATCGTGATCGGTCTCTCTCACTCAACGCGGCTTTGGAAATCTGTGGTGGATAAATATCTGAGGTCTTCCCGATATACGGCGTAGATCGGGCTTAGTTCTACCCAGGATTAGTCTGGCTTACAACCCTGCAGTTAACGTTGCACGAGAATTTGAAGCGCAAATTGATACAGCTTTGTTCCGGCCTGACCGCTTGTGGGGAGGGGGGGGTCTGCTCCCCCTACTCTGACAAACCGCCGTCATCCCATCACAAAGTCTACAGCTCGATCGTCTCCTTCGCTTTAAACTTCCGTCCAGCACGTTCTGCAGACCGATACCGGAACTGGTTACCGTACAACTCGAACTCGAGATGGGGAACATCGAGGACGGTCGGACTCGCTGGTGTGTTCTGGTGCGGAATTCGGGATGTTGCGGATGTGTCATGCGGTACTGGAGTGTGCATTGGCAGCGGTAGTTGTGGGAGTGTTGGTTGTGGTGTTGACATCGATGCTTGAGCTTGCGTCTGCGCGTCGGCAGGTCTGGATGTAGATGGGATCTGGGTCGCATCGAGTGTCGAATAGAGCGGAATCGCAAGGACAAAGATGGTGTTTTGTTTCGGGATGACTGAATATGGACGGGCAAAGTAAAATAATGATTTCAATGAAAAGGTCGGGTCAGACGTACGTTTCACCTGGTTTATTTTCGTGATCACCCGGAATGCGTTTTCGCTTTCGTACAGAACGATGCCAGATAGACCGACGAGACACGGGTTACGGCTTTGACGGACTTGAGCGGACAAGTGAGCGTAGGTGTGTATTGGTGCGACGTGCGTGGGGAATACGACGAGTTCGTGAAACGAAAATGAAATAGAAAAATTCTCGAGGACGTACCTGTCAACAGCGACCCATGTAGATCTGCTTTGACGAGTTTGGGATGCATAGAGGCTGAGTTGGGCATCCTGCTCGGATGTTCCGACGAGGACGCGAGACCCAGCAATTCTGACATGTACTCCACCCAAAGGCGGTGAAGGGGTACGAACAGGTCAAATCTCTCGGCCTCTTTCTCGAGCTGCCATCCGCCTTTGCGAGTTCTGTCTCTGACCAGTGCTTTCCTCACACTAGTCTTCCCCGTCGATTTCTTGGAGGTTGACTTGGGAGGACGGTCTTTGGCAGGGTTGGCGAGAGGAACGTGGCGCCCTTTGATGCGTGCATTGTATAATGAAGCGGGGTCGGATACGGTGAGGTGCGACTGGACATAAGTTGGCGTGTAGAGGGCATTAGAACCCAATGCCTTTGGCCTGTACGGGTCGACGTCGGCCGCCATCGGACTCAGTCGTGGCGGTAGATAAGAAGTCAGGCTTAGTCAGCCCATCTAATCTCAGCGTCTCTCCACGTCCATCATGGCACCGGCAGACAACAACGTCCACGAGATAACGTCGACAAAGCAATTCCAGGACCTTCTCAGTGCTGATCTCAACCGTGTCTCTCTCATCAATTTCTGGGCACCATGGGCAGAACCATGCAAGCAGATGAACAACGTCGTAATGGGACTAGCCAAGAAATATCCCCAGGTCCTGGTGTTGCAGGTGCGTCCCTCTGTGCACGCGCAATACCCCATGACTGTACAACGCTGATTGAACGAACGAGTAGGTACAGGCAGAAGAACAAGAAGACATTTCCGAATCTTTTGATGTCGTATCCGTACCGACGGTTTTGTTACTCCGAGTACGTCCGCCCACCCGATCCTGCCATTCCCGACTCATGCCGCCGCTGCCTATATGACAGGGACACACCCTCTTGAACAGGATAGTTGGAGCAGACGCTTCAGAACTCACAAACGCTATTTCCAGACACCTCTCCGGTACTTCCTCTCTCCCCAAACCATCATCTTCCCCCGATGGAGAGGAATCGGACGAACAGCTCGTCGCACGCGTCAAACAAATCATGAACCAGTCCAAAGTCGTCCTCTTCATGAAAGGCTCACCCGACGCCCCTCGATGCGGGTTCTCCAGACAGGCAGTTGCGTTACTGAGTGATCAAAAGGTTGAGTTCACTCATTTCGACATATTGGGAGACGAGAAGGTCAGACAGCGTGAGTTTCCTTCCTTCCCGTTTCTGCTTCTTTCGGCGATGGGTTCGGACGATGTAACCACGGCAATGAATACAGGACTGAAACAACTCAATGACTGGCCTACCTATCCTCAAATCATCGTCAACGGCGAACTTGTGGGTGGATTGGACATCTTGAAGGAAACAGTCGAGACTGGGGAGTTTCAGAAGATGTTGGAGAGTACCAGTGCGTAATGTATACATCAGATGGCCATCCTACGCATACCTCGGAGCTTCGAGTTCTTATCGTATTACTATATTTCCCAGTGCGATCGCCAATATCATAACAAACTCTCATTTCCGGGCGGGCGTGAAGCCCATCCGTGAGCTAGGAGCACCTCCTGATCAGACTGCGAGGCCAGGGTATATCCGCACCTTCCAAAGCCGTGGCGGCAAAGCTACGACATGCCACCGATCCACCGATCTCGCCATTAATCCCAATCTCATCTCCACTTGGACGCACGCGACTGCAATTCGAAGCTCGGGTTGCAGGGGACACTTGAGATTCTTTTCACTCACTGGGTAGTAATGTGGCATCCCGTCCGCCACCCCGATCCGTGGATCGATAAACCCCCAAGCCACTCTTAATTGACCAACAACCAGCCGTTCCTTCGCAGCGCGAACCACCATACCGCTTGTGATCATTGATCATTGATGTGAGAATGTACACGACGGGTCCGACGAGTATTTGGTTTTTCGAGGGCGATAAATTGGGCGCCCTCTACAGGAAGCTTGGCTTCTATTCGAACAGCGACGGCACATTACTGGGTGCGAGCCCCCAGCTATCAGAAGCTAACCCGTGGGACGTGGAGCTGCAGATTTGAAAAGGTGAAAAGCGGAACCTGGCGTTAATCAGTGCCGAGTAGTGAGTACATAAAACAATCCCTCACCGAAGCCACCCGTGCAGGTCGGATGAAGGTAGAGATTCGGATAGATGACAAACGTGGACAAGGTGATGACGTCCTCTCTGCAGGGCTACCCCTTATCGCTATCGCATCGAAGGTTAGGACTATGTCATAGTTCCTTTGCGGTGGTTCGAAAGCACACACGAGGCTGGTCGGGTCAGTTGGGAAAACACATGCTGCGCAGAAGTCCTTTCGCTCCAACGCAGCGTGGCTTCTGACACACATGCTGATGACGTGGGTGGGAATATGGGCTTCCTTGCGTTGTTTTCCGCAATATCAGTAAACGGACTTGCTCTGTACTTCTTCTGGGATGCCACTGTCAATTGTCCAAGGTTGCATAGTTCTCCAATTTCAATTTCGTCCGTCGACGTGTCACAAAGCATGTCGAGTGCGATAATCTCGTATGTTTTCGTGTCTTCCGTCCTTCATTCCAACCGCTGCCAGGTTCCTTATATTAATGTCGCATGTTTGATCTATAGGTCCACGTGTCCAGTTGATAGCCAAACGAGCAGTAGGGTTTCCAAACGAGTGCTTAAAAGGCCGTGGTATTACTTCAATGTTTGAACTGAATTGAATGTCGCTTCTTCTGTGATGCGCAAGCGTGTGATCAAAAAAGCCACAGTACTTGAAGTGAGAGGACAAACGATTTCGATTATTACCTGCTAGCGTGCTTTGCAGTCGAATGACATCATGAGCCATGCGATAGACAAACAAGTGCAGACAACGGATCGGTTATGTGCTTAAATTGCCTTCCCCGTATTTATTTATGTCAAGAGACTCTGCTTTCACCTCAAATCCAAAAAACACCCCTTCGGAATGTCTTGCCACATCGCCCAACACCACCCTCCCTGCTTCACCTGCCGCGTTCTCCTCCTTCTAGATGTTCAGGCTGGCATGTTGCACGAAAAGAACGGTGTCCCCTCCCGACAATCCGTTCGTTCCAACATCGAACGTATCCTACATTGTGCCAGGTCCGAGAAACAGCCCCCTCTCATCATCCACGTCCGCAACTCGGGCGAAGTCTCTGACCCTGATGAACCGAACACACCGGGATGGTACCTCGTCTTCCCACCTCTTCCACACGAACCTGTCGTCGACAAACGTAAGAATAACGCGTTCGAAGGAACAAATTTAGGCGATTTGATCCATCCGACCGCTGAAGTGATCGTCGTGGGCATGCAGAGCGAGTACTGCATTCGAGCGACCTGTTGTGCCGCATTGGCACGTGGCAATGAAGTCATCTTGATCAGAGGCGCACACGCAACTTTCGATAGGGTGGAGATTTGGAACGGGGGCACCGTCACTAAGGCACATGCCATCGAGGGACAGGTCGAGGCGGAGCTGGACGATGCAGGCGTGAGTTTGTTAGACATGAAGGATGTGTCGCAGCTCTTCAAGGATCGATAGAAGGCCCAGCCCGTGCGTCCTTTGGGACCTTTCCTTCCTCGGACTTTTCTTCCTTCCTTTCTTTCTTCATCGCTCTTTATGTCGTATTGGATGTTATATCGGAGGCCTACGGTAAGCACGTTTTCCCATTCGATGCGAGCCACCCACGCCTCGAGGAGTAGCGGCAGTAAGGGAGCGGCACGACCCCCTTGTTGGCATCGTCATCTGATTACATTTCCCTCCACCGATCAGTTCATTGATTCATCGTCATCGCGAAGATATCGTCGGAACCATCTATCACTTTCACATCATCACGCGGGTTAGACGGGGGACGAATGGCCGAACAGACCTAAGCTTTGGAACACATCCGTTTTTGTACTCATTTTTTTGGGAATCAGTCACGCACCATGGTCGCTAACACGCTAATCGTATCGTCTGTCGTATTGCTATCCTATCGCTATCATATCCTATCGCGTGGTACCACACCATTTTATGGGGACATCCCACCCTTCCCGCTCTCTATCTCCGCAGTCGCCAATGGTATATCGCCCATGAAGCCTTAGTGTCTCTCGCACTATGGGGACTGAAGTACTGATCAGTGTCATCGTTTATTTGTAGGCACTTGGTTACTCGTCCGATCGTTCACATGGAAGTGTGCAGATTGACATCTACGAGATTATCAAATTTCTCCTGGTTTGTGTTCAGCGTGTAAGTGTGTTATTTTGCTTTGTATAGCTTCCGTCCGTCCGTTTTCAAGGTCTACTCGACTCAATACTACCTAAGTTATCTCAATCATTGTCCCCTTGGAAGGTTGAACCACGACTTGGTCGGTAGGTGGCTTAGCCGCCCGTACCGTCTTCCCTTCCCTTTGCTTTCCAGGCCTACAATAACAGATGAACGTGCCACCCATTATGTCGTACACTTGTCTTGTTGTCCAGTAATGTAAGTATATATCGATCATGTTATGTCTAATCAATTCCTACCTATCCAAATCTGTATAGGTAGTATGCTAACTGTATGCTGCGGTGCGGTGACCATACATAATAATAATGTGTTACACGGCAGTGCAGGGTTGAAACGCATGGTCCCTACGATGTAGATTATGTAGCATGCATAGATTCTGGGGAGCATACTTAGTGCGAACTAAATGAGCCTCAGTGATGTGCTCGGCCCGACCTCGGGCCCCTAACCGGGCCGAGCACTTCTTTCTCATCCGATAACTTCACCGTCAAAAACACGTTCAACTGGGCCAAACTGGCTGCACTGCTATCGGATGCGTGGAAAGCCTTTTAATTACCATCAACCAAACTCAATGACCGACAGCCAGAGAGTTTATCATTTCAAAATCAGCTACTCCAGAATCAACAGGGTACCTGAAGATAATTCTGTTCCTGACGATGATTCCCTTGAAGAATCTCTTGGAAATCTCTAGTTCTCTATGCTGGATATACCACTGCGAACCGCCATCGCCGAACATTGCAAAGCTTGCAATTTGTTGATTGAGATAACCCAATGTCATTCCTATTTCCGGATGCCTTAACCCTGGGAGCTCGCCGCCAGAGCTTGACTCATGGACTGGAGATCTCAACCCGCGCAGAGGTTCGGAAACCTCCCCTTTAGAGCTTGCGGTGATCGTTTGGTGTAGGTGGGTAATGACGCATTTCCTCCAGCTTATCACAGAGCTAATCTGACGTACAGGGATCTGACCAACACTTGAAATAAGTTTCTGAAACCAGAATTACGTGCTGTCATTCCCTGAAACCTACCCCAATCTTCGGGGCACATAGTCGCAAGTGCTCAGATAAGGTGTATGACTCGGTCGGGTTCTAACGTCCATTTGTGCTAAGGAGTGCCCGCGTGGAACAAACGGGGCTCTCTGTGCTAGTCGTCCCTCGGCTCCTTCCACCAGAGGATAATGTGTACTGCTTTTGCATCACCCGTATCCTCCAGGTCAAATGTGGACCTTCCCATGAATGCGTTCCCCAATTGCCTGCTATTCCCACCAGCTTTCTCAGCTGGGCCAATGCAATTCGGGATTGCTTAGGTTAGACACGCCCTGTCCTTGCAGATGTAAACTATGAGGGATTTATTCCCTCAGCCTATAGGGAGAAGTGCGCGAGCAAGTGGCCGTCCAGCCCCTACATACCTCTTGGGGCTGATACGAAGAAGACCAATTTTGCCATACGTAATTCAAATGCCTTTTACTCAGCTTTCTGATTAGCCAGATGCGCGAAATTCAGGCGAACTCTATTTCTGTGTCCCTGGCGGGTCGACTCACTACCCCCTCGAAAAATACGGTTTAAGTTCGAGAAAGGACATATGACACATGGACTCCAGTACCGCATAGACTTTAAGGCTCTGTGGCAGGTTGAATTTCCTCCATTACGAAGTTCGACGGCGGGCTGTTTACAGTGCTGTCACGCTCTAGTTGTACAGCGACCAAGCATTCCAGAGATGTGCGCGGAAATCGACCAACTACTACCACCGACAACCTTGTTTGTAAAGATCCCAGAACGTTTCGGGGTTTCAATCTCTGAAATATCCGTTCCCAATGTACCTTGCCTTTGAAAGGCGCAACACTTAATTTTAAGGGGTTCTTTCCCTCGTTGGAACACGTACTCTATCAGCTTTCTCGTGTAGTCGGAGGATCACTGCCCTTGCCTGTTGAACTCCCGCGTACCAGGACAATTTCGTAGGCCGAAGGTATGCATTTCCAACTATGGAGCAAGCTCCCAGAGTTCCAATTCAGTGCAGCTAACGCGAATATTCCTTACTTGCATGAGCTATTCCTACTCCGCGCCGACCGAGCGACATTCGCTGTCATTCGCACCTGCAAGTTGCCCATCAGTCCAAGATGCAGTACACCTGACTTACCAAGTATGTATCCTCAGGGGCACTTAACGCTCTCCAGGTTGACTAATCGCGGCCAAAGATATGCCCGATCGGCCCGGGCAAATTATCTGCAACCAGCGAAGGCTAAATTTGTTTAACCAGCACTTTCCTTTAGTTCCGTCCAGCGCCACTGTCCTGTGGCACTCCAAAGAAGCTCCCCAGCGATATCTTTGTCATGGGTGGAGTAATCTGGGGGGCTACGATGCCTGAACAGGCATCCTTCTTCGTCACGCCGCATCTATCGCCCAGTTACTGTAGTGCGCAGTACTTGGGTGTCATGACACAGCCCATCGACCGTGATGTGATGTCAGTGATGAGTGGAGTTGGAGGGCTGAAGTCACTATGACATTTTTAAAGGTGTGGGATGCAGATTGCCTCTCTACGCAGCATACAAGAGACGGTTTTGAACACACTATCTAGAAGCTCTAGGGCCCGAGCCTCGAGGACGGCTCCTGTAGAAGCGCTATAAGCTGTCGAACACTGCTTCTCAAGATCAGGTGTCGGTTTCGTAAGCCATCCATTAATATGGAGTGTGACGAGAAATATATGTGTACATAAACCAGTGAAAGTCCCTGGGCTTCGCATATTCTGCCACTCGACACTAATGTTTTTCCTCCGCGGTGATCACGTTTCGGCTTCAGGGATAACGACCATGTCAACATACGGTGACACGGGCCGTTCAACTTTCATATTACAGTAATATGCACTCACCTAAACTTAGTTGCGACATCTTGTGGAGGCTACCGAGTTGCGGCCGTGATGCCAGCGAATGATCAAGGTGTCGAGATCCCGAGCTTCGGACCGTGAAGAAAAGTACTTACTATGTATACAAAAAGTGGGGTTGTGATAACAGGCGAAGACCCCTCGTAAATATGCTATCGAACAAGCTGCCTTCCCCAAAGTCGACACCTGTTAGCTCGAACCCGAGGGGTCGGCGGTGAAATGATGGTTCAGGGACTCCGGGGGATTCCCCGAAAAACTGCACCCAGCAAAAGGCTCCGGTGCCTTGAGCTCCACCGTAAAGGGGGCTATGATATGGAAGCGGGCGAAAGACGCTCCGCTCCGTCTGAACGGGCCATCGGAAAGGCGTCATGAAAAGGGGGGGACAAATACTTAACAAAGAGGCTGCCTCCTTGCTTGGAAAGTATGCGGTGTACGACCAAACCCCAAAACATGCCAAAGGTGCAATTGTGGCGACGAGTGGCAGGCGGCGTGGAAACTCTTAAACATTACTAATGGTAAGCACTTTGCTATCCGACGGGAAACTCACCATTTCCTTTGGCTTTATAAGGTTGTCAGTGCGCAGCACACACCACACATGCACGTGTCTGACCGTACTGTATGTAAGGTCCACACGGACGTCTGCCCGAGTCTATCCGAAGGCCGCTAAGAAGACATAATGATACGAAGCTACGTTTATACCCAATTTCTGGAATGGTGGGATGCGTTCCTTCCCTTTGGGAGATGACTGAGAAGGGTCGACTCCGCTGGCATTGCCTCGGACTGGAGGTTGTCACGTGTGAGCTGACGCAGTGGGTTGCTAGAGATATCACTCACTTGCTATCCCGAGCTGACTCGGGCACGGGCTTGCAATCTAGATCACGTGGCTTGACAAGTGTCGCGGGCAAGAAGGCGATTCGGATATGGAGAAGCAGTGTGCAACTATAGGTGCTGGTTATATTATGTACCTCGCATGCCACAGGTCCAAAGGTGAGTCTAGATGCTCCAATACAAGATTGCGATACTGCGCATGGCAGTACGTCGTCGACAAAGGAAAGACTGATCTAGAAGGAATTGTCATAATAGCCATTAATAGTATGGACGGCATTGGAAGGTATAATGCAAGTATACAGTATACTCGCAACCGCTGCCAAGGATCCGCCAAGCAGCGCGAAATTTTCAGTTGGGAACTATTTATCCCTCCCGCATCGCCGTCGCCTACGATTTTCTTTTGGAAAACGGTGTTCTCTGATTGGCTTTCATCACGGCACACAGGTTGGCAACGAATTCTGGGGTGGCAGCCTTCCCACCCACAAATCCCTACATTCATTATAGTGGCGACTCTTAGCTTCGATGGGTTTCGATGGAATATTTCACTCCTTGGACTTTCTGGCTGTCCGGGACTCAGTCACCTGTAGTGATGGAAGAATTCATTTTGCGAAACCCGACTTCTTAGAGCTAGCCTTCGATATGTGTACGATAGACCGGACGCCGACTGGCAGCAACAGACTTGTGGGTCCCCGGCGGTGATTCCGCCATCACCGTGTTGTACCCTTGGGACCTAGTCAGGTAAGGAATATACCAGCATTGTCGATGCCAACGATTTTGGAGAATAAAAAACAAGGCACACTCATTATGAGGACGTGCTGAGGACGTGCCAGTGACTATCGAAAACGAAAACCATCGACGTGTCGATTAGGGACTTTGCGGGATCTTAACAATTTCCCCAGTGATGAGTCCCTGTTTCAGTTAGCCAAACTAGGCAATCAGGAAATGGAATCATAAACCGGATCCGTGCACCCGAGGATTCCTCCTTCTATAGCTATTGTCGCGGCCTTTCTAACGGCGAAGTAACCGCACCTCATAAGTGGATGCTTCGAACCAGGCTGGACCAGGGTCCTGGCGAAGCATGCTTTTGCCAGCCCACCATGGTGCAGTGCATAACGATGGCTTTCATTCCCGATGTCGTCGCAGAACACACGATGCACACGTGTTGATAACACTGTTGACCTGAGCGAACCCTATTCTAGTATTCAGTCGTCTTCGTCCTCGTAATGGCAGTTCATCCGTGGTAGAATATTGCCAATTCCGAGAAACTGGAGCTGCGCAGTCGGTGGAAGAAAACGTCCGATGGGCCTTCACTTGCAGGTGATCTCCCTCGGTGATGCCGGTGATGGTAACGCGACAATGCGGCAGGGCATATGGAGTGCTGGTGATACTTATCGTATCCGCCACCAATGAGGAGCGGGGAGCTTGAGGGGATTTAGAATTCAGCGAATAACATACGAGGGCAACCCGCCCAATTGAAGAAAGGAAACAAGCAATTGATAGCCGGGCCGAAATCCAGCTACACAGCTTCGTCGAAGTCTACTTTTGTAACTGGATAGTTCTCGAGGGACACAACGGGTAGTGCCACCTCAGCGACACCTATCGGGACCAATTGGTAATTGGCATACGAGAAGGTGATAGTTAGGTGTCACTTCTAAGGCTGTGTACGCGGTCGATTCGCGCATTGTCGTGTAACATGTTGTGTTAGATGTAAGTGTTCGAGAGGGAACATCCTCGGTGGCAGCACTTCTCGGTGGTCACAACTCTAGGCACGTCGGTAGATGGGTGGGTTGGCGTATGTACCCCACGTGATGGAAACGGTCCGCATGTCATATGAACTTTCAGGTTTAATAATGGTAGATTGCGGACACGACAGTCGGATCGCATCCACGAGCGGGGCGGAGTGATGATGGCAGAATTATTGTTGATCGGCATCACCAGCGAGAGTATATCTGTGATGGGTAGCGGATGCTATTCTGGGCTGTTTGGTTGAACTGTTGGGGTCAGCGCGCGTGCTGCCTGAGGCACGACCTTGATCGGGTATATGGCGGTGGTCGGCTGTAGTATTAGGGCTGTAGTCCAACACTAAGGCAACGAAAGAGTGCCACAACGCAGAGCATATGGAAGTGCGCCACAGGTTCGGGAGCTGATAGGACGTGTCGCAGGCTGTCGTGGCGGGTTGATGCGATGATACGGTGGATGACATATATACATATATATATACGTACATATGGCTCAGGCCGACAGCTGAAGGGGTGCGATGCCGGGCCAAGGATACATGACAAAGAGGTCCGAGGTTTCTGCGGTGGGGCGGGTGATGGAGAGAAAAAACGGCCCAGAAGGGAATGCTTGGAAAAGGATTCGTGGAAGAGTACCTGAGATGCTTATCATTAGAGAGACAGAGACGGGGTGTGAGTTTGAACCTTCGGTACCGATTTAACCCGATCAGGGACTGTTCCGGAGATTGGGATTCCCATGAGAGAGGGGGCCAAGTACCGGAATGAGTTAAGGTTTAGTAACCCGGGTCGAGGGAAGAGGACCTCGCTGGAGTTGGAGTTCCGCGTCGTTCAGGGTGGATCCGGATCAATTTCGAGAAATCGAGGGTCGCAAGCGACTTGATCGACGCTGTGCTTCTGAGGCACCCATGAGCTCATCGAAGGGCCGAAGACCCCAGAAAAGGCTATATTGCTTCTCCTTAGGCGAAGTGACAAGGCGTTCCTCGTCATGATGATACTCCAAGTCGACCCACAGCTCGTGGTGGGACCCGGCAGAAATATTGTTTGGCCGTGGCGCGGACACGTTCCCATTCACATGTTAGTCGAGTGAATGTGAGAGTTGAGATTTGGCCGCCGGACGAGAAGCGCCCGGAGGTCGATTAAACGAGGACTCGTGTGTGTGTGCATATAATAAAACACCCGGGTCGGTTGTCCGCAGTGTCGCCATGGTGGATGAAAGCTTCTTCCGAACCAACGGAGACTGGCCAGTGATTGGTAAACCTTGTTTGACTTGGTCGGTGAGATTGTACATTTTGGGGTAGCTTGCGTCGTAATGCAAGGAGGGGAAAATTTTGTTTTCAGGGGAGATCCAAGACACAAGTGAGTCCCCGCGAAGAGTTGTTTGTTTCGGAAACTTTTCTTATTTGGTGGCCCTGATCGTGAATCTCGCCGGTGCCGAGTTTGGTGTTGACTTGGGGGAGCATAACGACGCGACGACTGGGGCGGGTGTTTCCATAACGGGCTCTGCGTGTAATGGTTATCTTATGTATTATATTATCATATCATCCATCGTACACGCGCATGTCACGGAAATATCTCGATTCGATTACAAAACCCGGCCTCGTCGACGTGGCCGGAGCAAAATTGTGATCCATCATTTCCATTGCTAATTTTGCCAGCCTGCGGACACACACACGGAGTCCTCTAGACTTGGCTTCATTTGCCAATTTCCTATCCGCCTCTCACTATATATTCCTCCTCCTCCCCCATCCTCGGGCCACCCTTCCTCCGGTCCCCCTTTTAGCTCCTCGCATACTAGCTTCTTCCTCTTCTCCCACTATCCACCATCTCCCCATGACTTCTGGTCTCTTGCATGTAAGTCGTCTACCTGCCACATGTTTGAGTCCGACTCCCAACTCACCCTCTCCCGGCGCTTCTCTAGGATCCCATGACCTCCGCTCACCCATCGTCCTCAATTGGCCCCCGCTTTCGTCCCTACGCAAGCTCCAAGCATCAAGTAACAAAAGGTCGCTACATCACCAGCAACGATCCAAGAGGCTACATGTAACTCTTCGTCGGCATTCCTGTCCTCTTAACTCATCTCTTCCTTGCAGTCCTGTATACGAGTACCCGCTAAATGGGCAATGGATCATGATGGACATTGACGATGGCTACATTCTCTGGACTGGTATCTGGAAAGGTTCGTGACATCTCTCCTCCATCTCCATCGTCGGTTCATACCTCACACCGTATTCAGCTCTCGGCAACTCCAAGGGTGAGCCCTGTTCAGTCGTCGTATCTCTCGTCTAGGCTGGTGCTCACTCTGTCCCGTGTCTGTCCATAGCCGACATCGTCAAAATGATTGACTCTCAGCCTGACCTCGCCTCGGTCATCCGTAGAGTACGGGGTGGCTATCTCAAAATTCAGGGCACTTGGATGCCTTATGAGGTGAGCGCGGGCTAAGCACCCCCTTTCCTCCGACCTGTCCTAATCCTTTTCTAGGTTGCACTTCGTCTCTCACGACGGTGCGCAGCTTTCAACACCAAACATAACCCTCTTATTTAGCGTTATGCAGAGTCGCGTGGCCCATCAGAGACGATCTAGTCCCACTCTTCGGGTAAGCCATCTGTATACTTTCCTTTCCTCTGTCTCATGTCCCAAATCATAGCCCAACTTTTCCTGGTACATGTCTCTCGCCTGACCAACCAGGTTATGGTCAAATCGTGCCCAGTACCACAGGGCGCAGGCGACAACGCCGCTCTAACCCATTGTCGACCCCTGCGTTTAACGGGCCACAATCATCTGTGTCATCGTGGTCAAGTTCCGCTCCTGCCATGCCCGTGCCGGGTGGCCTTCATCTCAGCTCAGCTTCGTTCCATTCTTCAGACCTAGATGCACCGCCATCGCTCGCAGACGGCTATTTCTATCCGCCCCATAGATTACTTCAGCACGACGATGGTCGCCGAAGTCCGCGACAGCGGGGCCACAACACCACCCCGTCTTCGTCATCAAGTTCGCCTCTCGTCCATGAGCGATCGGTACGGTACTCACCATACCCTGGATCTACAACGATAGCGGTCCGCAAGTCGTCCACGTCCACATCGGATTCTGTCTCAGTGGATATCCCGTCTCTCGTACTGCATGATCGAGGTGGCGTTGGCAGCAAATTTCCGGGTGATCAAATAAAATTGCCACCCATACAGCCCCTTGCACCTCCTCGCACGATTAACAATCCCTCATATGCACTTCCCCCAATATCGGCGTTGGAAGACCTTCGTGGTGTATCCTCGCAAGACTCTGCAGCTGTCTTGGAACGACTCAAGATGGATGATGAGAAGAAAGTAGACCTGGATGGGGATCACATTCACTGGTCGAGGCAACGATCTGGCTCTGCATCCACTGCCATTTCCAGGTACGCAACGTTGCGTGGGATAGATTATATGTTTCAATTCCTGATACGTTGATCGTGTCCGTACAGGGTCGTGTATCCGTTTCCCACAGCGACACCTAATTCTTGGCCCCGTGAAAACACCCACCCAAGTTACGGACACAGCGGCAGAAAACATGATTATCCTGAGCGCGATGGCTATCGTGGGAGAAGCCAAACGTTCAGGGCTTTCGCCTACGAACACACTCCCACCGGAGGCGGGGAGGCGGGGATAATAACCTCGCAATTGCAAGGTTCTTCCCGAGCACCGGAATATATGCCTACTTCGCGTTCATCCAGCCACGGCGCAGACAGCAATAATTCGGCAGGTAGAAGTTCGCCGCCATCCGTGTCACCGCTAAATCCTCCCTTAGGCGGTCGCCGTGACGAAAACGGCTCGCCTGAATCTTCGAGACGGCCTATCCGCCCGTGGTAGCTTTTGAGCTTTGCTGTCTCTTTTCCATTCTTTGCTTACTTGTCCTTCCGTCCACATGCTGGTTTTTTATTTGCTTTGCGGTATGCGCTTGTCATTGCAGTAACACATTATTTGTTTCTAGGTATGCTGTGGTTGTGGTTACTATCGTTATACCCGTCGTTCCCTATACGATGTAATACCGTTCGGGGTCTCTGATTTTTATTTCCTTCTCAGGTAATTCATACACATATTTCTGGTGTCGCTCTACACGACCAACACTTTTCTTTGCATGGCTTCAGCACACGCACATGACTCTTTGCTCTATACGACCGTGTACAATATTCGTCACTACTCTTCGTAGTCTGGGGATTCCTCAACTCGCGACAAGTGCTTCCTGTAAGTAGCTGCATTTAGTAATATCACGAACCTCGGATTTCCGCCGACGCTATCTTGCCATGTACCTCCAGAAAGTGAGTTACAATCTGCCTACAACAGGTTACAACTTATTGAAAGTAATGTGTTATTTATCACTGTCCGCCCATTGTAGCATCGCGTCATTCTTCGATCGATCGGGGTCGCTGGTCGGCCATCGGCCGTGTACCCGAGAGAGTATAAAGCTGAAGCGCTGACAAGTCAAATCCCATGTATGCTCACGGCCAACTGGTTCTTGTCACCTGTCAGGCAATCTGTCGCGTCGAATCTCCACATGGAAAGGTATTCATATGTACAAGTAGTACACATACATAATTCATATTTTGTACACGGAAATGTTCGTCATGATAGATATATCGGATAATGTGGTGACCTGGCAGGCCTTAAACCAGAACTGTGGAGATCGAAACGAACAGGCCTATTAGGGGTGTGCCACAAGCGTGACAGGGGAGAGGAACACATTCATATCTCCCACCGAGGTCACGCAGGGTCATGCATGCCGTTGCTTGACCATGACAGATAGGCGTGCCTGGCGACGTGGACCAGTCGTACCTACTTAAAACGTTGACTCGATTGTACTGTCATCAATGGTGCGACATGCTAGCGTTTTTTCGGAGGTTCAGTGCGGCGACAAGGTAACAACTGAATGGCAGTGCGGATTCGCCCCTGGCACGCGTCCGCCTAGTATGAAGTGTGATCTCTCCCACACACAGCACTAGTCTTCATGGGTACAGCTGTTAGACAAAAAGGTTTCTGATTTAGGGGTTGGGATGCCATCTTGCGACTGGTGCATGTGGCAAAGTGCACGCCCAGTAGAGCGCATGAACGTTCGTGCATCAAACGGCAGGCGGGTGTGCCGCACAGGGATATCGTGGATTCGTCGTGGTAGGGAACCTTATCACATGCCATACGGCGGCGACTGTGTCACATGTACTGTGACCGTTTTCTCTGGCGAGTCCACATTGTTCTTCTGCGTCGCCTTTTCATGTTAAATGGGCTTGTCGGTCAATGTGATGGGTCCTTTACTGGTGCGCCAACCCATAAGCGAGAAAATGCTCTTCTCCATGCAAGTATCAGATGAAGGAGCTAATCACTGGCGGACCATCATCAGTGCGAGGATACGTGCGAGCTCAGAGGTGCGGGCAGAGACGGTAATTTTAGTCGAGGAAAGCTGTTCCAGCGCTGGCAGATGTCAGCACTGATCAACAGTACGACCAAATGGTAGCAGTGATACCGAAGTATCAGATCGGGAAACATCGTAGTCCGAGGACTACCACATGAAACCTTCATCAGCCGGCCAGTAGTAACGACGAAGGATCATCAGATGGCCAAATCACACCGGCAGTCACGGCCCCATGCCATTCCCCGTTTCAAGTCAGTTCAAATCGGAGAATTCCCACCGGACTAACGGATGGGCGTGAATTATGGAACGAATTTCCAGATGGAATGCTGGAGCGTTGAGGGAGTATTGAGGGGCGTGTTCAAAAGTAGTTAGCTGAAGGGAAGAAGAAAAGCAAAAGTACCGAGTCGTGCGACTAAAGGCCATTGTGAGGATAAGGTTGCTACAGATCGTTAGGTTGTTTTACAGAGCTTCGCAGATACGGCGTGATGATGACGCAACTGAGGGAGCAGGCGGCGTAATCACAAGCCAGCTCTAAGGGCATTGTGACCGCGAGGTTACGAAATTGGAAGGCGTATTAACATTCCAAAAAGATTGTTATGTAGGCACGCACTGCCTATTCATTAACAGTAAGTCCCACGCACGCATCTTAACCCTTGTGGTGGTGTCGACAGTCCGGGAAACTTGATAAACCAGCCAGAATGGTACTTCTTCCTCCCGGGTACAAGGAATAACCTTGGGAAACACGTCAGCAGAGAAATGATGGCCGGTGGTGGCTTGATAGCTTGCCATCCATCCTGTGTTCTGTAAAGCTCCCTCGCGGCCCGTTTGGTAGAGAAAGGGGACACGGTTAGCATTTTAGATGACGATATAACCCCGACACCTCCAGTGCGGTATGCCTGATTAGTAAAAATTACAGCGCGTTATCCCTGTGCCACTAACTTGTCGGTCACTCACCCTTTACGCATGGACTTGCCGGGAGCTATTAGGGTCAAGCGGTGGAAGATAATGAATAACGACATCCTTAGTCGGGATGGCCAGCACCTGTGAGTTAGTATGTATTAGTGGTCGATAACATACAGACATAGTTAGATCGAGAAAACAGGGTACTGTCACTGACCCCTTAGATCCTCGGGTGTGTTGCCGCAGCTCCATGACTCTGATGAAGTGGTCGTAATAAGATGACAGCTTGCTATTGTAATGTGCCTTTCATCGGACCCGAAGGTTTCGGATCGCTTGCGTGGCAAGAAGGCCATAATACACAAGACTTACATAGTACCAACTTGCCACCTCAGGGCGACGAACCCTCAAGGTTACGTGTTGACATTGCGTACTCACGTTTTGTAAGCCAAAGACTCGAGTGAATCACGGTGCTCAGCAGGGTAAATACTTCCATCTCTGAGGTAGTCAGCAATGCTAAACGAACCATAGGGCACCGACCCCACCTGAATATTCCACTGGGCCTTGTATTTATCGCATCTATGCAACGCCAGCCGGGGTACATACTTATCTGAAGAGCAGCGATGACGGCGCACTAAATGCTAAGTTCTCAGGTTGCTTGACGTTGCCAAGACATACCGACAGAACCGGAGCTTACGCTTTTGACATGCGAAGTTGAGGATGGGTGGGTTGAAAGTTGGGACCAAGCCTATTTAGCATATCAGGTCTATGGCAACGCATTACTTAGGTCGTATATGGGAAGTCTCTCTTGTTGGGGCATTGAGGACCCTGGTTATTAGTGTGGTACCGACGGCGCCGGGGTGTCTGGACAAATTTTCCGGGATTTGTCCGGTATCTGGGTTCCAGTGGAAGGCTAGAGGCTGAAATGCTGCATTGGGCTCAGCTGATCAATGCAAGCGATAGTCGGCTACACTGAACTATGTTCCCCCAATCCATCCGTATCCAGACGGTAGTCTAGATGGCCCTACTCTTCCTCATCTATGTCCATATCCCACTACCTCAGCTCGGTGACCGCAGATTATGCCCAATTTGTCTGGACTGGTACCAGGGTGAATCGCCATCCGGGGTCAGTTTTTCGTTTGGATAGCCTATAGGTATCTGGGTTCTATAGGGATTAGCCGGGGTCCTGGTACCGGCAGTTGGGAGATTGGGTCTACACTGGAACACGTGTTGGTGCAGTTCTGATGAGCATTACATTTCTTCCTCCCATCGTTATCAGCTTTCTAGGCTTGTCGGTCCTCGTCCATGTATTTTTAGTCTTCTCAGTGTCGTGAGGTTTCGCCTTTCAGAAGAGTTCCAGTTTCGTCGTTCTCGCGTTTCGGCTGCCAATCTGTATTTCTACCAGTTTCACTTTTCCTTCGCAGCGCTGCCCTGGTCGCCGCCCCTTTCTGTACCTGCCCGAGTCAGCGTGCTTACTCACGCTCCGAATGCTATCTGTATCCCGTCTTTGCCTCGAGTGCTTCGACCCGTTAGATATATATCAATGCTGAACTGATATCCACTTTTCATTTGATGAAAAGGATGGACCACAGTTTATGAGCCAGATGCATCTGATCACATGTAACCTGGTCGTATAATATCCCCTTCAGCATATCACAGGTCAACCAGCGGCAAGCAAAGCCAAATGATGCTATTTTTTTTGGGCTATCGATAACCTACCAACAGGCATAGCAGACACAAACAATGCTACCTTGCATTTAAACGGGTCCTCGCCACAACGCAACAACCCAGTCGGTGCACGAGTTCCCAAATCGCCCGGATATGCCTGCATACATGTCCCGCTCTCAGAGGCTATGAAGAAAAAAATTCTCAGATGTACCTTCTCGTCTCGTGGAGAAACCACACTTACCCTATGGCCATCATCAAGACGAAGCCAACGGTAGCGACGACCTAGCCGGATATCATCTGAGCGATCCTAAATATAGTCGATCTAATAGTGACACTTACGAGTGTCGCAATTATACTAGCGGGGACGCCGTTCTTAAGGAAATCTACGTTTGAAAGGTATAATCGACCTAGGTCATCTTCTTGTGTTGCTCTGTCCATTCACGTAGAAAGTAAAAGTATCGGGGTTAGCCAAAAATGAACGAGGTGGAACATCATGGACAACATACGCAGTTTGATTGGGGAAACCAGACACTGGCATGCCCATTCCAGTCGAGCAGACTAAAGCCGTGATAAATATAAGCAGATTCGACCGGTCGCCTCCTGGGATATTCTTCCCTACTTCTTTCGCAATCGGGACGAGAAGAACGCTGGCAATGGTATGACTTATGAAAGTGGAAATGACCTTTAAGAAACGTACTATTAGACTCCTCGACTTGTGCGAACTAGCAAGGAATGACGCACCAATACGACGGCAGAGATAATGAGTACAATGCTGTACAATTGTTTACCCTCAAGTGCTTTATAGACGCCTTGGTCGGCCGTACTGAGAAGTCCGCTTGAGGTAACCCCCTTTCCAAGCGCGATCCCTCCCATTGCCAAGAACACGATCGTCCAAGCAAACTGCTCAAAGTCATCCTATAGCAAATCTGAATTCGGATGCACAAAAGCAACAGGCAACACATGACACGCGAACCTTCTTGAGCACGCCCGTAGCAAAGAAAGCGACTACAGGTATGATGGCGATGATACCCATATCGCCGACCAAACTCTCGATCTCATGTTCGACACACCAAAGCACGATTGTCGCCAGACAAACGAAAATGACCCAATATTGTTTTAGCGTGAATGGTTCTTTATTTGGGCGGATAGCTTTGATTTCAATGTCACCTTCGCCATCCGGAGAGCGGGAGGGTCGGTAGCTGACGATTAGGAGTAACCAGATGACAAGGATCGACACGATGGAGACTGGCAAGGAGACAGTGAACCAACTCGCCCAATCTAGTTTGGGGTCCATGGCTTGGAGAGCAATCAGGTTTTGAGGGGAGGAAATAGGTGAACTTTGTCCACCGATGTTGGCCGCGAGCGCAATTGCCATCTAGGAAGTTGTTCGTGTCTTGTGCACCCTGAAGGGTAGTGTCACTCACAATTAGGCAAGGTGCGAAAGACGAATGGACAGGTAGGGTTCGCAGAATAGGCTATCGAAAACTAATCAGAAGGGACATCATCTACGCGGAGGGTGAAGTAATACGTACGCGAATCAAAGTAAAACAAAGAGTCGGAGCAGCGACATTGCTGTTCCCATCTTCAGAGGCAATGAAAGAGTAGGCACACGACCTGTACCCACCTGATCCACATGCTTGCGAAGCAAGACACACCCATGAACGCCAAAAGAACCGTGTTGGGATCTGAACCGGCGAGACTCAGAAGCCGTGTGATGAGGATCCGATCAATATTAGTCTTGCTCAGAGCGGATGAGATCGTAAATCCTCCGACAAGGAGCATGATAGTTGGAGAGAACATGACGGAGAATGTCCACCTATTCCGAGGATGTTGTTTGTTGGTGTGCGACGGAGAAGGAGAACTTACTTGGTAGCTTCGGGTGCCGTCATTACAGTGCCATCATCGGCCTTAATTACTCTGAATATTACGAGTAAGAAGGGCACAAAGGTCGAGGTAACGAAGAGGGGTATAGCCTGCTACTGGTCAACCACCCACATATCATGTGAGGCAATAGACGCCTACCTCTGATGCCCACAGGACAGTACTGAACACAAGTATTGCAAAACATTTGTTGGCTTCGGGATTGTCGACGACTTTTATGTTCAGTAAAGTGGCGAAGACGGCGATAGCCAGGAAGAGGTAAAGTAGTTTCGTCGTGAGCTTGATATTACCTAGTGGCGTTCGGATGTTGACCAGCCCTTTCTCCTCGTAACCCACGACAGTAGCCCCTGCGATAGCAGCACTTGAACCCAGTGCCCCGCGCCGCTCTTGCCCAATCATCTGCCGCCAAACAGTGTTTCGCTCCCAAGCGATATTTTCGCGCAAGTGGAGTTTTAATTCCTGAAGGGCCACAGAAGAGTCGCCACTCGTGACACATTTAGCATAGAGTCCGATAAGTTGGTTGATCGCGCCATTGAGCTTGTCCTTTGACGTTCGGGTAAAAGGGATGGCATCCTCGACGACTTCGTGCATGTACCGGCCTTGAAGCTAAGTTTTCTAGTGAGACCTCTGCCGGATCTACCAGGTTAACTAGGCTTACATCACTGTCCAGCACTTTGTCATATCTGTTCCCGTAACGAGTAAGTGCTCGTGGGTTCAGTCAAAACCGTCCAAACTTACTTCTTCAGTATCTTCCGGAATCCCGAGTAGTTAAGTTCAACGTAAGACTTTAACGAAGAAAACGAAACGAAAAGATTCGTAATGCGGCGCTTGAACAAAAAGCGAACATCCCGAGCGTAGTCTGTCATCGACGTCCAGACGGATTCGTCTTCGACGGAGGCTGCGCTATCCCTCATACCACGGAGCTTGTAGGCCAAAGCACGCACTCTGCGTATCGGGGACTGGGAAGGGTTGGCTTCACGACTTCCAGAGGGTGCTCTGGAAGATTGATTGGGATTGAGGGGCATTGCATTACTTTCTGTGTCTCTGGTGGCGCTTTCGGTAGACGAAATGCTCCACCTATGCATGCGCCTAGAGGCTATCCGGGAAACTATGAATAAATCCGGAAGAGGGAGAGGAATATCTGACCTGATGTGCTTCGACGGCTATACCCAGCTGAACTCGACTTGCGAGTACGTCGCATAGAGCCGTGGTCGAAGCGAACATGTTCACCTGGATGTTCGTCGTCTTCGTCTTCGTCTTCGTCGTCCTCGCCGTAATCCATGTAATGTTCTCCCCCTGTAAGACCAGCTGCATCCTGTTCGTTGATGAGGTCCTCCAGTGCGGCAAGCTCATCGAATAGTTCCTTCTCTTGATGTTCGTAGAACAAGGTGACCTTCATGAGCTCCTTATCCAACAATGATACGAACAAGGTGTCCACAGCAGGTGTGGTCAGATTGTTATCCATGAGGGAAGTGTGTTCGTTCGCCTCTAAGTCGGTGGAGGGGCGAGTCGGTTTGTGTTGTTGTTTCTCGAGTTGGTATATATATTGTTTTAGTGCATCGTAGCTATCGAGTCAGTGAGTCAAAACGCTGATTCGTACGTGTTCACGTGGACAGCACGACGTACGCAATGTACTCGTCCCACCATTCTGCGACGGCATTGAATTTGAGAGCAGAGCTGAGACAGTGGTGAGAGGATGGGCATAGGCAGACATGTAGTTGTTGGCATGTACCTATACTTCATTGCCAACCCTTGCAACCGTGAACGTGACGGTCCTTGGGCTTTTCTGATGGGTTGAAGTGGGATTTCTTCGACGACCCTGTTGCCACCAAACTGCGATGGCCCCTTCCTCCGAGACGAAATCGACGACACACTGACGCTGGCCACGAGCAGCGCGGATGCTCGAAAAGGGAATCTCTTCTCCTCGATCTGTTATTATGGTTTGTTTGTTTATCACTCCATATTGATAGGGGTCCATTTGCCAAATCGAGTAACCCCGCCACTTGCCACTGCACGCAGGTACTCTAATGCTCACCAGTCTTGATGCATACTGCAGCTCACAGACGTTCCTCGACTTACAACATTCCACCACCGAAACGACTGCGATTGTACTCAAATGACTTATTCTCAGACTCGCGCAGCCATGGTCGGTATCAGGGACCCGTGCGAAACGTCCACCTCCCTCGTACCACATCCCAAGGAGGTGGCACCATCGCAAAGAGCGAGGACGGAGTGAGATGCATCGTAGCTGGACGGGAATGTCGGTATTTGGCCTTATGAACTTGTGTTTCTCCCTTGCTTGATTCTGCCGCACTCTAGCCCTTCGGATATTGCGTCTGTCTGCGGAGGACGAGTCCCAGACTTCGGACCACAAGTCAGCCGTCGGGCGCGGTGGCCACCGTATTGAAGCATCTCGGAATTTGTGGGAGGGAAGCGGTCTCAAGATCGACAGTGCCAGCACAGACGTTGCGTGGTGTTGTGGTAGTACGTCCTCTCAGTTCCCCCCGTCCTTCTTGCAGTTCACATCCAGCAGGTTATAACAACAAGATACTGACGAGCGCTCGTAACGGCGAACTCATCATGTGGGATTTAAACAAAACCGGCAGTACCAAGTACGGTACGTGTCTGCCCAGTATTTTTGTTATCTCTTCATTGTTGCGCAGAGATGAAGACCAAGAATCACGTTCGCTCTATCCATAAACTTTCGTGCTCTACGATCGTACCGTACTACTGTGTCACCGGTTCCGCCGACGGGGACATGCGTGTCTGGGTATGTTCGTCTGGGATTTAGCTGACGAGCATTGCCTATCTCACAGACTTACTACTTTGCAGGATCTGCGTGACATGTCTCGTTCTTTAATGAGGATTCATCATCCGACCTCCGTCCGTTCACTTGTCTTTTCGCCGTGCACCTTACACCCGCTGCAGGCTGTAGTTGGTCTCGAGAACGGTTCGATGTACCGTTGGGACCTCCAAATGGGTCAGCGTGGCCAGCTTGATCGTCTTCCCGTCGCACATACAGGTGCAGTTCTCTCCTTAGACTGGTGTACCACCCCCGGAACGGGCGGGACGGGCGACGATTCCAGCCCTTCGATGAGTAAAAGCTGGATTGTTAGTGGCAGCCTCGACCATACTGTCAAAGTCGGTGTTTCTCCCAGTATATTTCGCCCCATTTCTTATCCATAAACAGGTGTGGGACTTGTCAGGGTCCGCTACTTCTTCACATATATCGACTAAACCAGCTTATACCTTACACCCCGCCTACCCTGTACGCCGAGTGATTTGGCGACCCGACTATCCTTGCGAACTTGCCGTCGTCTCGAATGCAGAATTTGGCAGTGGTAGTAGTTCCGAGCTGATGGCGAGTCCAAGGCTCCAAAACGCGAGTTCACCGTTCATTTCGGCCGCCATTTCAACTACCGAGACTAAGGACAAAGCTAGCAAAGCTGGGATCTCCGGTGATTCTGTCGAGATATGGGACGTTCGACGAGGTTGGGTTGCCAAGTGGACTGTCGATGCTAGCGTCTCGGAAGGTGGGGTGACAGGTGCGCCTATGATATTGTCCAAGCTTAGTGACATGAAGACGTATGATCAATCTACAGATGCCGTATTTCGTGACTCTCATGCAATTTGGGCCCAGCACTCATCAGGGACGTTCGCGCAGATCGATCTCAGGTCCTCGAACCGTCCTATAGATGCCATTACAAGAGTTGCGTTGTCCTGGAGTGCCAGGCATGGCAGCGACGGCGCTCTCACGTTTGTTACTGACAAGGCAGCACAATGGGAAGTGCCCTACGATGATGTGTAAGTTTTGAATCCCAGTGATTTATATGTCGTTTGGTTTTTGACGATTTTTACAGCCACCCGAACAAACGTTCGTTACTTTCTGAGCGAAAGTTGAAGGCAAAGTGTCTTGGTGATGAGAGTCGTATGCCTGGCAGACAAAGCCTTGGCACATATATTCGGATATCCCCATCCATGACACCTGGACACGATACCTTCATCAAACTAGCCAAGAAATACCGAGTCCCAGAAAAGATGAGCCAAAGAAAAGAGGTGTGTGCCCAGAACGCAGAGGTAAGCAGCAACAGGCTCCTTTATGGTTTGTGATTAACGTGGTGTACCCTAGATCGCGATGCAAGCAGGTCAATTTAGCTCCGCACAAGTATGGCTCGTTCTGACGTCCCTTCTGAGCGATGTCGTTCCGGGGTCGTTGGTGTCTTCCGTCCATCGCCCAGCTCACAGAGATGTCCACGCAATACCGCTGCCGCGGTCCATCTCCGCTCCCGCTGTCGGTAGCTCGACGGTAGTATCCTACGCGTCTGGGTCGACTTCTGTGCCTTTGTCTGCACATACGACGCCATCAGATCCTGGCGCTTCGTTTAACCACGTACATGCACAGTTTGCCTCTCCTCTGCAGTCAGTTTCTCAGCCTCGTAGTCCTATGCGCCATACGCAAGGGCAGCAACGTACCCTATTTACCAGTGGCGCTGGCGCGTCCGGTTCTACTCCCGCTTCCAACAGCGGTCCGTAGCTCCGTGAGTAAGCACCAGCCACTTCTTGACCCGTCGCATCCTACCAAAGCCCCTCCAAACTCTCGTAGCCACACCCCTGCTTCGTCAACGACTTCATCTCCACGGCACCACGCCGTGCCCCTCGGACCTACACCTGCGATTTCACACTCCTCGTCAGCAACGGTGACCTCGATTCCGCCTGCTTCCCTGCCAGCTCAGAAGATGGCACCCAGCCCGATGCTCACAATGACCCCTCGCCGTCCATCGGTGTTGGGACCAGCACCGCCACTCGCTCACGCCCCAGCGCACGTCCATACACATACCCATCCGATGCACGGACGTCGCCCTTCTGTGTTTAGTCGTTCATCAACAGTTCCGAGTACTCATAGTGAAAGCCCAAGCGTGACGAGTGGTGGGAATTTGCGGCATGTCGGTGAAGGCGCACTCGACGATTCGGATTCGTCAGACGAAGGACGTGAGGGGGAAGAGGGGGTGGCGGTAGGGACGGGAACGACTGTTGTAGAGAAAAATCAAAACTTTGACCTAGCTGGAGCTGGCGAGGACGCAGCGTCGGCCGAGAACCAGTCTGTCCGCCCACTAAGCGCAGCAACTCGGAGCCTTAGTTTAAATAGGGGGGGTCCCATACATCGAAGTCCATTGTCGCGCCTAGCGGTTCAGCAAGCGTGGCCCGACCCCTGTACGGAAGCGAAGGCCCATACTGATTCAGACGAAGACGGAAGCCCCTCGCCATTTTCCACGGACTCTGAAGGTGCGCGCCGCTGTAGTGACGAGGAATGTGACGGAACGAAGCATCACACTCGGAGAGCAAGAACTGGATCGATGGTGAAGATACTTCCGAGGAAGACTTCACGCGTGCGATCTGGTCGCAGTCGGAGCTCGACGGTTGCATCCCTCGTTGCACCCGTGCACTCCGTATCTCCTGTAGCAGTGTTGTCGCCAGTTGGAAGTGCTGTGAATACACCATTGTCGGCCCACTTCGAGCAGAACCACAAGAAGGAGAAGGAACTCACGAGGCGGACGAGCCAGAGCAGCATACAAACTGTTGTTGCTCCTTCGCTGAAGGGAACGCGAGCCAGACATGGGGACAAGCCTACCCGGTGTAGATTCCCTCGTGCTAGAGCGGTGGAATGAAATGGGTGACCGAGAGAAGAAAGCCGTAATAGAGGAAGAAGCGAGCCTTCACGGCACCGTATGGCAGGCAAGTGAGAGATGCCCTCGAGGAGTATGCTGATCAGGTATGAGCTCAACCTCGCCTCAAATATAAAGTAAGTAACCGCTGGTGTAGGGTGACATCCAGATGTGTGCGATGCTGGCCATTTTTGCTGCCAGAGAATTAAGAATAGATTTGATGAGGACAGTTCAGTTTATTGAGGCCTATATCGGTGCGTTTCAGGAGATGATGTATTTCTTCTTTACAGATTGAATTGCAGATACATTGATGAGATATCAGTTGCACCACGCTGCAGCGTATATCCGAAAACACCTTCAGATAGAAGACATCCGAAAAACTACAGGAGTATGTGCGTCCCTCCGCAGGTCAACTTCTGCTCATGTTTCATGCAGCTCGAAACCATAATATACACTGCCTGTGGGCGTTGCCGCAAACCAATTCTTGGAGCTCGTGTTGTTCCCATATCGCGTGGGGCATATGCATTCTGTTCCTCATGCAGAGTCCCCGTGGTACGATGTGCGATATGGTATGTACCCTCATGGCTATTAGGATTCAATCTGTGTTTTACTTGGTTGACTTTGACGGTTGCTTGTAGTCATCTGCCAGTGCGCACACTCCTTTTCCAGTGCTCTGTATGCACCCATGGTGGTCATCAAGAATGTTACCGAAGGTATTACATGGAACGACCGATGGACTCATTACCTTCTCCCACAGTGTCACGCGGGACGGCTCAGAGTGACTACCGATGTAGATGGTACTGTACAGGGGAATGGTAAAGGGGAACGGCACTTAGCTGGTCATCCCTGTGCAGTAGGGTGCGGCCACTTCTGTTGGGTGGCAGCCATGGATGTCAACGGTTAGGGTCCCCCCCAGGATCCGGGAAGCTGGGCCTCCTACTATCGTATGGTTAATGCCATGGCTATGGTACTCCTGGTCTTGAGGTTAGCGAACAGGATGTACATAGTTCGGAACTCTGCGGCAACCAGCGAGGAAGACTGGGAATGTTCTTTCTGTAATCAGAACTTCAGGAATAAGACCTCTCGAAAATTTGCGCCGCATGACTCTCGTGAAACCATACAACTTAGGCCGCCAATGAGTCCAGAACTTATATTTACATATCCCTTCTTAATTCGATTTCTCCTTGGATCAACTGATCAGCTGCTATGCGCTGAGCCATTGCGCTCCCTCAGGAAGTTGCTTTCGCTGCCATGAATGTAACGAATCCAAGGCCAAATTTACCGGTGCGGAACGCTAGCATTGAACGTGGACGTTGAACTCGTACCGAGCGAACAGCAGGCAACCTGTTACTCGACATCGCGCTCACTCACACCCGTATCCCGAAGCGCATACCACGGTCGCAGTATAGTACGCACACGCGTAGCTACCTTGAGATCCGGGGTCCTTCAAACGTTCATGGCGTCGCGAGTGGATAGCGTGCCATTTGCCACGTGGGTCTCGGAGTGTCCCAACGAACACGGTAGGTCAGCTACATTGTACGTCTTCCCAACAGTGCGAATATAAGACGGGAGGTGTCCGGTGATCATACGTAACACAGGTCTTGATCATGATCACAGCACGCGTAAGATCGTCCAAGTCCGAACTGCAGCGTCTCCAACTGGCACTGCATGCTCCTCGGCCAAAAGGGCGCCGAATATTCAGTTACGGGGTGTGCGGGGTCATCATCTTGATGCTGTGGTTGAATGCTGCCGGCTCATTATACGACTAACAGCCGTGCTGTGTGGCATGTGGCTACCTTGTGGTACGTAGCCGTCCATAGACGTTCGCTACCGGCCTACTAATAGGTGGTATTCCTCTACCCGTCGTCTTTATGCTAGCCGCTTGCTTGGAAGCATGATCCCGAGGACAGTGTACCCGAATTATCCTGTAACGAGGCATCATCCACCCATCATCGTAAGTAAAGAATCGTTTTCTGCTTTGCGAAGCCCTAACTGCTCTCTCGATGCGTTCACGCTGACGTATCACTACAGCATGACCAGTCACATCTCCAGACTCTCTACTACCCAAGAACATATCGGGCTTCCTCCATGCCAGTTCTGGACCCTCTGAAGCAAGAGATCCGCCAACTGGAGAGGCGGGAAGATTTATTGCAATCAAACATCAAGCAACTACAAGTGCTGCTTGAAGAAACACAGGCGTCTCTGTCAGAAAAGAGGATAAAGGCTACTACCTTACAGAACCTGCTTGCACCAGTTTCACGTCTTCCGAACGAGATGCTACTGGCAATCTTTGAGGAGGCCGTGTCGAGTCCACCCGAGAAAGAAATGTGGGTCCCAATTGACATTTCTCATGTCTGCCACCGGTGGAGAGAGGTTGCGATCAGCTCTCCGCGATTATGGAGGCATATCTGGGTCATGCCTAGCATCAAGCTCCATCTCCTGGAGGCGTATGTTGCCAGAGCGTCAGCATCTCGTTACCTTGACGTCCACTTTTTCAATTGGCGAGAAAGGAAAGACTTCCAGCGTTTTGATGCAGCTCTAGAGTTTATTCTTCCATCCATTGAACGCTGGCGAAGCCTTTCCATTTCATCTATGTGCGACACGAAAATTCAGCATCTGGCCAACAAGCTCAAGAAGAGTTCCTTTCCCGTACTTCGTCACTTCTCGTTCCGTGCATTACGTCCGGGCCAGACGTGCATCGGTCTATTTTCGGCCAACGACGACTGTCCTGCCCTAAAAACTTTTGACGCTGAGAATTTCTCGCTTTCTGGAGACTTAACGGGAAATCGATCGAAGATGCTTCAAGTGTTTTCGAAGTTGACTAGTCTGACACTCAGACGGTACAGCAACGACACTAGGTTGTTGCGCACCATGATCGATTCCACCGTTTTCCGTACCCTGCTGAACTCTACACCAGGGTTGACGACGCTGGTTCTGCACGGGCAACCCCTCCGATTTCGAATCGGGGCCCCTGTTGACGGTGAATCCACCGTCGTATCGATGCCGCACCTCCAGAATCTCATTCTTCATCCCGGAGTTCTGAAACCGCGATACCTACAACAAACGATCTCGAGCATCCACGCTCCCTCATTGCGTCATTTTGAACTCGTCTTCCCAGATTCCAAAATGTCAGGTCAGAACGTCGTCGAGCTCCTTTTCGACGCAAAGACGAGGAAGCCCCGGTTCCCGCTCGTTAGCACGGTCGTGCTCCACAACGCTTCTAACTCGAGTACCGCAACTTCATTCATCCACGCTTTTCCATATGCATCGCATGTCACGCTCGGCGGCGTCGATGTCGGGTTCTTCCCACAGGTCCTACGTGCGCGAGTTTATAACGCGTATCCTTACACCTATGAGCGTATTTATGACCCCCGTGCATCTTATCCCTGTTGGCACCGGCTGCGCTCGCTCATGCTCCGGTCCGCGAAACCAGAGATGCTGCGCATGGTTCGTGAGTGGATAAGGGATGAATGGGACAGAGGACATCATCCTCCGACGGTGCTTGTCGAAGGATCTGTGGTCGATTGGGATTCGACGGCTATGTAATACTTCTTGGGACTTTACATTCAACTGAGCGGGAGTGATAATAAGAGAAATATGCACGCATACCCTATACCTATATGTTTGTCCGGGTGACAGTGTACGATGACTTCGGTCTTGTTATTTTATTTGTTTTGTGTCCATACTATCGTTTCCTAGCATTTGAAGTTCGGAACCCGGAGTGAGTGATAGCAACATGCATCAGCATCTGACGTTGTGACTATGGGCAAGACTTCAAAATATTTATACGCACATAACGCACAACTCCTGGACGCTCAGATAATCATCCAATCGAGGTCTTCTTAAGTTAGGGGTTTTTATGGCATGTCGAATGTAGCTGTTAGAATAGCCTCTCGGGATGTTCTCGGGATGATATCTTTGTCTTTCGATAGGCTGTCAGGAAACTTGAATCGCACCGGAAACCAACTACTACTGACTTGAGCCGGTTGCCGCCCGGCGGGGTGGTGGACTCACTCCTTGAAGGCGAGAGTGCCAACGTCCATATTTCATCATAGTACCGTGTTGAACTTAATGTCCTGTGGCTCATGACCCCAAACGATGGCCTTGATGTTGAAGCCGTCGTACGCAAGCTGCTACCACTTTTCTGTTTGGTTGCCTTGAGAAAGGAACCAACGAGCCAATCACCAGGAGGATTGAGAAGGGCTCCTTCCACGTAGAAAATGTGACCACTCCCTTGGCCCTTCGGTAACCCGCCTCGAAGCCAAGATTATGTTGGACTGTCGCAGACCATACCGAGGTGAATCTTCCAACCAAAGTCTGATGCGTATGGTGTCTGCGGACGAAGTCCTAAGGAGTCACTTCAAGACAATTGACAAACCACGCGCCAATGGGAAGTCCTCCATAGGGCGCCCCGGACCGTGCCAGGTTTCCGTGCCAGTAGTGAAGTTGAATATGCCAATATTTGCTTGTGGTTATCACCCGTTGATGCGAGGCCTATCAAACGGTTCTGATAGGCTGCAGGTTTGATTTATTTGAATTTCTAATACTGTATTTTTAACCGAGGTATTTAGCTTTGTTTGTACATCTTAGTTGTGCTTAAAAGCGACGTCTCTGGCCGTTCTAACTTAACTCCCTCTCTTGACTCTGCCGATTTACTTGCTATCTTGTCTTGCACGATGCCTCATAAAGGCAGCCAAAGTCCTGATTACTCCTACACCGGGAGTGGCACCAATAGTAGTGTAAGCGTACAACTGCGTCTGCGATGCCATTATCGACGTGTGATGCTCATGCTGTTTGGATTCCGACAGGGAAACCACTGGTGCTCTCGTGATTATGGTACTTCTGGTACGGGGTACCACTACTCCAACAGGTAGGCGTCCCGTTAATTCTGTCTATGTTAAACGAGCGAGTTTGATGTCGCCTGAATCACAGCGATAGTAGTTACTACTACAGCAACCCTAATGGATCCACCTACTTCAATAGCGGAGATGACTACTCCAAGTACACTTCCCCCAGCGGTGATGTGTACGAGTCTCCTGGTTCCTCCAAGTAAGGATAATTATGTACATAGTACTACATGCAGCAAATGATAAGATAACGTTGACCTCTATCAGCCCCGCGTGAAGTGTTGAAGATAAGTATGAATTATGTAATGGATCTAGGGAAGCATCGGGTTGTCTGATATGACAGCTTCAATCCAGTTGAAGATGTGAATGGACTCGGTCAACCATTTTTGGCAAGAAAGTATCTTTCAGAATCCAGTGGAAATTTACCAACCACCAGCCTATAATTATTGATACAGTCTAATATTCCAAGGATGCCTGACTTATGTATAGGGTGGAATATTTCTGTGACACTGCTATCTTATGAATCATTCTCCTTGGACTGACCGCATCCCTTCGTCGTACATGTTGGACAATTCCAAGCATGATTGACAACTTGGCTCGAGGATACCCGGTCCAGTGGTCTCCGGTGCAGTTATGGTGATTGCCTAACAAGAGGGCCGAAGTACTTTAGGTATCCATGCATGCCTCTGAACGCAGAAGGGACGTTACTCTGGTTATCAAATGATCGTGGTCAGCAACTGACGGGTTCTTTACAGCCCAACAGGCAACTGCGACATTTAGGGACCCCATTGCTCTGCAATTGAACAGAAGTGTCCGTTGTATCTGAGAAAGAAAGAATTTGTTTCTGACAGGGCAACCACTGGTATGCTCGTGACTATGGTACTACCGGTACGGGGTACAACTATTCATACCAGCAGGAATCGGGTTTCTCCAGTCTGTGGTTGGTCATCTTGGTGTGTCTGACGTTTCGATGTTAGGGACCGGAGTTACTACTACAGTAACCCGGATGGATCTGCGTACTATAATGACGGAGAGGGGCAGCGGTGTGATGCACGAGGCCGTGGCGCCGCTAGTAACAGTGAATGGTTGGTAGTATTGTAAGAGATACGCGTCAACTAAAAAGGAAAAGGAAGCGATCGAAACTTCTATTCGGTTTGGGTGTCGATGAAATAGACCAGCGTTGACTTTTCACCGCGCCTGGTATGCCCGTGATGGGCGCTATGGAGCTTCGTTCATTTGTCTTGCTTTTCGTCGCCATACCCTACAGTCTTGCTAGCGTCACCGTATACAGCCAGATACCACTCGGACAGGCAACCCAATCTGCTTCCGCTGCTACTTACACTGCACCCGCTGCTTACGACCCGACCGTCCTCAACCCACCACCCGTGCCTCCAAGCTTTTCCACGCAGATATCCCTTTCTGTCCCTGCGACCTCGGACAATGTGTCCCTTAGTCAACCTCTCAAAGGCTCCTTCCTGGGTTTCTCCATTGAATTCAGTGTCATATCCCAAGTTTGTACGTCTCCGTCTGCTCTCCCCGTTTTGTGATCCACCCATTCTCACATATCTGGCCCAGTCGGGAAAAACTCGTACGTTTTCCGCATGTTGGCCCGGTTACAAGATAACTGACCTGCTGGCTCAGGTCTTTCATCCAAGTTCCCTTCTTAAACCTCATGTCCAACCTCCGCCAACGCGCAGGCGAAGTACGCATCCGCGTCGGCGGAAACACGCAAGAAACAGCCTCTCTCGTAGATTCACTCCCAAACGGTGACATGGCTTTAAAGGAACCTAGCAATCTTAACGATCCGGTACGTTTAATCTACCCGTGCATCACTTTCGCATGTCGACGTCATGGACCTGGGCGCTCATCGCTTATGTTTTTGCTGTACACCCACCCTCATGTGGCATCGCGTGCATAGACGTCCACACCTGCGCTACGTTATACCGCCGATGCGCTTTATATGTTAGGAAATATTTCTTCGCTGGTGGATGTCAAGTGGTTCCTTGGTACGTCCAGTCACAACATGTTGGACACGCAATCCGTGAGATCATCGTTCACTCAAATATCAGGTATACCATTCAATGATACTACCAACCTCCGCCTGCAGATCGCAGAGGTAGGAGAAGCAGTTTTAGACTCGGGCGGATACCTCCTGGGATTCCAAGTCGGAAACGAGGTACGTACATATATCGAATTCATATTCTATGCGATCTCACCACGCTCGCATTCTCAGCCTGACTTATATGCCGCGCACGGTGTCCGTCCATCAACATATAGTCCGTACGACTATTTCGGCGAAGTTGGAATCCTCGTCGATGCCGTGAACAATGACAATTCTATACCCGTCAAGAATAACCTTGTCGTACCCTCCGTTTCTGGGACGTGGACGCCCGAAGACGTTTTCAATACTGGTATCGTTACCTCGTATGACAATTCGCTGGGATACCTAGCCGTCGAACATTACCCCACCGATAACTGTTATGCCCAGTACGGTATTGGATCCCCAGTCGACCCGCAAACAGTATTTCCGGATTATCTCAATCACACCTCAGCCACTTCTCTTGTAGCACCCTACCTCAATGCATCGTCATACGCTGCTAGTGTTGGTAAGCCATTCGTGATGATGGAAACGAACACAGCGAGTTGTGGTGGGTTTCCTGGGATAAGTGACAGTTTTGGAGCGGCGGTGTGGGCGGTGGACTTTGCATTGCAAATGGGAGCGGTGGGATTCTGGGGAGCGATGTTACACGTCGGTGGACAGGACGATTATTATAATGTAAGTGCCCATCTCGCCAGCCCAATTCTGTGATGCGACGTTGATCCTGATGGGAATGTGAATTTGGGATAGCCGTTTACGCGTGAGTTTCTCGTCTGCACATATCTTGTGGTCGTTCATCTCTTTGTCTAGCACCTCCAACGAACCAATCATCCTACCACCAATGGACAGTCGGTTCCGTATTCTACTCGTCCCTCTTCATCGCCGAAGCCCTTGGGTCGAGCGGGACGGCCCGACTCGTTGATCTCACCAACGCACTAACATCACCCTCCGACACAACGACACCACCCGCGACATCGATATACACGCCTGTGTATGCAATATATGAGAATGGTGCACCTGCGCGGTTGGTCGTGTTTAATTTCGTGACGGATACGAGTGGGTCGAGTACCGTGCAATTTGCATTTGGGCTTGGAGGAGGGAATGTACCTGGAAGTGTGCAGGTCAAGTGCGTAATTAATGATCTGGGGTACTGATGGTGGGACTGATCTTGTTTCTCCGTTGGCCCTGTAAACAGGTACTTGCTTGCACCATCCGTTTCGGACAAGAATAATATTACCTGGGCGGGTCAGGTAAGCGTCGTTTCACCTGCCCTCGATGGTTCCATCAACTCATTTCTGACCCCACCACTCCATCCACACACGTATCAGACTTTTGGCTCGACCTTTGAATCTGACGGGCGTTTCCAAGGCTCGCCCTCTATCACAACCATTTCTTGTTCTCCCTCTTCCAACACCTGCACGGTCCCGCTCCCCGCACCCTGCATCGCACTAATCTTTCTCACATCTTCAGCCTACGCCGAAAGTAATCCCTCTTCGACCGTCACGTTCGCAACGACGGCGCTCACGCAGACTTGGAATACAGCGACAATCAATCCGACGGTACTGGCGACAAGCAATGGGATGTCGGGGAAAGAGAGAGATCAGTTGGCGAGTACAAGTAGGGAGAATGGGGCGGCTTCGATGGGGACTGGGATAGGGGTGGGGCTGGGACTGGGACTGGTAGGGTTGGGCGTGGGAGCATGGATGGGGGGAGCGGGGACGTGGTGATGCATATATTGATTACATAATTCTGGACTCCGACCCTTGGACATGGCCACGATTTTGACCTAGAACTTTGACGTTTTCGATGATATTTTACAGTTGTTTTAGTGTTTCTGGGTTTTTGTATTATGCACCACGAGACATGATCAAATAGCAATGGGCGTCGACCCATCACATCTATTTCCCCGTAAGTTTATTGTTGACGTTCTCCGAGCGGCTTCGGCGGTTACCCCGTACGCTCACCAGGGACAAAATATGCGGGGACCTTTTACCCTCGAGTCCTAGCACGATTTATGACAGCTTGTACAAGCTGTTATCATGAACTTCCTTCGGGTGGTGGTATGTAGGACGCCAGTATTCACCTTACCGTCCACTAGCCAGCAGTCCTAATATTCACTTTCGAGAGCGCTGTGGAGAGTCTTGATCATCCATTCTTGGGGATGCCAATTGCCCTGCGATATACAAGCAGTCATAGAGAACGCCCAAACACAACTTGCCGTCACTCTCAACCATGGCACCGGGAACGGAACGAAGAATGGTCTGTCCGAGTACATGCACGAAGTACTCTATGTTGCCCTCCCCAATGTGCGTGTTGCTTTGCAAGGTTCCAAGCAGTGGGGCAGAGGGGTAACTACCAGGGTTCCCTTATGTTCCCTCTCGACAAATCAGAAAATTTTTCATAGACGATTAGAGTACCCCACAGTTCGACCGTTCTTATTCTTTGTCGTAGCGTCATGACGTCTTCTGGATCCCCAAGGCGTCCGGATCCTGCAGGACCCTTTGGTGAGTGGGTATACCAATAGCCTGCAGCGTGAAACAATCGACTGAGATGATCAGGTTCACTAGGGACACGAAACGGGTAACCCGCAATAGCATCAGCCACAACAAAGGTGGTCATTTGTCTTAGACATCTTGCTCGTGATTGGTATGCTTTGTGTTTTTGCCAACGAAGAGGAGGAGGCAATGAATCTGCAATTTGATATTGCGACTATAAACACGTTCTCTGCATGCTGGTCGCTCAGACTTGCCATCACGATTGATTCCAGTGTAAGCTCTGACCACCTCGTATCCAAGGTAAAAATGTATGGGTAAAATGTCTCAACCAACTGCTGGTGCCTCTTCAACTTAAATCCACAGTGATCCTGCTTCTGAGCCCGATTGCATATACTGACTATCTACACTGGACACGTCCGCAGAGAAGTTACGGTACTCTATATACTAAGTCCGATTGGTCGCCTACATATATAGAACCCAAGACTCATCAATAAGCAGAATATTTTTCGGCACGGAACGAGACGGCATGATGCGAGGATACATGATTCGTTGCGGAAGATCTCTCCATACGTTATATTACTAGGTCATGCTTGAAAACCCACCGGAACATACTATGGACATCTGGAACCCCCTTCTCAGTTCAATGGCTCCTGGTGAGCAGAGTCAAGGCCCACATGATGTGATAGTAACCCAAGAACAGCCTGATTCGCAATTGCATCATCACGGCTCCCCCAGCCCAATTCCCAATGGCTGCGGAGCTGATATGGGGGGATGGCCTTGGCGTTGATATATCAATGGTGGGCGTGCGTGTCCCTGCTGACTTGCTGGTGCATAGCTCTGGGCACGTCCCCATAGCGTTGCGCCCAACACACCAATGACACTCACGTACCCGTTGCCGAGTAGCAGGACTGTAGTGGTGGAGTATGAACGATTTGTTGTGATACAAATCATTTGGGCAATGTTGAAGATGACGGGGAAGACAAAGTTGGCACAGGAGACGAGGAAGACGTTCCGGATCAGATGGATCATGTTGGAGCCTTGGCATTCGTTATAGCATGGAAGATGACCAGGCCCGAACATACGGAGCGTGAGTGAGTGAGCAAACATGGAAATCGAAGTAAAGTAGGAGGAGAGGGAACAGTGAGCGCGACATACCTGATCTAAACTTGGATATCTTGGAGTCATGGATATACAGCTTGTACAGGAAGAAACCACACGAGTATCTGTTGATTGTTGAGGGTCTCAACCTGCACAGTCTAGAGGGGGGCTCTTACATATTATCGATGACTTGCAACCCCCATTCGCTCGTGACATACGGATTCCGAAACCAATCGGTAACAGGGCCGTACGTCGCAAACTCGACGTAGTAGTCATGAAGGAACAACGACTGGGTCTGCGTTGACACATCCGTAAATTCCTGTGCGAGATGGTGGACATACCAAACACACAAGTCGCCCGCATTTGACAAGTATAGGGACGGTTAATACTTTTGCCAACATAAGCAGTGGCGTCGAGCGGATGGGATAGAATGCCAGGACGCGCAGGAGGAGAATCGAATCATAGAATAAGGGAGAGCCAAGGGCAAAGAGCGCAAATGTGAAACATGTACTGAGGGCGATATCGGGTGCGAAAGGTTCTAAGAATCCTAGCATGTTTAGGTAGCTATTTAAGATACTTGTCACGAGTGCGACCAGAATGGCGATGACATTCAACTTGAAGACCAGAAAGCTCCGTGACTCAGGCGTCGAGAAGGCGAACAGAATGACTAGTAGCGTCAACAGACAGCCGCAGAATGGTGCAGTGGCGACTACGAGAATGTACTGAGGTCGAACTGCGTCGATGAAACCGGTTATGATGGCCTGAATATCGGACGGTTCAGACATCGTTGCGTCGCTGACCTCGTCCCCAGGATCCTGCGAGGGTGGATAGTGTCTAGCAGTAACCCCCTGCTGACTTTTAATGAAAAAACGATCGAGGTTGCAATAAGCGGGGAAAACACGGCTGGCTAGATCCAATTAGATCAGGGCGGAGGACCTACAAAGAACTCGAGCCTCGCTCGAATTTGACCATTGGGCTGTGCATGCCTTGGCCATGCGCCTTGTGTTCATCATGATAGGAACATTTTCTGATCAGTGAGACCACTGCCTTCAACGTTGATCTTCTTGGCCCGGTACTCTTGAGGGCACCCTTCCTACACAAATCTCTTGTGTCCCACACCGAATCAGTGAGCCGTGAATGGAACCGAAGACTGGTGCTGACTCGTGCCGAGGAAATTGAGCTCAAAATGGTGTTGTTTTATCTTCATACCAAGCTGCGTGGCTCAGCCTTCAGCGGAATCAATCAACATTTACCATTTATTGCGGGACACGTAGGCTGCGAGGAAACGAGGAAGAGCAGAGGGTCAAGCCTGTGGTCAAGGTGATGGAAGTTCTAAGAGTCGGAGATCATACAAATATTTACCCATCCTTGAATACTACTCACATCCCGTTGTTCCTGGCATAGCCTTTGCCCCAATTTTGGCCACTTCGTATCCAGGTATGGAAAAAATCATCCTGCACCTTTTTTCCGACATCCATGGATAATCATTTTATTGAAGAGCTCCAATTCACATCTGCTCTGCTTCCGCGACGGCCTTTTCAAACCAAAGCTTGGATGCCTTTCTTGCCTAGAAATTCACAGCACTCCTGAATTTGGCTGTATCTAGTAATCGTGACAGCAAACCTGTACACAAATCACGACTGAGTTACACTTCGACAAGTCCACATGGTATATGTATAAGACGTCACCTCTAAGCAGATTATTTCTCGATGTGGCTTCGAACAAGGCAGATTCAATTTCTAAGCGACGTGGAAGACATCTTCGTGTATTATATCACTAGAACTAGGACTCGCTCGACCCCGAGAAAACCTGTCAGTACGGACGATGACGTCGTACGCGGCTCCCTTTTCATATTCCAAAGTCTCCTGGTGAGCAGACAGATAAGGCCCACATGATGTGATGGTAAGTAATCCTGGAACAGTTTGAGAAAATGTTGATTCGCAATTGCATCCCGACCGCGGTTTCCCCCCTCCAACGCTTTGCGACTCTCCTTGGTTTGCCTTTGTATAGCTCTGGGCACGTGCCCATATTGTTGCCCCTAGCACCCCGATCACACTCACATGTCCATTGATGAGCAGCAGAAGCGTAGTGGCGAGGTATGATCGAGCTGTAGTAATGCAAATAATTTGGGCAATGTTGAAGATCACGGGGAAGACGAAGTTGGCACAGGAGATGAGGAAGATGTTACGGATCAGACGGATCATGGTGGTTCCTTGTAGTTCGTTACAACGTGGAAGGTGACCGGGTCCAAACATGGAAAGCGTGAGCGAGCAAACGTGGCAGTCAGAATAAGGTCAGGAGGAGGGGCGAACAGTGAACGTGAGTGTGGATGGCATACCTGATCTAAACTTGGATATCATGGAACCACGGGCGTACAGCTCGTACAGAAAGAAACCACATGAGTACCTATTGAATTGTTGAATGTTAAGATTTCTCAAACCTGCATGGTCTACAAGTGAGGGGGGGCACTTACATATTATCGATAACTTGCAATACCCACTCGCTTGTGACATACGGATTCCGAAACCAATCGGTAGCAGGCCCATATATCGCGGACTTGACGTAGTAGTCATGAAGGAACAACGACTGGGTCTGCGTTGGCACATTTGTAAATTCCTAAATAGGATGGTGGACGTACCAAACACACGAGTCGCCCACACTTGACAAGTATAGGGACGGTCAACACTTTTGCCAACATGAGCGGCGGCGTCGAGCGGATGGGATAGAATGCCAAGACGCGCAGGAGGAGAATCGAATCATAGAATAAGGGAGAGCCAAGGGCAAAGAGCGCGAAAGTGAAACATATACTGAAGGCGATTTCGGGTGCGAAAGGATCTAAGAGTCCTCGCGCGTTTATGTAGCCATTTAGGATACTTGTCACGAGTGCAACCAGGATAGCGACCACATTGAGCTTGAAGACTAGAAGACTCCGTGACGCGGGCGTCGAGAAGGCGAATAAGATGACCAGTAGCGTCAACAGACAACCGCAGAACGGTGCGATGGCGACTACGAGAATGTACTGAGGTCGAACGTCATCGATGAATCCATTTATGATGGGTTGAATATCGGAAGATTCAGACATCCTTGCGTCGCTGACCTGGTCCCCAGGATCCTGTGGGGGTGGATGGGGTCTAGCAGTGAATTATAAAAAATGATCGAGGTCTCAATAAGCGGGGGAAACACGGCCAGTAAGGTCCGAAGAGAACAGAACGGAGGATTTATGACAAACTCAGCTGAGGCTGTGTGTACCTTCGGCGCGCCTGTGTTCATCACGATATTGGAGAAGACTTCTTCGAACCTAATGAATATGATCTTAAAGGGACATGTGCGGAGAAATATCACATGGAATCCTGAGTAATGCAGCCGATTTCGGGGTTAATGATAGCGGGCGTCAGTAGCAAAGGTCCATCATGCCACAGCCTAGCAGATAGGAAAGCCATCAGCTTGGATGATGGCACTCAGATAGAAGACGAATCAGAGTGTACTTACCAACCATCTGCGTTTTAGCGTTGATGGGGAGGCTGAAACAGTCGGAAGTAGTTGATTGCCCCTTATCTAATTAGTCTGAATGCCCACCAGGTTCCCAAGGTCGATAGATTCTCTGTGGATTTTGCAATTACCTACAAAGTTTCTCAGAACCTTTGATAATTCCCATAGGACCCATCCTGGTGTCTAGACGTATTGTCTCCGCTTGGCATGGTGGATAATGCTTCCCAAAGCTGACTAATCCTCGCACTTAGTCACCGTTACGCAATGAAAGTTCCTCGGACGATCAGCCAAGCCACGGTGTAGGAGTCTCAGAATTCAGCACCGCCCTTCGTATTTGAATCTATGCAAAAGACCAGTACCGTCACGGCTTGCAGTGTCCTGGTGGCAGGTGCTTTTATTTTAGTTTCAATCTATGGGAAGGGGTCTGTCGATTGTGCCTGCCTCAGATTCATCCCATAGCCCGTCTGCGATCCCATCCCGAAGTCTCGATTACTCTTTTAAACTGATTATCTACCTGATTCCGTCGGGTATGAAAGTGTACACCGGACTGAGTTCAGGTACTTCCTCTTCTCAACCTCTCTCTCTCTCTCTCTCTCTCTCGAGTATGTGGATCTCTAGCTGGCACATTTTTTCAGCTGAAGCATTCCCCCCTCTGAGTAAATCACAGGTCTATATTTTACCACACACTTGGCGCCATTCATGCTCCGGTGGCTTTGATTGGAATGCCACTGACGATACGCACGAGAATTACGTCTTAAGATGTAGGTGATCTTTTATTCCTTCAGTTTTGATCCCAGATGTACTCTTGCCAACTGTGTGCAGTGGGACTGATGTTTCATACACCTCAGCATCGTACCGCAATGGGTTTATGTTGGCCACCATGTTTCCGCTGCAGAAGTCGTGCTAGCATATGCCCATCCATTCGATGCACCCTGTACGCTTGCGGTGCCTCATGCTGACAATCAATGAGGGGTCGATGTATCGGAAATGTCCAACAAGAAGCTAGGAATGAAGCAGTTCTACGGTGTGTCCCCCACGTTTCGTGGCTGTGCTAGCCACGCTCCTAAACCCGAAATGGACTGAAACGACCAGTGATGTACATACACATACTGTGAAGGAAACCTCATCAACCAGATAAGTCCAGGTGATAGCATCTTTGTTCCCCCTTTCGCGTTGCCGCCGTTGACTTCCGACTTCGTAAATGGTTGATATGCACAGACTGTTGTCAATTTCATCTAAACTGACTCAGCCAGCCGTCAGAATGAAATTGTGGATGAAACACGGTCACGAAGCATCCATGAGCCGACTATGAGAAGAGCCTGTATAACTGCTCATATCATGGTATTCTTCGGCGTTCCGGGTCCGAAACACAAGGAAAACTTGACATTGTCGTCATAGTGATACTGCACACAGTATCATATACAGTTCACAACTAATCTATCCTCGACTGTACGTGCTCTTATCAGAGTTGTTGTCCAAGTGAAAACATTTTTCCTGAGCGCTAGCGGTGGTGGAGTGGTGAACCGCTTTAGTGACACCGATGGATGCAAAGACGCAGAGCCATTTAGCATCGATCACAGCACGCTGTGGGCCTTTACCCGCAGGTTCCTTTGGTGGTTGTTGAGAGCTCATCACCGGCTCCATCCTTGTCTCACGGACCTGGACATTTGAGAGCACCCTGGATGGTGCGGAGAGTTCTTCGGCAGCTCCATACCTAGCAAGTACCTGTGCGCTAGTAGCGTTTCAAATGGCTCCTGATCGACTTCCCCATTCTTGACTCAGGCTTTTGCATGCCCATAGAATCGTGGCCTTTTCAGTGGGTTATTCGCTGTAGCGTGCTTGGAAGGTGGAGACGAGGATCTGTATCAGCTCAAGAATTGGGGAGTATTACGTGAGCTTGAACCTCTCAGGGGGGGGGACTCCCCCCAATAGGCCGTGCTACGTCCGCCATCTTCCTGGCGTGTCACAGGAGGCTCGGTGTCATCCACGAGTCGATGTTCCCCTCCGAGATTTCTAAGTAACGCAGTGGACATGTTCCCTTTCTGGCACGTGAGGAACATTTCGGGGATAATCGCAACACAAATCACTTCCGGTGTGACTATGTCTCCCTTAGTACGTTAGAATCACTGTTGCCATCATGAAATATAGCTGGTCCCAATCAATCAGAATGCCTACTCCATTCTCGTCGATAAGGGTTTCGTTTACACTCACTATGCAGGACTCCTGCCTTTGCGAAAGTTTTTCGATGGGTTGTATGGAAAAACGTGAAGTCAACTAGGATGGTAGTAGCCGTATTAAAAAAGTTGCTGACCTTCCGCGGCATCAAACATGGCCTGAGTGAGTTCCCCAGTGGACCTGAACTCACTCAGACAACGGTCCATAAACCAGAAAGCATCAGCTTGTGGGGCTGGGAAAGAATCCGTCTTTACGAGCTCATATGTTCTTTTTCCACCACGAAACACATCTCCGGGACGCCATGTTTTATCAAATCCTCGTAAAACGTCGATTTCATACCGCGTCTCCATCGGCCGCCAGCGCCCTCCCATCGGATGTGTTCCAGTTGTACCTTCGGCCCTCGGCCTGCAATTGATATACAGGCTATGGCTACAAACGCGCTGAATGTTTCTCCCCTTACCCATCTCCACCACGAAGTGTTCATTGGTAAAGATCAATCGTTGAATCGTTGACTCACCAAGATGGTATGGATTAGAATGGAGGGCGATGCAATTCGTAGGTCCCGGCGCATAACTCGGGAAATTCTGAAGCAAAGATTGTCCACTTGTGATGCCACCACTGCAATAAAACAAAAAGTAGTAATTGCACGAGGCAGATGGTCTACTGGCACAATTAACGTACTGCAACACTTGCCAATTCAGCATGGATAACACACAGGCCCATGCATCGGGTTCCGATTGAACCAGTCGACCGTCGGTAGTTGCCCCTGGCTGATTTGAGCTAGCTACCTTAACCGTGGGCATCACAGGCTTTCTTCGTATTCCAGGGGATGTAAAGTTTCACTCGCCGGTGATGCTTTCTGTTTGAATGGAAGAGAATTTATGAGTAGCTTCGAGGGATGAAGGACGTGTAACGGAAGAAGGATCGATCGGAGCATATGTACAAACGATTCAATGTCGTTCAAGACGTTTTGCTCTATCACAGGGTTCCTATCTAAAGCAGCAGACACGAACGTAGAAATAACCCAGATCCGGGAATGAACCTGTCAGCAACAGCAACACGCGTCTGCCGGTTGAGAGAACTTTTTTGAGCATGCAAGGCGATGGGCCTGTTCAGATGACGTGGCTATTGTGACGCGAGGCGGATGTGGATTCGTTCTAGAGTCAAAGGAGAGAGCCTGCAGTCGCTGATCAGGGAGGCACGACGCTACGTTGACCCAGCATATGTCGTCGCCTGTATGTGAAACGCTCAGGTCAACACGCTCCATGATGGCGAACATTGGACAATAACCCAACTTCGGTTTAGCCACGAATGGTAGCTTTCTACCTTTCCGCTGCACTAAGCAGAGGATTCAAGTTGTCTCGAATGTCGTCCGCCGCCAAATCTAGGATACATAATAAAGAAGCAATTTCACTGCAGACATATGTAAGTAACACTGACTCAAGTAGATTGCGTCCATTAACATGTGTACGCACCCACTCAAACTTATCCCCTTTGATTGCGCACTGATCTGGCAAGTCAGCCACTCCTCTTCGTGTGTTCAAGGATGTCCGTCCCCCTTTCAACGCCCCCCTCAACTGCACACTAACCCGTAGACACCCGAAACATCGAGTGCAGTCCTAGACTAGATGAAACCCAAAGCACCGGAGGGTAAATATATCGGCCCATTTCCCGTCCGAGGCTTCCTCGATGCGTTCTTGCCTTGCCACGAACGACTTCCAGATACCACTGCGTTCTTGCCTTGCCACGAACGACTTCCAGATACCACCATAGTCGACGTCAAGAAACTTGGAAATATCACGGAGGTCGAGTCGAACAGTGACCTCTTTGGGCCCTTCGTAAGTCTTCGCGAACGGCAAGTCCACCCCTTCTCCCAAATTTTCTACTAATCATCCATGTAGATATCGGTAATGCAAGAATGTACTCCTGGCATGACATTCGAAGAGGCCGACGATAGAGACAGCGAAATTAGAGCCGGGACCGGAGACTGCAATGTAGTCTCTCCGACGTTTGCTTGTACAGCGAGAAACCAGAAACAGATGTTGACTTTTCCCCGCTGGGACTATGCGTCATGTTCAGACCCAGCACAGCCTATGACCCGTTCGAGGATCCCCATTCAACTGCAACGCCAACGAGCAACTCAAAAGGCAGTGTTCCTCCCTCACCACCATTCGTAAGAGATTATTCCACAAGGGGCAGCCAGACGAAGAGCCAAATTCACCTCTAACGCTTTCGCTCAACTCGAGACTCATTCCCGCGCGTTCGCGTTCTCAGTTCTCATCCTCAAAGACGAGGCGCGCCTTATCCGATGGGACCGCGCAGGCGCAGTTGTCACCAGCTGATTTAATTACGTGGACCATTCTAAGCTTCTGGCCAAGTTCTTCTGGCGATTCACACATCTATCGCGTGGGGAACAGGGCCACGAGACATCGATTCGTGGTTTGAAGTTGTGCACATTGTCGAGAAAACTCGGTCGTGCGACTCGCGTGTCGCCCGACGAGGAGGCATCTTGTGTCCCAGATCTGCAAGCTCTTCGCCGAAGAGTGGAAGCAAGAAAACTGGATGGAAACCAGGTCCGCGGAAGATTCGAGTGCCCGCAACCCGTCGAGTTGCGTGGGCGGAATTGGAGATACGATGGAATTTTTGGAGAGTGCGAAGCTAAGGCAGGTTCGAAGGGGACGGCAGGAAAACGGGATGATCGGGAGGGCGAAGCTGGCTACAAAATCTTGCTTGGCCCTGCCGGACAGCCTCTAACTAGCTTTGGATCTGCCAAAGAAATGACACAGGGTATGTTAGAGGTTGTGTGCGGTAAGTAATATCGATATCCGAACTCAACTAATCGCGCTGGCTAATTTTCGTTGCAAGGGACCGGCCATGCATACCAGACAGCCGGGCATCTACACCACAATATTTGTCCTGGTAACATCCACTCCACAGAGCAAGGTTGTGCGTTCCTGATCGGTTGGGATGTGGGTACACCTGCTGAAAAACGGAGTGAACCACTTAGAGTGGATGGCAAAACCTAGGTTTAAGCAGTTAATGTCTATTCCTCTTCATTGATGGAATGAGGATGTTCTGTGGCACCCCACTCATATGTGTAAAAGCAATCGAATGAAGTCTAACGCTACAATGCTTCCGGTGTGTCAACTAAGAGATCACGCCGAGCAACGGTTATGAGGCCAAAGAGCTGCCCCACGCCACAGATAATTTAGGCGTAAATGAGCAACAGAATTGGAGCAGGTGACAGAAAATTGCGGGTGGAACGATGCGTGTATCAGTATCCTGCATGCGAGTCATAGAGGGTGAGTAGAGCAAATGCCATCATTGGTACTGCCAAAAAGACTCCTGAAGGTAGTGCTTTGGAATTAGCATGGAAGGAGCGGGCGTTGGAGCCGTCTACCCATTGGGCGTGTGAAGGATCTGACTTGGGCGACTTCGACCCCGACTTGCGAGATATGAAATGAAGCGCATATAGAAGGTACAACAGTTGAAGCACCGCGTCCACAGTATACTGATGGGTGGGGAAAAAAATCGAGGGAAATGGGCGACCGAGAATCATTAGTAAGTTGCAATCGGTTCACGGAACAGGCGACGTACACTTGCAGATGATATACTTTGAGTTCGAGATCTAGCAAGCCCCCAATAGGTGTTTTGGAACTTAGCGAACACGTACCGGGCAGAGGGGACTAGCGTATGACATCCTGTGGTTGCCATAGGGAATCTACGTCCCAAGAGAAAGAGAAGACTTTGAATATTCAAGGAGTCGTCGTGAGCCCTAAGCCAGTTGCATAGGGAACAACAGGGAATAGGACGGCCGTTGACAGCATGCAACAGGCAGTACCGTAGCTCGTACTGGCGGGAGGTTGTTTTTGGCGGCGTTCAACGTTACAACTATGTATGATTGGACGAGTACATGGCTACGTCCAGCCACCATCTTTCCCCACGTATTCGATGGACGTCTTTCCGGTTGAGTCAGCGCAAACACCACCGTAACGTAGCATTCCTCTGGAAGGGTCAGAGCGAGTACACGACGTGAAGTTTCAATCCGATGACACCACCACCTCGCCCGTCCCACCCAGGAATCTCGGCACGACAGACAGGGCACCTGCGTGTCCGCGATCAGGAGACACGTTAATCACACCAGACAACCTACCTGGGCACTGGTGCTCCGTCCATCGCTATGAGCATGTTGCGTTGTACAGTCGCCTTGATGGCCGTGAATAGACAGGGCCCGCAGCAGATGTGGCCACAGGGTGTGAGGGTTGCGTTAGTAGGTGGAGAAAAGCATATTGGGCATGTGTACGCTGAGAGGGGTTCTGGGGAGTGTGCGGGTGCAGATGCAGATGCGGAGGGGACAGGCGGACAGTCTGACTCTGCGGCCTCTGCTGTGTTGTCGACGGGCACCGTCTCCTGGGCGCTCTCCATTCTCTGCCGTTTTCTCCCGCTCGCACTCGAACTTGGCCCTGCTGTGGGCGACGCTGTACGGCTTTGACGGAGTGGTCTGTTGGCCAAGGGAACGGGCAGTGGAGGGGTCCTCTCTGGTGCTTCGGACACGGTATCAGAACTAATAGGTTTACTAATACATAGTAATCATAATACCAAGTAGTGACACGTCACTGTCAGTCCCCAAGTTGTACACCCACGTCTGCGACAACGACGATGTCGGCGTCGTTGCCCGACCAGCTCATCCAGTTCGACGCCTTCCCCAAACTTCCTTCCACCTACAAGTCTCGTTCAGAGTCGCGCGGTCTGTTCACCCTTCTCGTCGCCCTCATTGCCTTCCTGCTCATCCTCAACGACCTCGGAGAGTATATCTGGGGATGGCCAGATTATGAGTTTAGCGTCGACACCATGTCGGACAGCTTCATGGATGTCAACGTCGATATGGTCGTAAATATGCCTTGCCAATGTCCGTGCAGCGCTGGTTCCGCCCATTTCCTAGTCGCACTTACTCTGCTGCAGTCCTCAGCGTAGACCTTCGAGACGCCCTCGGCGATCGCTTGTTCCTTAGCAAAGGATTCCATCTCGACGGCGTAAATTTCATGCCCTCCTCCTATCCTCATACACTTACCCTGCCTAATATATGCAGACCGTCTTCGATGTCGGTCAAGCGACGACCTTAAAGTGAGTCATCCTGTTTCCCCAATCCTCTCTTCACAAACCAAGAAGTTCGTTACAGAGAACACCAGAAAGCCCTCTCTGCGCGACAGGCCGTAGCTCAGTCGAGAAAATCGAGGGGACTGCTATCTTTGTTCAGACGGAAGCAGCAGGAATTTAGGCCTACATATAACCATCAGAAGGATGGAACTGCGTGCAGGATTTATGGATCTCTTAGCGTCAGAAAGGTTACTGGTAAGCGTTTCTCCCGTTGGATATGAGTTGCAGCTCCAACCGTTGTGCGATACAGCCAATCTACATATCACTACCCTCGGCCATGGTTACTCCAGCAGCGTGCACGTTGAGCATGACAGTAAGTGTTCGTTCAGTTCAACCTGGATAAGGTTTACCTTGACGCGCAATCCGGGGGGGCTAGAGATGAACTTGTCCCATGCCATCACCGAGTTTTCGTTCGGGCCTTACTTCCCTGATATCGTCCAACCTCTTGATTATTCCCTCGAAATTGCCAACGAACGTAAGTTCCGCATTCCGCATTTGCCTCTGTCGTGCCCACACCATGCATATCCCCGCAGCGTTCGTAGCCTACACCTACTTCCTACATGTCGTACCTACGACCTACATCACTCCACGGAGTCCGCCCCTCCACACCAACCAGTACAGTGTCACTCATTACACACGCACATTCGCACACGGAGCCGGTACCCCCGGCATATTCTTCAAGCTCGAACTTGATCCCATGGTCATCTCGATACACCAACGCACCACGTCCCTGACACATTTGATGATAAGGTCAGTTTGCATACGATTACAGGACGAATATGGGACTGACACATCACACGACAAATCAGATGCATCGGTGTCATTGGAGGTGTATTTACATGTGCATCCTACTTCCTCCGAGTAACAGTCCGAGCCGTCGAAGCTGTTTCCGGGACAAACAATACCTCCGGAATCGTAGCCGCCGAAGCTACCGGTATCCGCAAGCGCTGGACGGGAGGTAACCTCCGCGCAAGAACTTCTAGCAGTCGGAACAGCTGGATCGCCGAAAGCAGTGGGGGTATCACGCCATTACCATCGTCATCTTACGCAGCGAATTACTCCACGACGCCTGTATCGGCTGGATTTGCAACGCAGCAAGCCTCCTACCCGTACTCCCCGTATTTGAGCGCGCAGGCTTCTCCGCAGCAGGGAGGGCCGGGAGCATTATCCGTTCCTCCGACCCCGAACACGAGTGTGGGACATAGTTTCGGGCCGTCGACGCTGGGACCTCCTCGCGCGCGTGGACACGTGCATGCGAACTCGATCAGCGGGCCCGTTATGGGGAGGAGTGTGAGTGCCGAGTCACCGACCCCGGGAAGAGGTGTATCTCCATCGTCGTCGCCTCTAGTGGGGCCGGTGCCGGGAAAGGGGCCAGCCTTGCTGGGGGGGAAGAAGGACGATTGAGGATATAGTTAGTCTGATGTTTACCACCCGCCTGTCCTTTCTTCATCCGTAATGGAAAGCGGGACTATCCCGCTCTGCACTTGTGTATTGCGGTAGAAAACAACATTGAGTGCATTGACCACACCAGCAGACACAATATATGCGAAATCAAAGTCGTAAATTGCATAGCAAAGTTGTAAATGTTGAAGTTCACATGCTAAGCTAGCAATATCCAGTTTTCGTGGGGCATGAGTCCTTGGGGCACCATTAATGGATTTGCTCGACATTTATCAAAGCCAGAGCCCAAAGTCAGCGGTATGTAAGTAAGCAAACAGAAGACACAGCCTGTGTGCATGTGGATATGACCTACATACTGTCATTCGAACCACGGAAAAGTAGAGAACCTGCATCGTCGTCAGTGATACCATACGACCTATTTAAGGTGTACAGTTTGCCAACTGGCCTATGTGATGCCCTTGCCAGGGTTGTCGTCCACGCGAAGAAGTTTCTCGTCTAGGTCCGGCGACGAGCGTTCTTCAGCATGCACGTACCGGTACACTAGTACTGGTTGGGTATCAAGTAACTTCTCATCGAGTTTCCCCTCGAGACACCAGCTTTGAAATGCTCGAATCTTTGCTTCTCTTCTTCAGCGGGTGCTTCACCATGGCGTGCACGGGAAGACAAGGAAGGAGCCCGTATTAGGTCAAGATTCGGTGCTGGCCCTTCGATGTCAACGCCAGCTAGGTGAACGCTACTTACAAGAGCTTGTCCCTTCACGGCGTTGCCAGACAGCTAAAGCTTGCGTCGTATAGTGTCACTAACATCCTCTTGGGAGAATGCTCATTCAGTGCGAATGCAAACACAGAGCACGCGGAAAATTGGGAAAGATGGCAGTGTCTTAATACTGTGCTACGACGTACACATTTTCTCCTCGCCACTACTATGGTTGTTATTCAAGCGAGCACGTTTGTCCGGAGGGTCTGGCAGAGGCAGAGTAGTCAACCGCTTCAATGGATATGAAGGCACAGACACTAGTTGAGCTTGAGTCTCAGTGAATTTTTCAGTAAGCCGTTGTTCGGAAGTTCCTTCGGCGTCTGATAAGAGGGCAGAATCACCTCTTCCCTCCTTTGGCCAATCCGGACGCGCAAGAGCATCCTCAATAGTTTTGAGGAACCTATTCCGAACTTTTCATGCGCTCTTCAGCACACAAATACCGGTGTACTGATGGGGTACTAGGTAACTCCTCATCGACCAGACCTTCAGAGACGCCAGCTTTGATACGCTCGAAAGCTTGTTTCTCTTCTTCAGTTGATGGAATGCCGTAGCGTGCGTAGAAAGGTGAGGCGAGAGTCCGTATAAGGGCAAGAATTGGTGAATGCGTTTTGAGCTTGAACTCTGCGGGAGGATAATTCCTCGATGCCAAATAGGTTGCCTTGCAGAGTCCACCCACTTCCCTGCCGGTCGAAAGCTTGAAGCCGTGATCGTACAGCAACGACACCAAGTCCTTGCATATATTTCTGTCCATAGTGTTGGGGACATAACACATGACGATCCATCCGAGGACATGGACAAACGATTCTATGTCATCCACGAGGTGATGTGTCTGTCCAGGATCTTTGAGTAATGCAGCGGAGATAAACTGCCACGTTCCCTTTTGGGCACGTCAGGATGATTTCGAATATGATCACTGCACAAGTCACTCACGACACGATCTTGCACTTCAAAGTCACTTTTGTCATCATTAAGTACGGCGAGTTCCCAATCGATCAGAACACCGTTGCCATTCTCATCGATAAGGATATTGTTTACACTGACATCGCGATGCAGGACCCCTGCTTTTTGAAATGCTTTCCAATGGGCTGTACGCAGAGACAACGAGTGAGCTGGAATAATAGCCCATAAATCAAACGAAAGTTGTTGACCTTCCATGGCATGATAGACAGCCTGAGTCAGTTCCCTTGTGGAATTGAATTGAGTGAGGCGACGCCCCACAAACCCGAGCACCAGCCTATGGAGATACCGATGACCAATCAAGCACGAATTGGCCTTCTTTGCACGGCAATGTGTTCTTGTTTCATTACGAGGCACGTCTCCTCCACACAGCAGTGGTGTGATGTGCGGAATATCATGCTTTATCAAATGCTCGTAAACCTCGGCTTCACCCCGCATTCCCGCTGGTCGCCAGTACTCCTTTAGAAATACCTTCTGACCAGGTTCCCCATTGACAAAGCCACAGACGGGAATCATGCGAGTCGACTGGCCAATGAGAGAGCAAACAGGGAGGGGAAGACGAGGACCATAGAACAATTTGTCACTGTCCTTGTACGTTACTGTAAAAGCGGAAAGTGGAGTGCCTGCCTTTAAATCCAAGGTTTTTCGGACTTTTTGTGCTTCATGCTCAGAAAGTGCCGATGGAAACACAGAAGAGTCATAGCCTCTCTCCTCATGCGATAAGTGAGAAAACCTCCAGAAAAAGTTGGCCAGAAGGTCAGACCTCTCCAAATAATTGAAGCAGGTGCTGACAATTGCACCGGCGCGGTCCCATCGCACAAAGCAGGGCGTGATCTTCGACCACGATGACGGAGAATGCGAAGATTCGAAACTGGGAGTTAAACTGTGCGACAACGGACATAGAGATGTCCCCCCGCATGTCGTTGGCTTCTACGGTGTCTTTTTCAAATGGATTATTGGACTTCGCGTCGGGGTCCTCGAAAGGGTCGTATGAAAAGGAGGGTTTGGCGTCAATGCACATCTCCGTTGTGGAAAAAGCTGTCTCTCCGGAAGTTGTAACTGCCTCTTCATAAAGGCAAAAGGGGGACGGTCTGAACGGGAAACTGTCCTTCACCATTTTGCTGCCCATATCCGCAAACGCCATACCACGCGTGCATCTCTTCAGCGCCATTTTCTACATAAAATTTAAGTCAAAGAAAACCTCGACGACAGTAAGAGAATAAATACAAATAATGAATACATATCAATTTCTGATGTTGCCGCAGCGACCATTTTGAGAGTCTCGAGCTCCTCCTCGCTGAGACGAGGAGCAGGTGGCATGGAGGCAGAGCAAGGTAAATAGTCCATCAAGAACTGCTCAGCTCCTAGCGGACCGACAAATCTGTCCTTCATTTCATATGCAAGCGTCGACTTGATTTTATTCTGTAAAGGGGGTGGCTCGCAGTTGTAACACGTGTTGCGGACTTGGGTCGTGATAGGTGTTCCACTAACATTGGCTGCCGGAGTTGCTTCATTGGATAGACATTCATGAAAGGAACTCATGGTCGTAGGTAATGGGAAAGGGAAAATGCTCAGACGGGTTCCAGTTGCCAGCTTTGGGCTCGCAATATACTGCAGCATTGGGTGACGTATGTGATATGTCATGTGATCATCCATTGGCAAATCCCTGCTCCACTCACTTTTTTTCTGAGGTTTGCCGCCTTGCCTTGCTGCGTTCGCAACGGAAGTAATAAATATTTTTGTTCTGGACTGACACCGTGGCTGGGTCTCTCTTTACACAAAACACAGGGATTCCTTCAAGGCATGTTCTTCAATGCCTAATCCAAAATCCGCTATGATATCATTGATTTCTTCATTCCGACAGATATCTACAACGCAATGTAGGTCAGCCAAAACCCAACGAAAACGATGCCCTGCATACGCGGATCAGGTCGGGGGTCACGCCGGTGGCCAATTACTCGTCAATCGTCAACTGCTGGTGCGTAGTTGTGGCAGGATGGACGACGGGTGTCTTGGCGTCGCCAACGTTTGTAAGATTACTGGTGAAGTTGTCGATAGTTGACCGGCCACGCGGATGTCGCACTGAACACCAAAGCTCAGCACACCACCGTCTTGAGAGTTCCTTGGTACGCTCATGGTATTCATGGTTCGGGAGACCGAGATATGAGACCCAAAGAACCTTGGGGTGATTTGATAGCCAACTGTTGAAAAATGCGCTGTCAAACACTGAGACGAGTTGGCAGAGATTCACACGTCACCAAAGCCAACGCAAAGTTCGAGTGTCTTCACGCACGCAAGCCCAGCGTCTCAAGGCCTTGGATTAGTAGGAAGACGCCGAAGGGGTTGTGTGGAGCCGATGTCACGCATGAGATCGACTCGCAATTTTACGGCGAACGCAGACGACCCGTAGGTTTCATTGAAAACGAGGCCATGATAACTCTCGGACGGTTCAGTGAACAACGAGAATCCCCCACTGCGAGTCGAGTCAAACTTGCCTGAAAGATGTGTGAGAGTCACGGAGGATACCTAGATACTAAGATATGGACGTACCATACCCAAGTCGATAACAGCACCTGCGATTGTCGTCCCATGGCCACCGATCCACTTTATTGCACTATGTGGCTTTATTCCGAGGCGTCAACGGTCGTGACCAGCGTGCAAAGTCGACTTTGATGGAGGATTTGGACTAACGTGGTTCGATCGCAAATAATTCGTTCTTCGGGTTCAATTCCACGTGGTAACTGACTTGTCTGAGCTTGCCGTGGCTTTAAAACAAGCCAGTACCGTTAATCGACTAACATTCCTCAGTCCGACAGCGCGCATGGCGTTGTATGTGAACTTGATCAATCAAGATGTCTTGCGCAGCGATGACATCTTTACGTGGCCCTTTGCTGCCGTCCAGCTCGCCCAGTCTATACGCGACGCGTTCAAGGTGCCTTCGGCGTTGAAATCAGTAAGTATATCATAGTCAGTTCAATTCCGAACTATTTACCTTAGGCCCACTTCCAAAGGAACTGCCCCCGCATACGGACAAGTGGGCCTTCCATCTGCTTGACCAACTACGGGCGATAGACGACGCGTCGTCTCGCCACCTCTGGGAAGATATAGATACAGTCGACGACAACTCGCAACGACGACTCCACCTCGCCTTCGCCACCGCCCTCTCCGACTGCGCCAGGATTCAGGTGGCTGTCAAATGGCCCACACTTCGAGGCCCACTTCCTCGCATATCCTCCATCTGCCCCTCTGCCATCCACGTGTCACATACCTGTGCTCTGCATGGCCACCGAGAAGTATCTTCCGGTGGTGATGACTAGTCTACTCTATCAGCGACGTGTGTGACACATCGACGACCCGTTGATTGGAATAGAATTCTCAAAATATGACACGATCATCCGTCTGTACGTTGGATGGCCACGACGCCTCTCCAGACCGTATCCTCGTGAGTATCTAGCATTCCTCCGACCCCCAAAACTAACCTCGTATTAGCCACGCGTGCTTCTCGGAAGCATAGAGACTGTCTGTTACCCTGGATTTATCATCGCCGCTCGTATCTCTTGCCGTCTCGCGACTGCTCATGAGTCTAGAATCACCTATATGTGGTCTTCGTGACAGAATTGGGAATGTTGTTGGCACCAGTTGCTGCTGAGACCCAAACCCACACTGGCCCGTCTTTGGCGGATCGATTCGGACGTTCAGGAAGAAGACGCTGTTTTCCCTTCAAAGATGAAGAATCATTCGAGATAGGATTATAAAGTAACAGGAGAGTCAGGAATATTCAGAGCTTGTTCTCTCGCTTTCTTCCTCCCCCTCTCTAACAGTCTATTAGGGACATGTCACCACGGACCCGCAAGCCCGCTGCAGTTCCACCCGGGTCAGAACGTCCGTCTGTCCCGTGAGTGTTATCTCATAGTGGTGTCCTTTTGTATTCATTGGCCACCCGCAAGGAAATCGTTACACCTGAAGAAGTCAGTGACACGGAAGGCCCACCTGCCAGTGAAATGTCTGACACCATTCTAACTTTCCTTTCACAAATGTCTTGCTCTCGGTATGTATTTTCAGGCGCCATCTTTCTTTCTTGATGAACATTTTTTATGAACATTTCATTGGGCAGCTTTGCGGACACCCCGGTGGCCAATGATAGCAGGATATTCAGTTGGCTATTGGATCGAAGAGTAGCGCCAAAGTCTCTCGCATCTGATCCGGAGTTCTCTCGTGAATACGTTGCAATGACGGGCTTCATTTGGCCGATGACGTGGAACGTCAGAGTGCGTCGTTGTATGTTGTGTATTTCCATTTACTCATCTCTACCTACAGGACGATCTACCACCCGTTGATGCTGCACTTGAGTCATGCATTCAAGAATTACTTGCTAGTGTTGCCCCTCTGAAGTCCCAAAATGCAGTGAAACTTCTGCATCCGGATGAATTCCCAGTCGATCTGCGAATCCTTGAACAGAGTTCCTCTGCGATCTTCCAAGGGTCCCGCCGTTCCCGCGAAAAGAAGGCTATCGGCGACGAGTATGAAGTATCGTGGCGTCATGACCACGATCATCTTCTGTTCGACTTCTTCATACGTCTTGTTCAGACCAATACTGGAACTCTCTTGGGTGGCGATAAGTCCATCGCACATTTTGAAGACCCACAAGTTCACCTAACGTACGTTATTGTTTGACATAATGGATCAGTTCTGACAGCTGTCCAGTCTCGAAACTACCCTCTGTTTTCCCGAGAGCGATTTCTTACAACCTATTCCAGAGGAATTTGAAACTTCAATGGATCGTCTGCTAATATTTGATCGCACAGCTACCAGACGGTGGCTCAATTCACGTGGCAATGCCCCTGCTGCAACCGCCGCAGCAGATAGAGAAATAGAGAGTGCTTTGTACGTCTATTCTCGGTTTTCGGCCTGGGTAATACAGAGGAGGAAAGAGAAAGAATCAGAGACTATCACAGGACTTTGGAATGTTCCCAAGGACTGGAAAATGTGATGCGTTGGGGTGTCTTTGGGTCAAGCTCCCAAACGTATCAGTTGAAGATCTTGGTCAGTTCCCATTCATCCATCGCACTCCACCGACGGACGAGGTTGGGTCTAATGATGCAACCAAGGCATCAATGCGGAATGATGCGACTCGAGCTTCCAAACGTGGCGATGCAACCAGGGAATCCTGGGCACAACGACGGTGCCCCAATCGATCCCCTGGACGGGGATCGAAGCCTAAACATAACGTCGAGGTCCTGCAGCTCGCTGAAACCTCCAGGTCCCTCCGACACTAAGGAAACACGATACACTAGTTACCTTAGCATCACTTTCTTCCACTCGACAGGCTGATGGGACTGCAGAAGACACCGTGGAGCCGATGACTTCTCGAATAGAACGTTTACAGATTGGGCCGGACGCTACGCTTTTAGATCTACCTATTGTCGCGGTGGAGCACAAGAAGAAATCGGATCATCTAGCGAAAACAATGAACCAGCTCAGGATGCACCTCACTGCGTCGGTCAAGTTCTTGCAGACCATCGGAATCACGAACTTTCCTGTATATGGGGTTGAGGCCGATGGTCCTAATTGTGTCCCTACCTACGGCAGTCCTACGAGGTGACGACAATGTACGTGGCACGCTCAACGAAATGCCACATAGCTACCTACTCGACTCTTTACCAATCATCAGATTGTTTATCTCTTTGAAAGGCTAGTTGAACGACTGGATAGTATCTACACCGCTGGGAGCGTGGCACTATGCGACGATCCTTTGTCGGCTTGCGAACATTCACGCTGGGCTCCTTGGGGAGAGGTTCGAAATGGCTAAGGAGGACTTGATCACGTCATTGCGCAAGAAGGGGAAAGATATGGAGGGATGGACGATCACCCACCAACTTGCCCTGCTGGCGGCAGACTAGTAAAGCGAAATTCCCGTCAAGAACGAGTGAGAAGAAGGTCAAGTGAAAGTAGTGTCTTGTTCGAGGGATACCTTCGTAAATTATGTCTACACGGATATCACAAATCATAATTGTAATATATATGTAAGTACTATGTTTGTTCATTCATTCAATTTTTTTCCAAGCACGTGTTCTTGTTTCACCGCCGGGCATCCTGGGGAGAAGTTTGAATGGGTGAAGAAGGATCTGCTCACCTCGTCGCGCCGCGCGGGGGAAGATACGGCGAAGTGGACGATCATCGATCACCCACCGGGTTGCCATGCTGGAGCCAGACAGGTGGGAAGACAAAGTGCCGAGTGAAGTGCCATGGTATAAATCTAATTGGGGGGCATACGATATTGCTGAAGATCACATTCAACACCGCACAATGCTCAACTCACTCCCACCCTCTTTCTCTTTTAACACGTCGAACGAGCCCAGACTGCCTGTCGGAAATCACCGTACTCACCGCACGAGGCGATGAAGAACGCAACACAAACAGCACTAGACTGCTACCTTATCAGGAAGTAATAGATTACATGATGACACACACTTATGAGCACGTACTTGTACTGTATTTTCGCGTTCGCAGTCAACGTAGGGAACGATCGTTATATGAGGAAACGAGCGCCAAGCGGACGGAGTGGAGACTAGCCGGGAGGTGATAACATCATGGGCTCGTGAATTAGTATTGATGTGATCAACCTAGCTCCTTCAAAGCGTCGCCGTTCTGGTCAAGTCTTCCTCCTTTCCACCTCGCGACTGAGGGTTTGCGTGGAGAACTCAGTCAAGCATTCTTATCGACCTGAATTGCGAAGGCACACTCCTGGGGTGTCATCTTACACCGATCGCAGATTAGCGCTCTTCACTTTCAGCTCATCTAGTTCGCCCCGGGCCAACACTAGGTGTGTGGTCATAACATGTGATCGCATATATGTTATCTGATTTACAATCCGGGCCGACATATTCACTGACAGGTATATACCAATGCCGCTTCACTGCATGATATGAGAATTCTCTGCTACCTCCATGCCAACATACGTCGCCTTGACAGAGACTAGTTAACTGTTGTGCGTTTCGGATACGCAAGGATGCTCACCGCAATGCAAACCCTTCTGTGAGCACCAAGGCCTTCACTTCTTGTGTACGTCTTTCCACAATGCGTGCATTGCAGCCTCACATGTAGATGGCACTCTAGAATGTGTCGAGCAACGTTTCCCCAGCGCATCGCCTTAGAACACTCAGGCCATGGGCAAGGAGCACGGTCACGATGCTTGTAGTTGAGACCGTGGTGGCGGAGGTGAGAATAGATGGAGGTGGTTGTCCCCTCCAGAGGGAATGTGCATCCGTCCCCCAATAGGCAGGTATGCGTTACCGATGAGTTGGCGCCAGGCAAGACTAAATAAATCCCGTGTGCAGTTGTGTCATTCACTGCTGAAGAAGTATTGGAGGTTAGGCATGCCCTCTCACTGAGACTCGACGCTGCAACTCTGGATGCGCACGTTGATTGTAGGTGGGTAGGGCTACCGTGACATACGAACCAATCGCAGTGCGACAGCCGGTATACAACTTTGGGCGGGCTGTGTTGTATGATCATTATCCGTCATGGAGGGGAGAGCAGTATCGCTAACGAGGTAGAAGTTGCCTCCTTTCAACCAGGACATGGCTAGCACCAGATTGTAGAAATGCACCGTTTTCGAGGTATATATCAGTCATGGATATCACCATCCAGCTAGCCTTCCTAATGGAAAACGCAGAGAAATGAAGTCGGGTTCTGTCTGTGTTGATACACACTCGCATAGGGACAGGACAGGACCCCGGACATAGACCTCTTGAGATCAAAGTTTTGGTTAGTATCTCGTAGTAAGTCAGTTTATCTCGGAAATAAGTCGATTTAAGCAAGGTTTCCGACGGCACTGGCGTGCGTATGAAAATTTTGCCTGTATGCAGCAATGTTCCTCTTGACACGCAATTAATCCGGAGGTAACGCCCATTTCCACCTGGCGTGGAATCCCATTAGTGCTCGCGGTCGGACGCCAGGACACATGCTAGGCAGGTAGTTGACGGAGAAACGACTCCAGATTCAAACGGGGGTGGCAGGGGAGACAGCACTCCAAGGTACTCACGTAATAGCAAGTCACGTACAACACCATCCATCTTCCTGCGACCTATAGGCTGTTTCCTGCTGAGTACGGAAAACCGCGGTCCTGCAACAGGTGAAACGGGTATATCCAATACCTACCATAAGCCTGTGAGAAACACGAGGTAGAAGGCGGTAGAACAACTTGAAGCAACCACCAAACTTAGTCGATCGGAAAGACGACGTTATTCTTACCCACGAGTCTAAGTCATCATCTTGTGGTCACCGTGCATTGAAAAACCCCGCCCATGATCCGCAAAGAGGAGACGGAGTGATGCAAGGGGACCAAGGGCTGAAGCGCCGATGGCCCCCATCTTGCAGTGGTCTGTCGCGTCTGCCCTCACATAGTGGATACACGCTACCCATCTACATGGCATGGGGACCTTTGAAGGTTTGCACTCTCCGAGTTCGGTGCTTGTGTTTGGGTCGTACTGGCGGGTAATGTTGACGTCGACCCCTGTGTGACACTCCCCGCAGCGGAGTTTCCCAGAAGAAAAATGTAATCCGCAGCGCCCATCTCAGGCCCATTTCCACTGCGGAGCCCACGATCAGTTGCGCGGAGATATGGGAAGGCCCGCAAAGGGAAAACCAGAGCAATGACTCCAAATTTGGGCGAAGTGACAGGGGGACAGTACTTGGAGCCAAGGAACGCGCATAATGTTGTGTCGCGTATAACACCCTCCGTCTTCCTGCGACCTACCGCAGTCCTGCAGCAGATGAAATGGGTATCTAGTATCTACCGTAAGCCTGTGAGAAACACGAGTGGTAGAAGGCGGTAGAACAACTTGACGCAACGTTCAAACTTGGTCGATCGGAAAGACAACGTTATTCTTACCCACGAGTCTTGGTCATAACTTGGAAAACCCCGCCCATGGTCCACGGAGAGGAGATGAAGTGATGCAAGAGGCCCAAGGGCTGAAGCCATCAGTAAATCACTTTTGCTGGCCAGAGCTGTCCAGAGCTGTCCAGCACTGGACAGATTCCCTAGGACTACCAGCTCACAAAGTGGTCTACTGATGGCGCCGATGATTAGGGCTCTTCGCATCTGGCGATGAACTATCGTTTTTGCCCTCACATAGTAGATGCACGCTACCCACCTATATAGCATGGACACCGTTGAAGGATCGCACTCTAGAGGCGGATACATTCCGCGGGCGGCACTGCTAAACCCGAATTAGGGAGATCGTTGTTATAGGGCTACCCTGAATCTGTCCTGCAGGGGAATTCTCTGTGGAACTCTGAACCACACGCACTGGCCGAGACGGGTGGCAGACACTTCGGATCAGGAGACTTGGGCGAGCTGACATGCCAACTTCATGAACCATTCTCCACGCTCCCGCAGCATGCTGCTGACTATGGCTGGCACGGTTGGACCCACACAACCTGACGCTAGTGGTGCGCAGCATACCAGCGGGGCTGAAGGCATGCACTGAGCGACTGAGAGCACAATCATATGCATGGTACTAAGCCAGTCCAAGTTATATTGCACATTTGTTCCGACGTTTTGAGTAGAGTGTCCAGTCGTTTTTGTGAGCTGGATGGCCTGACGTCATTCTCGTCGGGTTGCCAAGTCGTTTGATCCGATAGCGCACAGAGGACGCAGACCGTGGTTAGGTCTTGTCCGCCCTGAGCGCTTCCACCACATCCGGAGCCCCCACCTTTCACTTGTATTACAACAGTCCGCGGGATTAGCGATGGGGCGAAGCGGCATCACACGTTCGCTGAGCTGCCCCGGTTACGTGGTAGTGCTCATTGTTATATCCCAGCATGGTTTCTCCTTCGTTTGCACTACTATCAGGTTTCTCTACGTCTTCACTATATCTACCGGTTATGTCGAAAAGTACTTAGTACATTGGACGATTACGCAACTACCCCACTCGAAATGTTTCTTTTCAGAAAGACTAGCGTGAGGGGTAGGACCGCAGCCTCGGAGTCCGAGTCGGAGGGCAGACTGGCTGCCTCGCCCCTTCCTTATACAAGCCAGGGGGTGCCGAGGATGTATAAAACTTAGTCCTCCAGTCAGGGTGACGCAGACTATTCTGCACAGTGTCCACCCCACACGCCATGGACTCAACGAACAACTCAACAGGCGTGTACGATGCATCCAACACCACCACGATTGAATATCATATTAACACGACACTGCAATCCGCTAGTGGAGCTGGAGAGATACAGCCGAAGACGATAATAGGTATCATCTTAGGCATAAGTGAGTGTCTCGGCATGTTCCTACCCACCGAGTAGTATATGATACATGCCCCATTCCCCAGCGTGCTTCGAGTATTATCCTGGTCCTCTCAAGCTGGACGATCTCGTATTGGTTTCAGAAGCGCGCCAATCAACGTCGGGCGCGGATGTCATCCGTACAGCCACTTCCCCAAGGTTGTTCCCCTCCTCGCCCCTTCCTTGCCGAGGATGTATAAAACTTAGTCCTCCAGTCAGGGTGGCGCAGACTATTCTGCACAGTGTCCACCCCACACGCCATGGACTCAACGAACAACTCAACGTTGTTGGATGCATCGTATGACACGCCTGTCATACGATGCATCCAACACACTCCCGAGTTGGGCAACAACATTTATTGTGATTGGAGTCTTCAGTATGTTTGCCCTCCCCCCATTATCCACACCATCTACCTTCTCACACGATCCCGCTTACAGTTTCAGTTGTTGGTTTCATCTGGACGATTCTACGCGCCGCGCTCTTCTTGCGTCGTAGCACACTTCCACTTCCACTTCCACTGTACACAGATGCATCCCCCTGGTCCAGACTGGTCATCCAGCCCCCTCCCCCGGCATATTCTCCACGTCGCCATACTCTGCACCGAAAGTCGTTCAGCTACGGTCCGCGCAAGCAAGCCTCGCCGAGTCAATTGCTTCATCAAGTCTGCGCAACTCGTATAATGAGGTGATGCTGCTGTCTTCTAGCTGGATCCCGAGTTAGTCAAACGCCGTCTTATGAAAGGAAACTTCACAAACTGCTGCTTGACAGGCTCCGGCAGACGCCCATTTTACCGTCCTTGACGGGCACCTTTCTGTCTGGGCAATGGCCCTTCCACATTGACGACTCACCTTGTGGACTTAATTGTCGATGCCGGCCATCCTACGTGGCTAATAATGGCATACCCTTTCCCCTTCTCCGCGCAAGTCAGCTTGTAGACTGACGTACCCGCGCGGGTCGGGTGTAGTTTATGGCAGTGAATGAGTGAACTGCGTAACGATAATCCCATGCGTTATTTTGTTGTATTTCCCAGTGCCTTGCATCACCTCCAATACCTATATTACTCAGGCCTTCTTCTGCGCTCTTTGTTTTCCAATAGGCCATTGCATTGCTGTTGTGTGGACTATCCAGTGCTGCAGACTGCACTTGCTGTTGTATTCTCATCCATGTATCCGCTGCCCTGGTCGCTATGTCAAGGTTAATGAAGCTGTATGTATAGCCACGAGGGTGCTTAACCTGAGTAATATAGGTATTGGAGATGATGCAAGGCACTGGGAAATACAACAAAATAACGCATGGGTTTATCGTTACACAGTTCACTCATTCACTGCCATAAACTACACCGAACCCGTGCGGGTACGTCAGTCTACAATAGGCCATTGCATTGCTGTTGTGTGGACTATCCAGTGCCGCAGACTGCACTTGCTGTTGTATTCTCACTCCATGTATCCGCCGCTCATCATGATGTTGGCGTATATAGCGCGTGCTAGAATGAGATCAGTGGTCAATGGTCCTTAGAGGGCACGGCGTTAACTGGAAATAGAGTCGAGCCGTGTAGTGGCGAAGAGCAAGCGAGATACCACTCGAGAAGTTCTTTTGCCCCTTATCTTGTAATCACCCTGCACGACCTCGTGTTACTTCGTCACGTCGCACTCGCATCGCACACCCGCATCTTATCAGCAACACCTCAAAATAATTACACCCAACTTGACTCGAAGAAGTACATCACCAAGTAAGTGTGAGCACATACGAATCTATGAAGCTGGGTCATTACGATATCGGGAAAGCTGGCATCGTATTATGTCACTGGGGGGGGAGCGGCAGCGTGGGAGGAGATTAAAGCTTGGCTTTTCCTTTGGCGGTCTGTTATGCAAAGCAGCAAGTGAAGAGGCAGGAATGTAAGCGACGAGCGTGCCGCTGAGGAAGAGGCTAGAGACTGACCTCGAGTATAGGAGTTAATTTGGTAGCTAGCATAGCGTTGCCTTTGGTCTTCAGTTTACCGGTCATGAATGCCTTTTGGCCTGTCGAGCTGGGTTTTTGGATTAGTTCAACGACAGAGAACAGGTAAAGGGTTGTTTTTAATATATATATAAAATATGAGGGAACACGCTAGAGGGGAAGACTGAGCAGGGAACAATCGGACCGAACCTTTCCATTAGCAAGCTGTGCAAAGGTGTCGTCACTCATCGATAGCACGACACCGGGCTTAGACTCGGCCGGTCCCTTGTACACTGTGCCCTTCTCTTTCATGTCAATAGTCCATACAGCTTCTTGTTTGTTTCCGTTGGTGATACGGAGTTCGAAGATACCATTTGCCTGCGCCCATGACAGGGCGGGAATGTGTCAGTGTCGCGTGCAGTGGGGTGTAATGATAAGACACGCCACCTTTTTGATTTGGGCCTTCCGCTCTGCATCTGTGAAGCCTTCGAATGCAGTGCCGAGTCTCGACAAGATCTCAGAAGCCTGTTCATAATGCCAATTAATGTTGAAAAGCCCGCTGACGCCCCTGGCTCGATGCAGACTTGCCTTGAATCCTTCAACTTTGATGTCGGACATGGCAGTGTGGCTCTACTGCTGGTGAACCGAGAGCGACGCGGTGGGAAGAACGAGAAAAAGAGGTGTCTCGAGGCCATATAATGGGGGTCCTTGCCTGAATCATGTGATAAACTGGATATCAACTCCACAACAACAACCTAATAGAAGAACCTTACACACTCTAGCTAGCCTCGGCATGTATAGTATTTTCTGCACCATGCAATACATATGATAGGGGAGAATTATGTAAAACAATATGAATGCACCAATCTCTGTTTCTTCAAACGGATGCCAGGTGGTTGTTGGTTACTGCTTGAGACTGGCTGCGAAGGTTCTACATAAGATGGGAGACCCCATGCATTCAAGTGCTAATAGTAGTGCACCCGCTGTGCACGTTCGCCTGCACGTGTCTCAGAGTGTCACTCCAACATAAAAGGCAATCCCATCAATTGCGCCGTCCTCACACCAACTGACCAACGCCCAGCCAGGCTCCAGCTCGCCGTCGCCTGCCAACGACGACGACGACCAGGATGAAGTACATTGAATTCCCGCAGCTATCGCGCCTCGCACAGGCACTGACACACGAAGGTCCAGAATGTTCGGTCCACACTCGAATCGAAGCCTACTCGTGCAAGAACATCAAACGCGACAAGAAACTCTTCAAGTCTCTCGAACATGCATACACAGACGAAGTCGCTTGCTCGCCACCTCTACCGTCGTGGCTGGAACGTGAGCCGGAAGAAACGCCGTTCGGTCCAATGGACAAGGCGGCGTCGAGAAAGACGCTCTATCTCCTCATTGCGACACTCAACATCGCATTCCCGGACCACGAGTTCTCAGACGTCAAGCCATCCCATTTCAACAAAGAGAAGAGTGGTGCAAGCGTGTTGAATGCACTCAGTACCACTTTGCTCTCTCCACACGCTCACGCCCGTACAGGGAGTATGCCCGCACCCAGAACATACTCGTCTTACCCACCTATATCTCCCAACGCCTTCCCTTCCTCAGTACCCACTGCATCGTCAACCTCACCCCGCTCTCAGATCATACGGAGCCCGTATGCCCCGCCTCCCATCGTATCCGGCACACATCCTACCCTGTACCGAACGTTGGACGACGTCATCGGACTCGGAGATTGTCAGGTCTTTTCCTACACCCCGGACCCTGACTCGGACCCCCACGCCAACGACTACTCCGACGACGAAGACGACGTGGTGTCTGTCGCCGACGAGTACTCTTCTGATGACCCTGACTTCGACGATGGAGACGCTACGTTCGAGTTCGATGCGGACGACCGGGATTTGGTCGCCCCCTCGAATTCGCTGTCCTCCCGCAGGAACTCGCGTCGTCCCCGCATACACTCCCGCAAAAACAGCAGCGATGTTAGTAGCAGGGGCACATCCTCTCCAGTTACTTCATCTTCACTGGCCATGTCAATGCCCAAGTCCAACTCCCCCGACACTTCCCCTGATACACGTCCCTACACTTACTCTCCCCCTTTCCACCGTCGCGTCCGCCTTAAGCGACGTGTAGGAGCACTTTTGTGGTCCTCCCACTGGTTCTTCCTCAACCCGAAATTGAAACGTATCCTGTTCATCTCCGTGTGGGCACATACTAAACGGGGATGGGAAGATGAGGCGGATGAAGGGCTTATTGGAGAATCAGACGCCTCGTATACAAGGCATGGGGGATACGGGTACGGAAGGAAGGGCTTCGGTTTTGGATATGGCAACGAGTATGGAGGGTACGGTGAGAAGAGCGGGGAAAGGTTTTTCGGATGGGAAGGAGGCGTCGGGGCAGGCGCGAGGGCCTTGGGGTTGAGTGCGTTGGTCTGAACGCATTCCGAACCAAGCTTTCGTTCACTCCTTTCCCTCTTCCTTGAGCGATGACCAGCAGATGACTTCTTGACGTGAGTTTTCTTTTGCGAATCCACAACTGGAAGATGACGTTGACCGTCGTTTCACGCATGTACTACGATGAGTAGTACGATGTCTCTTTTGTATCTCGTTGAATCCTTTGGGAGGACCCGGCTTGAATGCGTCTGGGCGAATATATTTTTCATTCCTCCGCGTTTCCTTTTCCCTTTTCCCCCAATCATTTCCATGTCCCGATTCGATTCCCTCTTCAGTATGCCATCCCTCGTAATATGTATATATATGCGCACCTCTTCAACCGAGACTTTCACCCCAAATCGCCATTACCCCTTTCTACACTTTTTTTCTCGTTGTGTCGGTTCGTTCCATCGAGTTGCCAAGACTGATTCGTTTCGACTCGTTATTTTGCCCTGCGATTCCCAGTTCTCTTGATAGTGCCTTGTCTTCGGCGGGCCTATTCGTCCACTGGCCGTGCTATAACTTCCGCGTCTTCTCTGAGTAGTTCCACTTCTACGTGAAGAGGGAGAGGAGGGGAAGGTAGAGTACGCTCTTGTATTTATAAGAACCAGATTTCTTGAACGTTCAAATATTTCCTGGAATTTGGTTGAATGGTGTGTTTTACACTGCAGTTGTGTGCGTGGTTATTCCCCGTCGCCGATGCCCCTGTCAGGTTTCAAATTTCAGAGCCGCCGGATGTACGTACATACGCGTCGCACATGTAGATCTTGCGGAATGAATTGTGCGGAGAAATCACATTAAAAATGACGAAAAAAGGCGCCCAGCCAAGGGCCGATATCATCGTCGTCGCTTATTAGATCCCCAGTTGTAAATTGCACATACTGATTCAGGTACTGCCGGTCACGGTCCATTGTCGTGGTGGCTATGATCCGTTCGACAGTGAGTGTGTCAGGTCGAGTCATGGGTAGTTGCCGTTCACGATCATTGACGGCCGCCCACAATGTAGGGTACATTGGTCGTATTTGAATGCGGGGAGAAATAAATAAAACGTGGAGAGGAGGCCTCGATATCGTTATTGGGTGCGAGGGTGGAACTTACGTAGCGCGTTCCCGTGTTGCATTCGTATTGTTTAATATCCATAGTTTGACTTAATGAGTTTATTAGGTGCGTGCTTGATGACGTGTTTTGTAGCATGGTTATTGAGGAAAGGGAGCCCGTCGTATAGTCGTATTCCTGCGAGTTCTCGTCGCAGGTGGTGGTCCCACGTATGCATCGAAAGAAAGCACCGCAACGCACATTGTATATGGTTGATTTTGCCAATGTCGCAGAAGCGACTACTCTACCCCCAGAGAACACTGAGTGACACCCGTGCACGTAGTAGAGCACCCAGTGGTGCAATAGACATTCTTGTTCCTTGTCATATTCGGTCCGCGGTGGTGGTGGAACTTCCGGCTATATGATCATATCGAGGTATGGCGGAGGTGGGTAACAGCAAGTGAAGCCGGCCCAGGCCGAGGACATATAAATCTGCGTGAGTGGTACACCCCCAAATAGTGCCCTCGAGTAGGTGGTAAGGCGGTATGGCTGGTACTTGGCACGATGGATCCGACATTTTTATCGCAATTCCAGAGTCATGCCTGCAACTTAGTGTCTGTGCGTGGTAAGCAAGCCTGCAAATCGCCACCCCAGAGTCCTAGTACAAGCACAGAAAAAGAAAGGAGTTGCGATAACTTACAAGATTCCAGATACGTTGGAGATCCTTGCACAAGATCACAAGCCAACTCAGACTTGCTCCAAGCACCTCTCAGAAAGAGCAAAGGAGAGAGGAGACACTGATATCGGAAAGATGATGACCAAAGAGAAAAAAAAAACGATTCGATTGTGACATCTGTGAAGAACTGAAAAGAGTGAATCGATCAAATCATCGATCCAAGTCATTTGTCCCCGTATGGAGGGCGCGGCTATATCCGAGACGGAACGGAGCGGAGCGGGACGGGCATGATTCCTTTCCATCGGCGTCGTTGATGGGCATTACAAACCACCCTCCAGTCTGACTAGATAGTAGGCGACCTTTGGAGCTACGTGGAATAAACAGGATATAGAAACAACATACGTGAATTATTAGACGTCGTATTCACTGATACAATACCAACGCCGACGCGCCAGCGTCTCGGGATCATTAACAAGGACACCGACGCATCGGCGCCACTTCCGACTCGCCACTCCGTAAACACCTTCTCCCATAGTCACCTCCGTCTACTCCTCGTCGTCCCGAACCCGTATACACGTATCCTCGCCATATTCAAACTGTCTCCCCTCAACCCACCGTTTCCACGCAGCGACGTACCCCTTCTCCAAGTTCCGCGTCCACCGCGCCGTATCAAAAAGAGGCATCGATCTACGAGTCAGAAATAGCTGTTTGCGAAGCTCCATTAGCTCCCCTAAATCTTTGCCATCGTCGTTATACAAGAATTCGGAGTCAACTGCAGCGGATGAGCCCCCGCCTGCCTTGATATTGCGGAACGAGCTGGGGGTCTGAATGGTAATACCGTGACGCCGAAGGGAATTGGCAAGCGTCACAGCTCTATCTTCGTACTCCTCCCGACTGTGTACGACCATTTGCTTGCCTAGATCTGTTGCATACGCGACACTGGCTGCTACACGAGACGACATTTTATGCCTGTGACTTGGCCATGCACATGCAATGATCGGTGTACCAGACCATAGAACACTGAAAATGATTAGTAGTTTTAATCAAGTCAGGGAACAAAAAGAAGGGTCGAGATCACCCACTCAGTTGCGACAGTGTGTGCGCTGCACTGTACGATACATAATTCGTCAGCCTCATCGATGACAGCTGCATACGACAACCGTAACATACCTCAACAGTATCCAGTACCAAGTCTGCCACTCTACATCGATATATATGTACTTCCTTTACAGCAACATCCGTAAACCGAATGCGAGATGCGACTTCAGGCCCAGCCCATGCAGTGGCAGTTCGTATGAGGTTAGCTTCGCCTGCCGCGGGGAAACGGAGCAGCCAGAGGATACTCCTTGGCACCCGATACAGGATGCGGAGCCATGTCCAGAATATTAACTGACGAAACCATCTGAGATCGAGAGCCACAAAGAAAGCGAGGCGGGCTTACAGGGTCAATCTGTGTCAGTAGTGTCAGTGTCGATTACGGTCATTTGGTGAGCAATGCCGAAAAGTAACGATACCTTATAGAGCTGGTATCAAGAACTCATCAGCCGGGGCACGAATAGAGGGGCAGTACCCCATACCTGGTTAAAATTCGCGAATATGACCACGTCCCTAGGGCCACAATCATCCACGGTACATAGCTTCGCATAACACGCTCACTCACTTCGGCAAATCTGGAAAGATGGCAATTCGCGCTTCTTCGCGTCGGCGCATTTCGGCGAACCATAAGTCGGTTGGAGATCCGGGGTTAGAGGGTAAACCCTGCTCATCATGGCAGTAAGATTGTTTATGATCTGTGACGAAGAAGGAATGCTACAAGTTGTTGGGAAACATTGTTAGAAGAGTGTTGGTATGGGCGAGTGCAGGATAGCTCACGGGCATGTAGATAGGGCATTCGGTACTGGGGGGAGGAATGTTTCAGCAAGTGGAGACATTCGACTAGACGACGTACAAGATCCAATTTGTTGCTGGAGAAGATGGGTCACATCCTTCATTGACGGGAACACCAACGTCGGGACAACTGTCATCCCTTATTCTTGATGCACATCGTGCCGGGCGCGCGCTAACCGTTGCGAATAGGTCCCGAGGACAAGCCACCTCGTCGCAAACCAAGTAGTCGCACCAACCTGAGACCGTTTCAGACATCACTGCCGCACATCGGCGGATGTCGAGGTACATACCGGCTGCCAGGGTTCCGGCGTATCCCATAAGCGAAATCTGCACCGGGCAAGGACGTGCTGCAAAAACCTCGTTCCTCGCTCCTTTGGTGTACCCACCCAGATTAACAACTAAAAGCAAAAGCGTGAGTCTCACTGTAATATTCAATCGAAAACACACTCACGGATATGGATCTGGTCTTGTACAATTCTGTCGACGATGGCACTAGCAGACCATGACGAAACGTCAGTGAAACGGAAGGCTGTCTGGCGTTCGTAGTGTTGTCTGTGAAGAGAGCCGTCCGAGGGACTCGTGGCATAAAGAAAAACGTTGAACTGTTGGCCGTTATGTAGAGAAAATACAGATTTCATGAGATGGGTCAGCGGATGGTCACTGCGGAAGGGTGATCAATGAGATGTGTTGTAATGGGAGACTACTCGCATACTTGTAGTCGCTAGACACATAACCGATGTTGAGCTTCCCGCAAACGGGAGGAGGCGGAGGCGGGTATACGACAGCAGTTTTGTTGGTATACGTTGTGGTAGTGTAGAACGCATTGATAGCGTTCCGGTGTGCAATGAGACGTATTGTTCGAGATGTGAGCGGTAACGTGAACTATCAAATATGTAGCTCCACGTCTGCAACTGAGTCACATGTACTTACGGTATGGAATGGTAGTATGAAGGGCAACTTCGGATACCCTAGGGATGACAGGACACCAGAGATAGGAAGGATCACTCGGTTGGCGAGTGACAGCGAAGGTTGTGGCGTATCAGCGCGAACGGCTTGACCATATGACTTGATGTACCAAGTGCGCTGCATACGCGACAGGCACCACTCCAAGAGCCGTGTCAAGAAACTTGCTTCATTGTGATTGACTGACGTCACCGATGAGTCGTTCGCGAAGAACAGCTGAAATCGCTGTATCCATTCTTTTTCTTCAACAGGGAAGAGTGGTCGTCCGCAGGCAAGTCGCACCAAAGCCATCCATTCCTCCAACGGCTTCGTGCGTAGGAGCCCCGTAACTTGGGTATCTGATAATTGCTTCTCACAGACTTCTATCGCCTTCCGCATCCAAACGTCTGACAGAGCAGATCAGCGTCGCATGGAATGAAACCTCACGTCCACGTCACCTCTCTCTCCCCATTGGCAGACAGCATTCATGGAATGGCTAAGACCGCAATACGCGTCAGAGAAATTAGGGTTCACCGAAACGGCACGTAAATAGTAGGGTACGGCTTCCGCGCATTGGCCCTGTTACGAAATGGGTCACTGCTCGAACGTCGAGATCGATAACCGAGTCTTACCGTATCCTTGAGCGTATTCGCCATGTTTACCAAAGCAATGTCCAAGTCCGGGTGAACCGAAAGCGTGTAGTGAAATATTCTCCAAGATCACAACCTGAGTTGCAAAGTGACGGGAGATCGAGTGAGTGGAGGACGTACCCAATTGCATGTGTAGTATGACCTGCGTCCTTGAGCAGAGAGCCCAAGTTAGATAATAGATGAGGATGCGTCGGATCGACTTGCAATCCCTTTTCGTAATAGAGTCGTGCGATATCACGTCCGCTCATCGGTTGACCCTGAGGGCCGGTAACAGTTTCTCCAGGGCCAAGTCCGCAGAGCATGACGCCTATGTCGTTATATATGCAAGCATTAGGGAGCAAAGAAGCAGCGATATAGTGTAGCAATAGGACGATGCTGTCCGTTCGTGAAATAAGATTTCTTGCGTTGACCTAGAAGCATAGTACAGTCCGTAGATTGATAGCGTCGGGCGAGACTTAGAAGTACAGAAGCGGTTGCGGTCTTGATGTTCGTCGAGTATTGGTCATTTGCGGAGTTGGCGAGGCACGTAGTGAGGATGTTGGGAGAGTTACCTTTCCGGGACGAGAACAGCAAAGCAGACAGGTGGAAGATCTGCTCCGGGAATAGGATGAGGTTGGGTAGGGTCCCCGTCGCTGGGTCGACCAAGGCTCGCGCCAGGTCGTCACCAGCATCATGGACAGCTTGCATGACGTCGAAGTCCAGGTTACCTACACGTGTAAGAATACTAACATGACCACCTGACTTGAGGGTGCTGGCTATGTAAGGTGGCACACGAGACTCTCGGACAAAGGACAAGGCAAGTCCTATGGTCCACGCCGCTAGAACGAAGTCCTGGTAGGTCACTTTGGAGGTAGAGCAGGGCGATTGCGGCGATTGGATCACTACTTCGATGGCGCGCATGTAACACTCAGTGGTCGCCGGCATAGTGTTGTCAATTCTATGCATAAGGTTCGCGATGTTCACAAGGACATTGAACAAGCGATGGACGGTTTGAGGATTTACCGGTGAAGACAACCGACCGTCGCCAGAGATAAGTTGGCTGCAGGTGTGGCGGCACACATCCATGGTCTTCTCGGGCAGCGACGGAGACACCAACAGCACGCCGAGTATGTTGTCCTAGGTCAACGTAAGCCATTTGAAACGTGCTGCGACAGAGAGACACCTACAAGAAGATCCCAGTCCGGGCATCCACGCGCTGAGGACTGAAGATTGTCAGTCAACTCCCCAAGAGAGTACATAACGGTTGGAAAACAAGGAAGAGACATAGCACGATTTTGAAGTACAAGCCAGCCGGGCGTCAAGGGCGAACAACAAACCTGTCAAAAAAGGGTAGCACTGACATGAGATGAAACCAGTGGTTGTTCCGTAAGCTCGGAGCCCAACTGGTGTATTTGATTAGTCGGGTGGGGACATGTATGGACGACAAGGTGAGATATTGTGGAGAACGTAGCCTCGGCATCTCGGCAGACAGACGGGAGGGCGCACCCCGAAAGATAAATGAGGCACCCCGTGAACTCGGCTACCCTCTTTTTACTCCACTCCATGCGTCATGGCATACTTCGACTGGCATAGGTGGAAATACAGCCATTTTGGAACTTGGGTGGTTTTTGGAAGTTAGTGCAACCTACGTCCCAGAGCTGTACCCCTCCACATCGCGGTGCTTAACCAACATTCATAGCTTCCTCCGAGCGGTTGCCATCGCCCGGCCTAGCCTCAACCCCCTTTTTGGTAAACTTGTTTTTCAACGAAGCCATCATGTCCCTGAACGCCTCCTCCCCACCCGGATATACTCTCTCCCACGAACCACACGCAATATTTGATTCTAGTGCAAGATTTAGCAACTCGATTATATGATTATTTATAGGATCAATGCTCAGCGCCTGCGATCATCCAATTAACGGACTTTCCGTCAACACAGGCAACCCACTTACTTCGTGGTACTTGACGATCGCTCTATCTACTTCGTCCTGGAAATGGTACACCATTCCAAGGAAGCCTAGACCTTGTCGATGTTGAGGTTCTATCTCCAAAACCCGTTGGTAATTCTTTTTGGCTTTCTCGTAATCTCTACACCAGGATAAAATTAGGGTGACTATCCATGACTTCTCGCTTTGCAACCTACTTGAGCTTCCGGAAGCATGTTCCAAGATTCAAATACGTCGCTGTCCACGATCGTTCCGAACTCTGAGTGATTTGTGCGAGCTCGAGCGAGCGCTCAAATAGTTGAGCCGCTTTTTGGTATCTTTGTAGGCGGTTCAGTACCTCAGCAACTTGAGTCACAGGTGAGACATACTCTCCACGAGTGAAAGCCATCACTCCCAACTCGTTAATCAATAGAGGGTCGCTGTCACACGCAGCGTGCGCGGCATGTAAAGCCTCGTCGGCTAACTGGTGATTCGAGAGCACTATCTGCTCCATGCCGATGAAAAGCAAAGGCAAGTGTGAGCTATGTTTATTAGCAACATAAGTCATCCGTAGCCCAAGAGAACATACCCCAAAAACATTCGCGCGCAGGTCGAGTAAGCGGTTACGGCATGGTCGTGTTCTCCTTCCATTGCAAACGTATGAGCAAATGCTATCCAGGCAGGTGCAAAGCGAGGGTCCATCAGAGAAGTTTTGCTTATTTGCAACTCAGCACACCAAGTCAACCTGTAGATGAGAAGACGTTATACCTAAAGTATTGCCTAGCTTGCGACCACTTGTCGGCACTGAGATACCATACCCCAACAGCGTACCAACTAATGGGGTTTTCTGGTTCTCTGTCCACAAGCTCGTGCGCCAAAACAAAAAGTTTTGATCGCAAATGGGAAAGGTGATACATGCATGCGATATGCAATGGCAATGCGGCATCGTGGAATGTCACGAGCTCAAGAATCCTAGGAACGAACAGGAATGAGACTGGAGATAACTCGTGGAGAACAGGGAATGACCTTGAGGTGATGGCGTAGCAATCTGCCCAGCGACGCTGCGTATACAGCGCATCTGCGAAGGTATACAACACATCGGGGTTGTCGGAAAGCCTGTAATCCTCCACTAATCGTTGACGGGTGAGAGCGTGCTCTTCTGCGTGTTTGTATTTGCGCAAACGGGATGTATACATTAATTGAATGAAATCGGCGTCATCTGGCGTTTGTTGCTTGTAGGCAAGACCCTGAACGAACTCCCACTCTAATAAGACGGTCATTGAAGGTTATGATAGCCCACCTACACGTTTCAAGACAACGCACCTTCGTCAGGGGTCATCATTTCTCCGCCAATGAGCTGACTGAATGCGTCATAGCACTTGACGTCGAGGGTGAGGGCTTCCATGAAGCACAACTTCGCTTGTTCTCCACGATTAAGCTTCAGCATAAGTATGCCTCGCAGATGACACATGGATGCCTCAACCTATCCAAATGAGAATTCGTTCTGTGGAGTTCTGTTCATGGAGCTGACCTTGATACCGCCATCGACGTTGGGAACAGCGGCACCACTTCGTTCTGTGCATGTGTCACCTCGGCAACCTGAGACCAAGAAAAAACAAACCCGAATGACGGAAAGGATTCGCCTCTCCAAGAATCTCCAATGCATCAGACCAGTTTCCTTGCCTTACCTGGCATTGAGCGGCGAGGTATCGACAAGCAACGCTCATATCTACAAGCCTGGATACCCTTGTTTGAAGCTTTTCGGGAAGTTTAACGAGGGCCGCAGGACCCATGGGTAGTCGTGGCGTTGATCCTGCCTGTGCCTCGATTTCCTTGCCCTTGCCCTTTGGGTCGAAGAAAACACTCCCTATTCCCGACACACCACTCATTGGGTGAACAGCGCCGTTAGTTTCTCCTGGTTGCGAGGGTACGACAGCGGGGAACGGACGCGTCAGCAATCTTTCTGCGCGAGAGTACTGGTGAGTCATGAAGTAGGTCTGGGCTAGCCAGAATGCATCGTTCGGATCGTCTGCATTTCGGATTAGACAAAAAAAAAAACAAGCAGGAAAAGATTGGATTTGACGTACTCGTCCACGAGAGGATCTTGTCGCCCCAGAACGAAGCTGTCTCGTATAGATGTTGCATCAACGCGTCGTGCCTCCACAGCCTCATCCTGTCGACCACTCCCCACTCGCCATCCTCAGATTCTCCTCCTAATTCTGAGTCCTGAAAAACATCCGCCGTGTGGTTTGCGAGTGGATGACGACTGATACTGGGTTGGGCACGCCGATGACGCCTCGGGGACGATCTCGGAGAGTTATGAAGCATAGAGCAATTCGGGTCCAAGGCATATGGATAGGCATTGCTCATTTCGCCAGTAAGAGAGCTCACTATGGGTTGTGGGCCTAGGGAAAAAGACGAGCCGATCGAGCTCCGGTTCCGTGTGGTCGATGGTAAGCGCGGGACTGCGGGGACAACGAATGCCCCAGCGGGCGGTGGTGTGGAGGCCATTATTGGCGCAGTGCAGGTACGGCCGTGACGAGAAGGAAAGCTCGTTGATTACTAAGCGACGAACGATCCCCCCTAAGACAGAACTCGGCCGCGAGAAATCAAAGGGAGTACACTGAAGGCGAAGCAAAAGAACGTCGTCTGATGGGAAGGTGCGGTCCGTTTTGTTCCCTGCTTAGTCTTTCCTTCTAACGTATCCCTTTGTGTTTTTTTCACCCACTTCACCTGTCGTGCTGTCGTCGTACTAATCCGAAACCCAGTTCGATGGCGAAAAGGCATTCATGACCAGCAAACTGAAGATCAAAGGAAACGCTATGCTAGCTACTAAATTAACATCTCTACCCGAAGTCAGTCTCTTAGAAGCCTCTTCCACAGTGGCATGCTCGTCACTTACATGCTTGTCTCTTGACCATAACAGACCGCCAGGGGAAAAGCCAACTTTATGTAATATCTTCTCACGCTGCATTTTCCAGTCTCCTCCCCCGACAACAGCCCCCCCGATATCATAATGACCCAGCTTCAGAGACTCGTGTGTACTCCCACTTACTGGGCGGCGTACTTCCGATCTTCGAGTCGAGTCGAGTGTAATTATTTCACACACGGTGTTGCTGATAAGATGCGGGTGTACGTGAAGAAGTAACATGAGTTCGTGCAGGGTGATTACAAGGTAAGGCGTGAAGGAACTTCTCGATTGGTACCTCGCTTGTTCTTCGCCATGGCACGACTCGACCCAATTTCTTCGACGTTGTTTCCAGTTATGTAACGTTGTGCCGTCCGAAGATCATCGACCACTCGTGTCATTCTAGCGTAGGTGCGTTATGTACAACAACACCATGGTGATGGACAGGAAAGAAGAGAAGACATCAACTTGCTTTGACTTGGCGGCCTAAAGCCTCTTCCGCTACATCTGAGAAGCCCTGTTACACGGGGGGCCTCATGGGGGTCGATGTCAGCAATGTATTGCCCACTGGTACGACCCCGAACACATGCACCGAACTGGGAGAACGAGAACCTCCAACGGTGCTCATGCCATAATACGGAACAGTCGTCTTATTCGCTCTCCCTTATAGTAGATAGATACGATGTGAGGGCAAAATCATTCCACCGCCGCCGGATGCGAAGGACACTAACCCATCGGCGGCGCTTCAACCCTTGGGCCCCTTGCAAGCTTGCATCACTCAGTCCCTTCTCCGCGACCCATGCGCGGGGTTTCCTTCTTTCAATGCGCAGCGACCACAAGTATGAGTAAAAATAACGCTGTCTTTCCGATCGACCAAACTCGAGCATTGTTTCAAGTTGCCTCACCACCATGTACAGGCTTCCGGTAGATCCCAGAAACACAGGTTTCATTCTCGCAGCACCGCTGTTCACCGCAACTACATGCATATGTTGCGGGCTGGCATGATCATTGCTGCACTCATAATACGTACGCTAGTGCCCAAAAAGGTCCTAAGAAAATAGATGTTAGTAAGTGACCTTCAGATTATGTTGCAGGTTGATAAGGACATTAACAAAATAGATACGCCAGTGCCCAAAAAACTTTCAGAAAATTGATGTTACCTTCGGACCACATTGCAGGTTGACAGGGGGAGTGCTGTACATAAATAAATTATACGCGCCGGTGCCTAAAAAAGCCTTCTTGGGAGAACAACCTAGCACTTGGCTGTCTCCTACTCCGACTTGGCTCCGAGTTTGGTTCGTCTCTACTGCGTATTCGTGATGAACTCAGAAGATAGTAAACCAGAACTATCTTAGATTCGTATCACCCTGCGCTTTCTCCGCGAGCGAAAGAGACGATGATCATGCAGATCGTGCGTAACATTAGCACAAGACTCCAAGTCTAAACGATTGGCGGACAAGGTGTTTTTCTAATACCCTAGCTCCAACGTCCGGAAATCACGACCCTCAAGGATGGTCTTCACTAGCTATCTTTGCTTCCAATTACATGTGAGAGTTGTTCTGGCACTGTAGAATAGCCACCCTAAGCGTTCCTGAGCGTTTTAATTACAGGTTGTCTTGCGAAGCGTATCCATCATTCCACAGCTCGCTGAATCTGGTCACTTCAGTGCTTCCAAGGGGTTGGAGTGCTGTGGGTATGTGTATCACTCGTTATGGTTGCTTCCGTGCAGTTTTCAGGATGACCGGACCTATAAGTTGGTACAGGATGAAAATTTCACTCCTTGACACACTGCCCCCTTGATTACTGTATTCACCGCAGGTCCGTTGTTGCCATGGTTGTTACCATACACATGCGGATACTGCTCTGAACGACCGCTCCCACCCGCATTCCAAGCCCTTCCCGTTCGAACGATTTTTAATATTCGCACTCACCAGCTTACCCCGATAAAGGTGGTAAAGGCGGTGATATTACAGGTTCGCGTAACATCCATACCTGCTCCTGCAGTCGACGAGCAACCTTCGCGGATTCCTCGTCCCAATATACCTTGGGAATGGATCCGTATATGGGCTGAAGAATTTTCATCGGAACAGCAAGTACTGATTGTGACGGAGCAACGACAACCTCGGAGTCACTACTGCTTCCGAGCCGTGATTATGTTTCCGGCCCCTGACTTGCTTGGTCACGTACTGCCTCTAATCCTGCGTACCCGCATTTTGCATCAAGGAGGCCAACTCGCGTCGGATTGGTATGACCTGTATAAATATTATTCGAGGACGCTGTCATTCTGCAGTGTTTTGCGAATCATGTTCAGACCGCAAGGAAGCGATTTTAACCCCTACCTCGTTAACAGCGACGCTCCTCTCCCTTCCGTGTTGAATGATGGCCTTTTGACGCAGCCTGCTCAGACTACATACCAGACCCCCCACATGATTGGCTCGTGTACCTGTGGTGTGCTGCACATCTGCGATCAAGGTGCACGTTCAGAGCTGTATTGTTAATTCTTGAATACTTAACAGCAACACTTTGTACCCGCAGGCAACGCGACCGAAAACACGTTCCATTCAGCCTCACCTGCCTTACCTGCCGTTAACCTGTCGGTGACATACACATGTCCATTGGGAACTGGATGCACGTTCCCCCTGGAGGCGACGACGAAGTCGCTCTACACTCATCTTCCCCTACACGGTCATAACTACAAGCATCGGGACCGTGCTCCTTGCCCGTGGCCTGGATGTTCCAAGGTATCGCGTTGGGGCAACGTCGCTCGTCACATTATAGAAAGTCATCTTGGCGTGAAGATGGAATGCGAATATTGCGGAAAAACGTACAAAAGGCGAGGGGATCTCAAAGCGCATATGAAGGGTTGCGTTGAGGTAGTCTTTCTCGCATATGCGTTTGAGGAAATGTCAAACTGATCTCCTCCGGATTGACGTAGTATCTCAACGCAAAGTCAGCGGAAAGTGCCTACATGCCCCACATCATGTGAGGTCGCACTTGGTTGGTGGTAGACTATTCCGTTAGCGATGACACGGTTTACACTACAAACCCTTTCCAAGCCCATGTCATGTGTATACCGCCACTTGTTAAGACGGGGATCAACTAGATGCACCTTCACCAAAGAGTCTCAATTGTAATCTGGGCGATCAAGGAAGAACGAAGCACCTATCCGTGAGTGAAAGGGTACGCACACGCGTACGTGGTTACAGAATTCGTGATCATCGGGCGAGTGCCTGAGAGACACAGCTCCGATTTCGGTACCGAAGAAACACATTCGCATCACAGAATTCAGAAAATAATATACCATCTGTTTGTGCCCCGCAACTACACATCGTTTCCTCCGAAGTAACACATAAAGACATACATAATTAGCCGACCATTGTATGGGCGACATGAGTACTTGGCGAGTTTGCACATCTGTGTTGGATAACATCTCCCCCAGACGCCGATCGACCATCAAAGTCTTGAACTGGCTTGCAGATGGTTCCATGGACCAAGTGGTGCTCCCCGATTGGAGGTATCCAGACGGTACAAGAAGCAGTACGGCTCAAGCATTGCTGTACTTGAAATGTGAGCGATAGTAATTTACTCGCATTCAGTTACCACCAATAGACATGAATTTGGGATCACTTCATGAGTGAGGTCAACACGTAAATCAACATATAAAAAAACGAAGGTGGGAGTGTTGCTGGGTGATACGACGATCTCAAATGTGTGGAAACTGTATGCATGACACAACAAACGAAGCGTCGAGGGTAAAGGATCAAAAGATGCTCCCGCCAAAGAGCCCTCTCTGTCGTCGTGGGGTGGGAGCGGTGTCTGCACGAAGCGTTGACAAGCTGTTGAGCTGCTTCATCACCTATAAAAATAAATGTTGACACATCCTGTCAGACAACGTTGACCAAGGGAGCGTTGGTAATTTACCTCTTCGAGCTTGTCCTTTCGCTCCTGAAGGTCAAGATGTCGTCGTATGCTCGGATTCTCCCTCGCAAACTCCACGATCTCTTTGCGGTCGAGATCATATATCAGCCGAGAGTCAATTTCGCGGGGGAACTTTACGTGGAATTAGATATGATATGGACTGCGATGATATATCTGACTTACCTGATAGAAGAAATGGTCTAGGAGCTCGATGTTGATGAACATCGTTGATGTGTGCGCGAGCTTGTCGGCCACAACGTTGAGGAAAACTTCTGGGCAGAAAACGTCATTCTCCGGACCAGTTTTGCACCGCTTCGACTTGAGCGCTGCGAGGCGCAGCTTCAGTATCGCGAGTCTGTCATTGTACAGCACAGCGTGGCGCGCTACAAACCACAGCAGTCAGAAAAGTGAGGCCAAAGGTCCAACGTCCGCTCACCGTCCAAAACCTGTGCCTGGGGGTACTTGTACTCTTCGACGTCCTCTTCGACGTCCTCCCCCTTCAACCTTCTGGCCTTCCGTTCCCTCTCCTTCTCTTCCAATTCTTTCACATAACCAATTAACCCGTTCAGCCGCCTCCTTCCTCCTATCTTCTTCCGTATCTCGCTCAACTTCCCTTCACACATCGCCGCCTCCTTCTCGAATAACTCCACTGCCCGTTGCCGTCCGATCTCCCACTCTCCCTTGTCCACATCGACTTCGTACTTGTAAGGTTTGATACAATTCTCGACCTGATCTGATGTCATTCCTATCCGGTCCCTCAATATGATATGGGAGAACTGCACGAGTCTCTCCGCGGCACGTGGATGATGGTTAAACGGTTCTCCGCTCGCAATCGAATCAATCAAAGTCCGCAAACCATCCGCGACGAGCACCGTCGCGTCTCTCCCGACACCCGACTTCGTCAACAACGACGATGCTGCGTCGAGCTTGTGCCTCCAGTATGCATCGACGTCCCTCGCTGTCTTCACTTTCGTATCCGCACCCGACACACCGAGCTCCTCGACTCGCTTGTCCATCCAATACAGCTGCTCAAGGATATCCATCACCCGCTCGTCTAGCATCTCCTTCAGTCGTTGCCTCACCGCAGGTTTCCGGAACTGTGTCGCATACTCTCTGAATCGGGCTTTGAGAGCATCGACAGTTTCGGCAACGTATGATTCGGACGAGATACGTCGGTCGTTGTACTGGACTTTGAATTGGTAGGTTGCTTCTTCGAGCTCGAGCTGTACGGCGTTGGTTATGCTGTGTAAGGATGAAGCCATCGAGGATTCGAGGACCTCCATCAGACGCCGGCGTAAGGTATCTGTCCCGACCATGATGCCTGACAAAGACGAGGAAGGACCGAAGAGCGCTTTATGCACGTTGAAGTAATCTTCTTCAGTCTGCTTGGAAACTGCCCTCTCCGACAAAGACGAAGTCTGTTTCCCTCCAGATTTGGCCACGACGCCCACGTAGCCTAGATGCAGTGGGTATCGATTGTTCGTCAATATACCCACACCTTCGTCGGGTGTTACCAGATCCATCTTTGTTACTACGCCAATGGTTCTCAGGCCCAGCGGATCGACTTTCCTACTCGCTCTCAACGCGGGAGAGTTGGCGAGATCGACGTCCGCTGCGCATACTGCAAGAATAATATTCGGTTCGCGAATATATTTATCACACAAAGAGGAGATCTTCTCGCGGAGCTCTTCTGGCTGATCCATAGATGAGATCTGGACGTATCCAGGCAGATCGATTAGTGTGAGGTCGGGTATGTGTGGGCTGTAAATCCGGAGATCTATGGGTTCTGAAGAGACAGCTTCGGTACTAGGCACGGCGAGGTTGAGGTCGGTCAAGATTTTTTGAATGGAAGAGAAGTTGGTGATCTTGCCAAGGCCCAGGGAAGGGAATTCGCCGTACTCGGTGGGGGTGGGTGCGTCGGCTGTTGGAGGTGTGTGTATGAGAGTCAGTTCGATTGGGCGGCGTGTTACCATATTATTGCCCCTGGGTACGGCAGTATATTGGATAGCATAGTTATACAAGTTTGTTCGACCAATGAAAGGAAGACCTACTTCGGAAGAAATTCGTGGCCGACGATAGCCTCCAGCACGGAGCTTTTTCCTGAACTTTGGCTCCCAATTACGACGATGCTAGGCAATTTCAAGGAGTCGCTCTGGTCGATGCTAAGAAGCATGCTCCTGATCTCGATCAGTTTCTTCGTCAAATTCATAAGGCCATTCTGGCGCGCATCTAAACCGTCGTTACTGTTCGAAGAATCTGACGGCGCCGACATAGTTGTGGCGACAAGCGAGGCTATCAAAGCTTCTTCTTCAGGGGAGCGCTTCCGATTTTTGCCTTCTTCGTCTGAGCTATTGGTGTGACGGCTATTATCCGCCCCACCGCTGCCACTGCCATCCGAGAAGAAATCCTTGAGGAATTGTGGTGTATCGATATCTGGTAGTTCGACTTCGGCAAGGCGGGCTTGGACCGATTTGAGTCCGTCCGATGCAGAGTCGAACAAATCTGCTGCTGTATCTTGGAACGTTGTTATCCATCCATTCGTCTTCTGGCGTATCTCTGCACGGCATAAGTGAAACTCCACATCCATAATCGAGAGAAAGGACACACCTTCGAACTTATAATTTGCATAACCAAGCCCACCGGCCCCCATAGCAACACCTGCGGCGGGCACCCTCAACGCCCTGGCGACAAACTTGGGTATAGACGAGTATGACAATGCGCGAACATGTAGATTCCGGAACGCAGCGGCAGCCGAGGACGCAATTCTATGTCGGAAGCGAACCGTGCCCGTCGAAGATGTGAACAACGTTCCATAGTGTCTGTGCGCTGCGCGGCGAGCGGGTTGGGCTGGCGCCGACGTGAGGCGATATGCGATGGTCTTTCTTGGCGACAGGAGACGGCGTCGCACCGGAGCGTACATGTCGACCTACCAATAATAATAATACACTCAGAGCGAGAGCAAACTCAGCTCAACCAGCCCCCGACACATCACGTGACATACCGGCGGCTTCCCTACATGGAAATGTGAGCGACTTGGAAAAAAATGCCGCCGGCAATGTCACATGACATGTTGGGGGTTGGTTGATCGAAACCCATTTTCGTATTGAGTCGTAGTAACTTGAGCAGGTCCCAATTGCACGGCAGCGAGCTTTCGAAATTAGGGGACCAGCAAGTTCGGTTCGTGAGGTCTGCCTGCGGTCCAGCGTGGTGTCAGACTGCCACTTTCAATCATCGCTCCGTCATCATCACTACGCCTTGCCAATATAAAGACAAGCGAAGCCCCTCTAAAGCGACGTCGCATTCAACGCTCGCCATCCCCAACGTATAAACTCGATAATGAAGACGACTCGTATGAACATTGCGTCCCTGTTGCCCAAAGCCGCGCATCAATGCTTTCCTCGTTGACCAGCAGTTCTGCACGGGAGAAGGCCAAGATGCAATTGGAGGAGCTATTGGCAAAGGAAGGTGCTGAGCAGGAGGAAGATAGTTGGAGGGAAAGAGCTTGGAAAGAGAGGACACTTCTCCTGGAGGCACAAGAAATGCACTCTCGCAAGGCTGGCGAGGATGTCAAGAAGACAGAAATTGAAAAAGCGGAGGAGGTTGATGCAGAGATTCTTGCTGCTATCGCTAGCAGACGGAGATTAGCATCAGATCTCTAACTTGCAAAGGGTATCTCTTATTCCGAGTCACTGAAGACTTCGTAAGTTCCCAGTTACACAGTGTTTCTACAGGCTGATTTCGGCCAACAAGCACAGTTGGCGACCTCCACAGTATATACGTGACTGGACAGAGGAGCAGCACCGGCGTCTTCGGAGAAGTATCATATTATTGTAGACGGAGAAGACATTCCACCCCTAATCGAGCACTTCGAAGTATGCTCTATCTTTATTTTTGGGAGAAACCTTTGCATGCTCATGCCAGTCCAGGATATGAAAACACCGCAGCGAATGCTACATTTTCTAAGGTCCAAAAAGATATTTACTCCCACTCCAATCCAGTTGCAGGGTATACCCACAGCGTTAGCACTGCCAGTCCTTTTCCATCGTGACTCCATACTGACACCCGCTCAAGGTTTTTAGGACGTGACATGATAGGAATCCCATTCAGGGCTTCTGGGAAAACGCATGCATTTTGTTTGCCACTTATTATGATGACCTTGGAAGAGGAAGTCATTCACCCACGGCGAGGGTCCTGTAGGTGTTGTTCTATGTCCCTCTCGGGAACTCGCAACGCAGACGTATGAAAATGTGCTTGCCTGGACAGCCGCGCTTGCAAAGGATGGCAAATATCTCCGACTGAATGCGTTGCTTTGTATCGGCGGTATATCCATGGGCGATCAAAGTCATGTCCTCAATAAGAGTCTACATATCGTCGTTGCTACCCTAGGTCGGTTGATTGATATGCTGGAAAAGAAACGGTTTACATTCAATAACTGCAAATTGCTGTGCATGGACGAGGCTGACTGTATGATTGACCTGGGATTCGAAGACGACGCGCGGAACATCATGAGCTTCTTCAAGGTGAGAGCGTTCGGCTCCTTGTCGAGTAAGTACATCACCAGAACCCTTTCTTTCACAGCATCAACGGCAGACCTTGCTGTTCTCGGCGACGATACCACGGAAAATCCAGGATTTTAGGCGGCCAAGGTCAGTCTCACGAGGGGCTTATACGACAGCTAGGGTTGTCGAGCGGCCGGAGTATAATAAGAGGTTCTTCTCTAGACTCCAGTCCCTTGTTTCCCAGTGTTCCCCCATGGGCCCAACGTATGTAGTTGAGATGATTAGTTACGGAGTCTATCAAGTGATGATGCTGTTGGTCTGTCTAGATCTGTATCGTGCCTCGGCGACAACGACGCCAAATGGGGATCTACGTTGCATCCGTAAACAAGGTGCCCGTCGTCCCCGACGACCCCATCTTTAAATCGGACATTGTATTGGTGAAGTTTTAGGGATGATTGCAGACGTCGAAATAGGAGCGACGAATTTCGATGTGATCCAGCATGCTCCCTGGTACACCAATGGGTCCTCTCCCCAAGATTTGGTTTTTTTATCATAATAATACACAGCTGAAATGTACGTTCATCCCGAATGACGAACAGGTTCAATCTGCCAGTTGTTTGGAGGAGCTCTCGGTCTCAATCACTGCCCGCCTGTCGACATTACTCACCAGATCAATCACGCCAAGTAGCGTTAATTTTTGGAAGGTTAGCTTAGTCTCGGATACTGGCCCGCGAAGGCTCACGCATTCACACTGCAGCTTCGCGAGCCTCGACCACGCACGATTTTGCCCCCCAGTGTTCGCCTGGAGGATATCGCTGAAATGGTGTTAGACACCGGCGAATCAGCTGACTCATACATTTCTCTTGATGAGAGCTTGGTCAAGTTAGCCATAGAATGGACTTTTCCTGCGCCCAAAGGTCAGCTTCACTCTTTCCCTGCTAACGCCCTCTTCCTCGACTGATGACTTGAAAGGGGAAAAACGTACTCATGCTGAAGATAACATAGTGGATGCCGTGAAGCGTGCCAAAATCACGCAGGTGTCACCATCGCAGCTGGCAGACCCAAAATATTACAGATCCTTGAACAAAGACCCGGAGGAATGCGCCATCGAACACCGTCGTGTCTATAACTCCAAGGAACCTCTTGATCGCGAGCTTTCTCACTTCATGGACGACTCCCCTCCGATCTCATTTCAGTATAAAGGATTCGGTTGCTTCCTTGACATCTTCCGTGGGTACAAGGGTGTTCTGGGCACGGAGAGCGTGTCATCCCAAAAGTTACGATCGGCTGTCGACAAATTCGCGGAGTTCATGTCGCTTGTCTACGAGGATGAACAAGCCAGAATGGAGGAAGGCTTACTTGCTTTGAATAAGATATTTTCTGCGCGTACCGATGGTTTCTCTTTTACGTTAATGGCCACCAACGTTGACAAGAACAGCCACTCAGGTGCATGTATCCTCGGACCACACGGAGCAGGGTACTGCATCACCGAGTTCAAAAATGAGGCCAGTGTCTCAGCTATCCCGAGCGTAGAAATGGCTGGCTATTTCGCTCAGACAATCAAGACAGCAGTGGAGAATGGTCTTTCTCCGTTAGTGATGAGTGGTTGGGGTTTACCATGTCTTGGGCTAACCATTATCGGTATGTTGTATCTTATGTTTGCATTTCATCCACAGCTGAAATCATGCATTGCACCAGGTTACACTGTCACGTTTTATGCTATGATTTTCCTCGGTCGATGGCGGGTGGTTAACCTGACGCCGGGACTGTCGTGCCTTTGGGCTTCGAGTGACGGTGACGACCGGATCGCACTCTACAACGCATTCACAGCGGCCTCTGTCCTCCTTGTTCGCATCAGCCAAGAGGCCATGCAGGTGATTGACAATCCCCCCCTGCGATTGAAGAAAGCCGCCGCAAACTACCTCCCATTACTAGCCTGCGCAATCCTGACTCCGGCTCCCAAATCGAGTCCAAAATTGTCGATTTTTTTTACGACCGGGTTCCTGACTGCCACCTGTACGTCGCAGAGACAACTGAGGGCCAGCAAATCTTGGTCAAATTTACACGCCGTTACTCGTATGAATTGCACAAGTTTTGTGCGGATCGTAAACATGCGCCCGCTCTTTTGGGCTTCCAGAGGCTTCCTGGAGGCTATTTCGGCATCGCAATGGAGTATCTGAAGACCGCTACACCGATTTTGTTATTTCGACATGTTGAAAAACACAGTCAATGGGCTAAAGAGCTGTGGGAGCTTGTTAATTCTTTCCATGCCGAAAACCTTGTTCATGGGGACTTGCGGTGCCCGAACATCGTCGTCTGCGATGGAAATAGGGCAATGTTGGTCGACTTTGACTTTGGTGGAAAACAGGGGGAGGTATCTTACCCAGAAGGTCCGCTTAACATTGACCTAACTGCTGGACGACACAGCACAGATCTGAAGCTTACCAAGGATGATGATGTTCGGGTCTTGACAAACACATTGACATGTGTGCGGATGAGATGAGGTTGCAAACTTGTTAATACGAGGAGATATACACTTTAAGAGACGGAGCGTACCGTACATTACATCTTGTGGCATAGCCATGCGGCGATCGGTTTTGAGCAGTCCAGCTTAACCATAGAACTTAGTAATGTGATAGCAAACAATGGTGAATATCCCAATAGCACCGAAGCTTCAGGGGAGCGCCTGCAATTTCTGCCCTCTTCGTCTGGGGAGCGATTGGTATGATGGCTATTATCCACCCCACCACTGCCACACCAAGTGTAAGGGTTGCAGTGATCAAGTTGTTGGAGATATATTCTCCCCTGTGTTCTGCTCACTTTGGTGCGATGTTTGGGTGCTTACATAATCACCTTAGAGCGCACATTTTACAGTAGTTTATTCACTGTTCCCTCAGTAGCTTGTTGCACTACTGAGGGTAAGCTCACTTTCACTACCAGTATTATACTTACTGATATCCTGTAGATACCTACAGGTTGGTCTAATACATCAGTAGCTTGTTGCACTACTGAGGATACCTACAGCATCCTTCAAAACAAGTTGATGCTGCAAATGACCCCTTTGACATCTACAGCAGGACCACATATGACTTGTATTAGGTTGCCTTTAGAAACGTCCCACCCCTTCTTCCTTGAGAACTGCAGTGTTGGTTGAGCTGTCACTTGGATGTCATCCAAGTGTTACACTTCTGTCAGGGGTCCTTCCTTTTTTGACTCTGTATGGTCATGTGCATCATGTGCCTCGTTGCATCTCTCATAATCATTGCCATCCTAGGGGTTCGTATGCTGCATGGGTCACTTGGATCTCCTGCTGTCATGGTATTTCCAATACCTGTTGAGACCATGTCTCCCTTTTGATCTGGTGTCCCACCACCCTCTCTGATGGATGACTTGTTCCTGTCTTACTCTGATGACTCGCGACTGACTTGTTTATATTGCTTGCATGTTGTACTATAGCTCCAGTGTCTGGCTCCTCACTGTGCATTGATTGTGCCAGCTGGTATAGCCTTTGCTTCTTTGACCACCCCTGTCTTTGACACTGTATGACTCTTACTTATTTGACTGATTGTTCTGTTGACTGCTGCAGATATGCATTGCAACTGGTACAGTACTCGTACTTAGAGGTATATAGACCCACGTACTCTACCTTGTATCCTCAGTTTTTTGATAGCTTGCAACTCAGCTAACTTCCTTCTTGCTTGTCCTTGTTCTTTCTCCACGTGAACAACCTAAGGGACTTGCCAGCAGACAGAACCCTTGTCAGACCTTCGGGATAACTGAGCCATAGGGGTTATGACAAGTTCAGCCTGTAGACACCCCCTTGTGTGCTCCATGCCTATTCCATTTGAAGAAGTCACTGCACTTGGGCATAATAAAATTGAAAAACTCAGCACAGCTTTCGGGACTTGTCGACCTCTTTGTGAAAGTCTACTCGTCCCTGGTTACTGAACTTCAACAAACCAAGCCATCTATCACCATAAAGGCTTGTTAGTCTCCCTCAGAGTAAAGCCTAACTTGCCCGTACTCCGCTCCTCAACTGCTTAAAACAAGCATAACAAAATTGAGAAGCACCCCTCTACCCTCAATCAAATCCACCGCTCTACAGGCAGCCACTAGGCTTTAATAGATTGCCTCCCTAGAGCCAGCACTTGTGTCTCCCTACGTGTAAAGCGACTCGCACACCACCCTCTCTACACTGACAAGTTTCTTTCGAGAAATAAATCCCCTCTCAGTCTTCGTTATCACTTTTCGTTAAAGTGTCTAAACCTCAGAAGTCGAGACCACCAGTCCCTCCTCAACCAAACCCTCTTGGGCTCAGAAGGAACCCACCTTTACCGCCCATCCCCTTTGGAAGACTAGGTCCCTTGAACACCACCACCAATCCCCATTTATCTTACCTATCCTGGTTTAGGGATTCAGAAGTCACGCTTAGTTTGGAAGAAGAAGACGATCAGAAGTCTGACACTTTGTTCAGATCAGTCCTCAAAGAAGAACAGGAAGCTCACAAATCACCCCCTATGTCCATGACAATTGGTCATGGAGAGTCTGCTCCTGAGATGCCTACAAGGACCTTCTCAGAAGAGGAGCTGAGACAAAGGCTGGAAGATCAATGGCTCGCCATGGCAGAAGAACTATGCAAAGTGATGCATGCCAGAAGTGGTGATCCCTTTCCAGCAGGAATGCCTATGGACTCAGCATTATGTGAATGGTATCAAAGGAACTTTGGAAAGGTAATTCCCCCAGAGGTCCCCCTTGGAGGGTCCAGTAAGGGTAAGGCCCCAGCCAACCTTGATGACACATATGATTGCTGCCCACCCAATGGAGGTAGGGAATTTAATGTCAGGCATTGTCACACACCAAAGGTGTTTAGTGAGGTGGACATGGATGTAGCTGATGAATGGAGGTGAAGACCATAGCCCTCATGCAAAGAAGGACAGCCAGCAATGTCGGCAGTCATCCCTCGCACAAGAACAAGTTGTCAATAGCAAAGAAAAAGGAGGAGGCAGGTTAAGCGCCAATAAAGTTCTTAAGCACCCATGTATGGCATTCCGGTTTTCGATGTATCTCCACCAATTCTGCAGACACTGAAACCATTCCCACACTCGCTTGTAGTGCTCAGCCACATGATCCTACCTTCCAGGATTGGAAAGGATTTGCGCACTCCACACGTTTCTACAGCACTCCCTCCAAAAGACGCTCATTTCGCTAATTCTTCTGATATGGCTGCCTCCACATCAGTCATTTCGCTTGTCCCCTTTGCTAGGGACCATGGCTACATATATCTACCAGGAGTTCCTACCAGCTTCTGTCCTGAAGCATCCTGGTACATCCCACCCTCATCTGCCCCCTCTCAGCCCATCCAGCTTGGACAGCGTGTTCTTTTTGTCAGTATGACCTCCAGGAGGACATTCTTTGGTCACCTCAGGTCTGTCATTCACTTGGAAAGGTCTTATGTGGTCGTTTCAGTCTCTCCAGTCCAAGAAGCATATGGATCCTTCCTCCCTGCCCCCTGCAATGTCTTCATACCAGTCTCGTCCATCATTCTTCCAAAATTGCAACAGCTACAGTATAATCTACTGTTCTCCACTCTCCCTGATCGCATCCATGACAAGTATGATGCACATCTTGCCTCCTTGTTGCAAGATACAGCAGAAGACGCTCCCCCTTCATCCTCTCTTCCAACAGAGCCCCGTTCAAGAAGTTTTTATTTGCTTCACTGAGAGGATGGTTTGGGGGGGAAAGTTGCGATCCCCTATGCTCCTGTCACCCCACAGACCCCCAAAGCTTGACCCCTGTTGACATCTGACTCACCCTGTCTGCTTTTGGATGTACTATATCAGCATCAGATCAGCGCTGCCTCTCTGTCATCCCACTTTGGCCTAGAAGTGATCTCTTCGAGATGTGACATGCACAGCCTCCCCCTAATGTGATTCCAGTGCACTTTCCCAGTTCCTGACATTGCTTGACTCATACTGTGACATTCTGACTGTCTTTGACTCACCTATTGCCAATACTTACCAATCTTTTGACTTTGCTTACTGATTCTTCGCTTTTTGGCTTACTTATCCTTACCAATGCTTACCAATGCTTTCCAAGATGATTACCCATCGCTTACATTCCTTACTCATCAGTTACCAATCACTTACCAAGTGTTTGCACCTTGTTTTCCATAGGCAACACCCCTGTACTGTATATAAGTCACTGTACTTAGGTAGCAAAAAAAAAGAAGACATCAGAGAGCCCCTCTTGCTTGCAATTTATCATCTCTCAGTAAATCATTCATCAGCTTCGATAGTTGAGACTTTATTAAGGGTCTAGCTATCATCTACTTCACTTATCATCATCTATCATCCATATACTTCGCTCCAAGCCCTCCCTGAGCTCAGTACAGCTTAGGACATCGAATTAATTCACCATCCATCCTTTTGTAGGCTGACAGCAGTCTACCCTATCGCTTTCTATCACATTCTTGCTCCCTCTTCGTCAGGAGCACCCCCAACCCTCAGCACTCATCTTTGAGTGTTGTAGCTTGCAAAAACCCTCCCAAAGAACAGGTTCTACCATCTAGGTACTGCATAGGCACACCACCACTTGCTTTCATTGTCTTTTGTGTTGGTTTTGGTTGGTTTTCACCACTGAACCTCACTTTGACTCACAGCGTCCCAGAGAATATGATGGAAGCCACAATGGGCTCCAGACCTGGGTCACACAGGTTGAAGGATACTTGAACCTGAACAAGCATGTCTACAACATGGAATCCCTTAAGATCTCGTTTGTGCTCACCTATATGACCAAAGGTGCAGCAGTTTCATTTGCCGAAAATTACCAAAATGAAAATAAGCTTCTCGATGGGATGATCTACTACACAGATACCTTCCAGAGGTTCATGGAACATCTCAAAGCTACTTTCGAATCCAGTGATCAGACTGCTCTCACAATCCTGCACCTGTCGGACATCTCACAAGGCAAATGCAAGCTTGAGGTGTATATCGCTGAGTTTACAGGGCTCATTAACAAGGCTCAACTTAAAGAAGAATCATGTGAAGCAGGGATCTTCTTCAGGAAAGGCTTGAATAAAGAATATCATGATTGGGTTCTCAACTCTGGACACGTTCCTTCCATGGTCATTGAGTGGATACAATGTGCAGGAGAAGCTTGAACTGCAATTGCTACCAAGCACATCCTAGAAGGGAAGGAATCTCGATATGAACAAAAGTTCATTCATTACTGCAGAAATTCCCAAGATCCTGATGTGATGGATGTTGACAAATGTAAACAGAATGTTAGACATTCCGGTTTGGAAATTAAATGCTTCAACTGTGGAGCCAAAGGTCACTACAAGCATGACTGTAAAGTCAAAGTCAAGACTCAACTTTCCAACATCTGCATAGTCCTCTCAGAGGATGGAATGAAGACTGCCTATGTTGGAGATCATGAAGCGACTGCAGAAGAAAGGAAGACTTTTGGGTTGGGTTTTTAAAGGGGACTGACGAAACTCCTGCAATAGTCAGTCCTGTTGCTATTTTGTCTGCTAAATGTGCCTCTATAGATGATGAATTGAATATGCAAATTTGTTCTCCTCTCAGGCTGGTCATTTTACCAGACTTCAAGG